CCCCACTGTGCCAGCAGCAGTGTGGCACAGCCCCACTTGTCCAGCACCACCTTCCCAGGAGCCAGTGAGGGTCTGGGTGGAGGCCACACACGGGGAGGGCACTGGGGTGCTGCTCCTTCCTCTGCTCACACTGTCCTGTCTTTTCTGCAAGATAGGGCAGAATGGGTTGGATTGATGCTGCAGGGTCATTGCACCCTAAATCAATCATTGGTGGACAGAATTACCCTTCCCCAAGTTACTGCTCACTCCTGGTGCCTCTGTCCAGACAGCCCATTCATCTTGGGATTATCTTTTGTTTTCCTCAAAACAAAAGAGTAGCCAAGCCTAAAATGTTGACATTGCAATTGTTTAATCACAACTGTGTAGCTATAGCCACTGATTAATGACTAAAAAAAAGAAATTGCAACGTTGGTTCGAGTCTTGCAGGACTCAGTATTTCAAAGAGTGATTTCGAAATAACTGGGGCTGCTCTGTATTCACGATACACTTGAGAGTTTGCTTGCTTTATTCCTCTATTTTTTGGCTGTGGAGGGTAAGTTAGGTTTTAATGAGATCAGCAGCGTGTGGGGGCAGTTCCTCCCTCAACCACTGGTGTGGAGGAGGCCAGTTTACAGGGATCCAGAGATGGATTGCTCTCTCCAATGCCAAAGCTGCAAATACATCCACTCCTTGCACAGCAAGTCTTGGCAGCAGGAAACAGGAGACTGGGATGAGCTGTAATATCCCCCCTCAGCAGGGCACAGCCAGGCTGAGCCTTCAAACAGCACTTTCAGAGTGGCACGAGCACAGTGGTTGGTGTGTTTCACCCACAGCTGGCTGGGCTCAGCTGCTTTCTCAACCTGTCTGTGTGTGCTGCTGGGATCCTGTCTTTGCCTCTCTTGTTTTTTCCACTCATCCTGAAGACTCAAGTGACACAAACCTCAGCAGTGTCTGAGCAGGGTGAGGGGAGCTGGAACCCACAAAGCCACGAGGTCAGAGGAGCAGCTGCCCTGACAGGCACTGATGTGTTCCTCTGGCAGAGACTGCACCCATGGTTCGAGGGGTCTCCTCTGAGAGAACACCCTAAATCAAGCCTTGCCTGCTGTGTTTTGCTGGGAAGCTCCAGGAAATTGCAAGAGAGCTGTTTTGGCAATGGTGATGGGTTTCCCAGCCTTCCCCATGTCCTTGGCAGGGCAGGTCCCAGGGCCAGCAAACCTCAGGAGCTGCTGCACAGCCCCGTGCTGCTCCCTGCACCCAGCTGGCTGAGCAAAGGCTGCCCTCAACATTTCCTGGCTTTGGAGAACAGGTTCCAGCCTTCCTCCCTGTCTGCTTCCTCTGTTAGCTTTTCCAACATTTCTAATGAAAAAAAAAAAAAAAGAAAAAAAAAAGAAGCCTCACCACACTGGGATGTGCTGCTCAGGACCCTGCTGTCCCAGGGACAAGGACATGTGGTTTGGCTCTCTTCTGATAGGATTTAGGAGTTGCTGCACCAGTCTGTGCAAGCTGGTTTGGGGCAGCAGAGGAAATACTTGATTTTTTTGCTCCAAGGGCTTTTTTAGCACTATCAACACAGAGTTGTGAGATGCACAACTGGGCTCCCCAGTGACAGCTCCAGAAGGGACACCAAGACAAAGCTCTGCTCTGACACCTCTGTCTTGCTGCCTCCACTGCTGGTGGCTGTACTGGCAGGATAAGGGAACCACACACTGCCTGCAGCGCAGGTCCAGCTCTCACACATCCCTCTCAGAGGTTCCAGGGGAAACCATGGAGTCCAGATGAGACATTTTGCAGAGCAGGAGGAATTCAGAGATCAATCTCCAACACATGAGAAAGGAGAATGATCCTGCAGCATCAACCCTTTAGCGAGCTATCAGAGAAACAGCAAGGCTGCACCTGCACCAGGCACTCCCATGGCACAGGAGCAGAACCAGCCTCTTCCTCCCTCCTTTACTGCCTTTTGGGAATGCAGAGAGTGGATAAGAATTACTTTTATTATGGAGTTGTTCAATACTGTATTTATTATAGAGCTAAAACCCACATTTGACAACTTGGAACAAACTTCTGGTGAATATTTTTGAGAGGCTAGAGACAGAGGTGAAAATAAAGCAGGCTGAGCTACCTTTTGCTTTCTTTGTGGTGGGAAAACAGCATTTTAGTGAGAAATTAAAGTTTCAGTGGGAAAAAGAGAGTGCTGCTCCCATCAACAATACACGAACAAACTATAAATACTTGAAAATCAAGCCTCCATTCTACAGAAAGACTACACTGCACAGACAAGCACCTGCTGCTCCTCTGCCAAGTCCATCTAGAGCATCTCTGTGAGGTATAGATAGAAGTACAGGGCAGATTGCTCAGCCAGGACCAAATCACCTCCTGAGATGCAGAGCTGGCCAGCTGTGCACGTGGAGAGAGGAGCAGGGAAGAACACGCACAGCTGCCAGGACCTGGGCAGGAGCCCTGCTGACACATTCCAAAACAGGGTTTAAAAGCCTTTAAAGGACTCAAAGAGGTTACTGGGTGCTCCATGGGAAGGCCAGCAGCCCTTCCTGTGAGATGAAGGTGGCCCCAGCTCCTGCTCGGTGCTTTGACCGCAGTGGCATTTCAGAAGTGGCTGTTGCTGCACAGGAGGAGATATCTGATTGTGGGAGCCTTTAATTAACTATAACCCAGCTCACCACTAGGAAATTGGTTTTAGAAATTCAAATGGAAACAGTGTTTTTTAATTATAACCAACACAGCCCCAGGGAGGCAAGGGCAAAGTCTGGGGAGCAAGAGTTTGGCTGTTTGGGGATGTTGAGGAGGGCTACGTTCACATCCCTGCCCTCCTGCTTGGCACACAACTGCAAAGGTTTGGTCACACTTAAACCAGGTCTGGCAGCTGAAACTGTCTGAAAAATAACAGATTTTCTTTCTGATTCCTACACTCGTAGGGATGCAGATCACATTGATCCTTTCTGGGATGAGATGAACAACTTCACCCCAACCCAGGCCATGAAGCAAGCCCAGTGAAGACCTCAAGCACTTTTCCCCCCCTGTTCATGAGGTGGCCAGTGGTTTTTCACTACAGATCTAGAAGTGGAAGCAGAAGCAATAGAAACTCCAAAAGTGGCAACTTTCAGTACACTACATAGTTCCTATGGGGTTAAGAGCATAAGATGCAATTCTCACTCTTGAGGACATGGCAGGTGGTGTCTTATCCCTTCCCTTCTGTCCTTCCATAATCTGGCATGACTGTAATAAATTCCAGGCCTGCAGCAAGAGGCAGGGGTCAGAGGAAAAATCCTTCAGTGGTGAAGGCCACTAAAAGCACACCAGGTTGCCCAAGGTAAGTTCCACTGAAGGTTTTTGAGCTAACATCTGCTCAAGCTTAGCTTGCCACAGAGCTGGCAGGTTCTGGGTGGATCTTGGGGAAAAGCCAGACCCTGCCAAACTATTTTCTGTGTTGCTTTGAAGTTCAGCAGTGTTATTTATTCATTTTAGAGGGCTGACTACTGTAGTGAAGAGACACATGTCATGTCACAGCCTAACAGTGATAACCTGTCAGTACCAGCACCTTGCTCTTAGGGCAGGGGTCCAAGGAAAACCTTCGCTGTCCACATGCTCACACAGCAGAACTGGAGATGGCACTGCTTTCTCTGGTCTCATCTCTGGAAATAAACAACCTGCTCTAATTTTGAGCTTGGCCCTTCTTTCAGCAGGGAATGGAAAAGCAGCCTCCAGCCAGCCACAGGGATTCGCTCAGTTAGAGCACAGTGCTCATAATGGGTCTGATTCCCATATGGGCCATTCCCTTAAGTGTTGGACTCCTGGTCCTTGTGGCTCCCTTCCAACTCAGAATATTCTGTGATCCCTTGCAGCTCCATCACCCAAGAAGCCTGTAAAGCATTGTTTCTCACAAAAACTCACACTTCATGGCAAAGTGCTTTGAGAACATATGCCTTTCAGTTTTCAGATCTCTGCAATGCAGCTGACATGAGTTCCTTGTGGGAGCCTTTGTTGTGCAGCAGCTGTACCAAACACTCCACTTTGGCAGGGTGGAATAGATGACTTGGCTCTTCAGAACAAAGCTCAGGCAAACAGCAGGGAGATTCTAGTGCCACACTTTGCACTTTGTTTCAGAACCTGCCTGTGATGCTGCCAGAGGCTGGGTGCTTTCTTCACATCTGAGATCCTCAGAGCTGCCCCAGAGTTTCTAGCAAACAAACTTACTGCTTTCATTTTACACCAGAAGCATCACAACTACCTGGGAAATCTCCCTCCCACACCCCACAGGCTGTATTTTGGGTGGCTTGATGATCACACCACCACACAGCTACTAAGGTTAAACACTGCTTTCAAAAACTCTCATGGTAAAAGCCACTGAGGTCAACTTTTAAGCTCAGACTCACTTTGACCAGCTTAAATACAGAAAAACAAAGCAATCAAAAGAAAAGGACCAAAAGGAATTGCCCATCTTTTCTCCCCCACTCCCCTCTGAACCACACAGTGCCAGACCTACCTACAACTGCTCCCATCCTGCCAAGCCCTGCTGCAGTTCTGTGTCCTTGCCTTTCCCAGTTTCTTCATAATCCTAAAATGATCTTCTCATGAAGAGAGTCACCAATACCTGTCCAGGCAGTGCCTCTTGCTATGCCTGACTGCACAGCACATCCCAAAGGGGATGCAGGAAAGCCAGGAACACGGGGACAGCTGCACAGCCCATTGTTACAATGCTGGTGCAACATGAACAGTCACAGGGGACAGGAAAGGAAGTTATAAAAACAGTAACTGGGAAGAAACATCAGGGATCTACACCCTCCTCAGTCCTGGAGGTACAGCAGAGAAGAAAACTTCACAAGAAATATGACAAGTTTCCCATCCAAATACATTCCATATAGGAAAACCAGAATGAAGTGGAACCATGAGCTTCCCCTTTCATTTTCCCCCAGAAGAAGCTGTTTCAATTCCATTAATCTGGAGGCACAGTGAGTGAGTCACACTTCAGCAGGTACCTTCATGTTTGAGGTCAAACCCAGGCCATGTAGTAATTAGGACACTTTAATGGAATTCTCTTGTCATAATAAGCTAGTTCCCAGAGCTGACTCAGGAATACAGCAGAGCACCTAAAACCCACAAGGTGGGATTTCTCCTTTTACACAGTGATCTGCACATCTCCCATGTGAGGAGGTGTGGCTGCATAATGTCATAATGAAGTAATACAAGCCTGCATATTTTTACAAGGAAGCAAAAGGAGAGATTTGTTCATGCTGCAAATCCAAGGAGTCTTCAACACCAAGACAATTCCCTTTTGTCATAGTTTTGTTTTGTCACAGTTTCGAAGCAGAAGTTCCCTTGGTAGGAGAGGAACAACATCAGCTTACAGAATTGCTCATCTGCACAAGAGCCCACCTCATAACCAGTTGATGAAAAGGATCCCACTAACTGCAACAGAAGCTGGACAAGACCTCTGGATTCTGAGCTCAGGAGGGAAACTATCTGAGAGGTGAGGGCAAGGAGGCAGATTCTCCATGCTCACAAAAGAAAACAAGAGCACACCTTATTTAAAACCAACTCTTTCCACTCTCACATTTATTTTTCCTAAAAACAGTCCTTGCAAATATGTCTCATTTCTCTTTCCCAATTGAGTGGCATTGCTGCAAGTCCTCCACGGCACATGACTCTGGGGAAGCAGAGAAGTGTCCCACAACTCAGTCCCATTTCCATAGGAAAAGCTGACTCATAAATCACATCATCCTGGAGATGCTGACACAGGTTTGTAAGGAGCACCTGAATGCCAAGTCCCAGGAGCAGGCTGGAGCCACCTGAGGGCTGGCAGGGCTGCCCAGCTCTAGCAGAGCAGGAGCCCCTCCTTCACGGCCAGGCGCTGCCGGTGGATCTTGTCCTGCTGCAGCTCCTCGTGGTTGGGGTGCCAGAGCTTCATGACAATCCTCTCAATGTTTAGAGCATAGACTGTGTGTGCAGGGATCACTTCTTTGTGCACCTGGAAAGGCATGATGGGAAACAAGCTGCACACTTCCATACACATTTGCCCATGTTACCAGGGAATAATCTCCCTCTACCACAGGGGCCAGCTCTGCAGAGTGGGAACAAAGGGAATCTCACAGGGAGAGCTGCTCCCTGCCAGCACTGCCAGAGCAGCCAGCACAGCACAACCACCTCTTACACCACTTGCTAAGGGAGTGCCATGGTAAGGAAATAGTAATTTTGCTCTTGGGGTGGCAATCAATAACTGATCATCAAAACCATAGAAATAACAATTCTGACTAAACATGAGGTGAATGCTTGATTACAGCTCTGTGGTCTGTATCCACAGCTGTCAGACAAAATCCCAAGGCCTGTTCACAACAGTACAGATCATCAAGGGGGAATTTCTAACAACTAATTTTAGACATTCAAAGTGGCAATGCCCCCACAACTGCCAGAGGAGGAGGGAACCACAGCCATACACTGCCAATGAAAATTCACCCAGCTGACCTCAAATGCCTCCCCAGGGCTGGGGTGATCACAGCCAACCCACTGCAGTGCCCTGCATGCCAGGACCAGGTATTCCTCTAAGTACCCAGGTGGAACAATGAAGAGTAAGAAGGGACATGCCAGGTAAGGTATTTTTCTGCAGCACTGTCAAAATCCACCCAGCTCAGTTCTAATAAGAGTTCACCTGTCTTACACAGCTGTGAGACAGGGATTTCCTCCTCAGCTCTGTGACCAAGGGGATCAGAACAGGCATTAAACCAGCAGTTAACAGTGGGAACAAATCAAAGCCAAAGAAGGAAAGAGACTATGGGAAGAGAAAACAAGTCCGCTTCCATGCACATAAACCACACCGAAGACTTGCAGCTGGCATCCAGGGCGGCGCTGCCTGTGACACGAAGGTGTGACATGACCAGCTTACCTGCAGTGCCTCAAAGAGGTCGTACATGTTGACTGGAGGCAGGGATGCTGGCAGGGTGTCCCCAGAGCAGGCCAGGAGCAGGGCTGCCTGCTGCTCAGCATCATCAGGAGCGGGTGGGGGGGCCAGGCTCTGACCTGCTGAGGGCGTGGTGCTGCTCGGGGGGCTGGGGGCAGAGCAGGCAGAAAACATCCCAGTCACAAACCAGCACCAGCTGTGGCTGTCATACAGCAGGAGCCTTCCTGTTCTGCACCACAGATGTGGTACATAAAATTATTTCAGCTCTAATAAAAATTTCTTTTAAATTCCGGTTTAACAAGGAGTGTGGACTGAGCCTCAACATGCTCCAGCCCTGCTTAAATGGTCTCAGTTGTGCAACTTTTTGTTACTTGCATCCAGTAGTTTCTACCCAGCATAAAAATTAAGGCACACACAACATTAAGCTGGAACACTGGCCGTTAGGCAGAGTTGTTTGTAGCGCTACAATCAAATCTTCAAACACCCACGACCTCCTGTCAACTGCTAGAAGCTGCCACAGACAAACAAAACTGCCTTCTCGTACACAAACACTGCCAGATGCACTGCACAAACTCTTTGACACAGACTCCAAACAGAAGGACCTCAAAGCCCTGCTAACTGGAAAGATGTGCCACAGAACCATAAACACATTTGCATGCAGGAAATGACAGGATGGCAGTGTCCTGCAGGTCCTCACTCCAGTGCTGGGAAATCCCCATATTCTCACTCCCTGTTCAGCTGCACAATCCTCCATACCAATGCCTTCCTAGCTGGTGAAAGCAAGACACCATCAACACACATACAAGATGCAACTGAGCCATGGAGTAATTCCAAGACCAGCAAAATCCATGTGCATTATCAGCGTGCTGCCAGCTCCTTACCACTCAATTAAGTTGTTATAAGCAACAACACTGTTCTTCAGATATGGCTGAGGGTTGACATTGCTTCCAAAGGCATACTTGAAATGGCCATCCCTCAGACGATAGGCTTTCCTCCTGGATATCACAGAGGTCAGAATGTCCTTAAGGTGGTTCTGCAAGGAAAACCAATCTTGTGACATGTGCTGATTCATTCACTCGTGGATAGAAGGGCCTCAACAAATGGCAAGACAGAAGCAGTGCTGCTATGACAGGGACCTAAAGATGGAAGGGAACCAATATCTGGACAAGCTACAGGAGGTTTTCATTATCCAGCCCTTGGATACAGAGAACATGGCACTTTGAGGACTGTAAACATGAGCCTGTGAACTATACTTTAATATGTGATGCCCTGCTTCAAATGTCAAAGGGGTGTCTTCGATGCTAGGAAATTCCCAACCTTTGATCAAAAGTTAAGATTTCATAACTGACACTGGATGCTACACTTGAACTGAAATGCACGTCCTGACATGACAGTGAAAAGCCCCTCACTCATCTTTTTCATTTGCCTGAACAGTGCTGGAGAAGGAACTGTCTGGAAAAAACAAGCAGACAACTTCTTCATTTGGCCTCAGTCCAGATGGGAACTCAGGTGGCCTCCACATGCTGAGTGCAGAAAACCAACCAGACATCAGTGCTCCAAGCAGTGGCTGTGTCATTCCTGGGACGTGTACAGTGATGCACCACCAATGGCCAGAGCCAAACCAGGACTTCACCTGGATAAGGTATCACCTGCTTGTGTCCCTTCATGGCCAGGCCAGACACTGTGCCTGTAACAGATTGCTTTTTATAGAACTGGTCAAACTGGCATTCCCATTCTGTCCCTGCTTTTAAGTGACAGGAATAGCACTTTCCACAGCAGCTACTTCAGCATGCCTGGGGTATTGTGCAAGTACATTAAAACTAACACTTGCAGGCAGAAGTCCCAGACTTTACATCTAGGGCACGAGATTCTCCATTCTCACATCACTCTGGGGACAAAAGGACAATTGGAGAACAATCAGAACAGCAGGATTCCACTCCATGCAGGGGGGCAAAGCCCCAGACTGCACACAGAGCCTTTTGCTGCTGCTGTCACGAGAGCACTGCAGCCCCCCAGCCCAGCCTCACCTCCACAGCATACACAACAGCTGTCACTGCCTCCTCGGTGACATTGTCCAGCCCGTGCTCATAGGCAGTGACAATCATCCTTCCTTCCAGCTGGCCACGTGTGGGGAGCATCATGGTGTGAGAGCACAGCTTCAAATCATCATCCTCCTGAGGATCCTTTGCCACAAACTGCTGGGCTCCTGACAGTGGGTTCTGAGGCTGGAACCGGTGCTGACAGGAACACAACATCAAAGCATAAGGTAATACTCATTCAGACCCTTTGGTTCATCTAGGGGACATCCCTTCTCCAGTCAGAAAGCTTACATCTATAAAAAAATCCTTTAAAAATCCTCCCCAATGGCTTGTGACCGAAGAAATTGTTAAGTCAGTGTTGGTATCCTTTCACTGGACTTGTTCAGTAGCACCCCAAACCACCTGAACTTTGGGTATCCACAACCCACCGCAGCAAGAAATTCTACACACCACATGAAGACTCACCTGCTCTGCTCTGCTCTGTACCACCCCACCTGCCAGATTTGTTTGATTCTCCTGGGAATCTCAAATGCAGTCAGTGACTGCCTCTTTTATCTCCTTTCACACTACCCAGGCCAGTGACTGGACTTTCACATCTCTCAGACACTTTCTGTGTTGAAAAGTTCTCATCTATTTAGTAATTCCTTGTACAGAAGGGTGCATTTTTACTTACCATCTGTACAGTTACCCTCCAGATTAAAACCCATGATCCTAAACTTGTGTGATTGATTCTTACATTTCTCTAATGCTTTAAACTTAGCCCAATTCCAGCACTAATTTCATACTCCAGGCTCCCTGTGTACTTTCACTACTCTAAGCAGAGCTGTGTTACAGAACAGCCACTGAGATGGAATATGACTATTTTTCTGAACTGACTCAGTAATTTAGCAAAAATACTCATCACAGAAGAGGAATTCATACTAGAAGGTAGCATTTCCCAAGCCATATGTATTCCAGCACAAATCCTTGGCTGCATTGTGTCTCAAGCTCTGAGTGACTGTGATGGCTTCTCAGTCTCCAAATAAAGGGGGGAACAAAGCAACTGGAAATTATTGATCCTTGAGCCCAGCCATGTGCTTGGCCCAGCTCTGACCCACAAGGAAACAGACTTAACACACTCCCTCTACTTTCCAATAGCTGTGGAATGGAGATTGCTGCAAGGCTCTTATGGGGCACCACGACAAACATACTTTAAATATGAACAATGAATAAGCAGCAAAGTGGATTTCTCACATCTTAGTTTCAGGGGAGAAAGGGGGGCTGCTTTAGTCAAAGGACAGTGTGGCATTTAACTCAGAGTGAAAAACCAATCCACCCACTGGTGATGTGAAAGCAGGTTTCCCTCCCCATCATTCTAAAGATTTATGCTTTCATTACAGGAAAGTCACATGCCTGGAAAAAAAGACCTTCAAAACGTAAGCAACTCTCAAGAGGAATATGGTTTGGGAGAGCAGAAGCCAACTGGAATGGACTTGTGGTCATTCACAGCTGTTATTCTGACCAGTGAGGGAAACATGAAATACCAAGGCACTTGCACATTCACACTACTCAGGAATCCCATTAGTACCAGAAAAGCCCATTAATCATAAGATGCACTTCATACAGTGCTTACTGCCAAGCATTCCTGAACAACACACACTAGAAATCTGGTGCATCCTAAGGGTAGTGAGTAAATCAAATTCCAAGACTTCCACTACATCACAACTTGCTTCTCGAACTCTCATCTACTTGCTACTGAACTCAAGAGTTACAGTCAGGTTTTAAGACAGGCAAGGTAATACAGTATGAATTCAGAACATCACAATAGAGGTTGCAGCTGTGAGCACTGCAAAGTAATTTGAGAATTCCTAAATACAAGCAGCCTTCAGCTGGACTTGCATTTCTTTGGATTCCTTTAGTCTCTGAAGCACACACAGAGTGCCTAATCCCAAATCTCCCCTCCACACTGGTCCGGCAGCACAGAAACAAGTGCAGAACAGGGGTGTGACAGTGCAGGGTGGATGTACAGAGCCTCTGCTGCAAAGTGAACCGGATCTTGCACGTTTCTGTGCCACCTACCAGAAAATAGCACCTTTAAAAGGCATTCTCAGCTCTGAAACAACTTGACCTTCTGAAAACATTACACCCAGGATCTCACTTCTAACACTTTGAGAGTTAGTCAGAGAATTCTATCTGACTGCCTGAATAAACAGTAAATCACTTGTTTTAGGAATTTGGCAGATGTAAAGAGAACCACAGACACTTACATCAAACTTTTGGCGAACTGAAGAAATCTTTTTCTTTCCTTTGGGTTTTCCAGGTTTAGTTGCAGAGCCACCTGGCCATGGCAGAGATCCAGCACCTTCTACAAATTGAAAGGAAAAAGAAACCAAAACAAACCAACCAACAAACAAACAACAAAAACCAAAAAAACACAAAACACCCACTCAGTGTTGCTGATTTAGGGCCAGGATGAAACCCTTAACATTTGGCCACCTGTTAAGCCTCAACCCAAAATCAACAGCCATAGCAAAGAGGGGAGAACATCTTTGGTAGCCCCTCCCTTCCTTTGTCAGCCCCTTGCTACTTTGACTCACTCACAACACCCATGACTTGTGTAGCAATTTCTGTCCACACACCACACAAAACCCACAGTGGAAGGAGAGAGATAAGCACAGCCTGTAAGAAAATCCAAAAGGAAGGAACAAGCTGTTTGTTCCATCAGGAAGGTAAGAGCTTGCCTAAAGCTCTTACCTGGAGGTGGGTTCTCCTCTCACCCACTCCTGGATCAGGTCAGATGCTAAATCATCTGAATTGAGCAGCCTGACTCCCCAGTTCTCCTGCTGCTTCAGCAAGATTTGTCATGGATCCTTATTAAACACCACTACATCAAGCTGACTGTTCTGCTACACTGAAGAGAAGGAGAGGGGGGAAGAACTGCAGAGGCCACTGAGCCCAGGACCAGGATGTCACTAATGTGACCGGTGAGCAAACAGCTGAAAAAGAGGTTCCTGTTTAGTACTAATAAATAAATACATTTGGTCATATCATCAGCTCTAAAGTCCACTTAATGCTGTCTAACAGCTACCCCTACAGCAGGCCAAACCACATCCTGATAATCACACAGCTCTTGGCAAGGACAGCCTAGCAAATTTCCTGCTGACAGGCTTACAGCATCTGTGAGCAATTAATTCCTTCAGGAACACTGGCTTAGGACAGCACTGCACTGGATGTGTGTGTGCTTGCTGGCTGGGAACAAGTGCAACTCAGAGGCTGGACAGCCCTCTTGTGGCTGCAGAGCAGCCTGTGCTGTGTGCCTCCAGCACCCTCCTGCCTAGCCCGGCCCTGCAAGTGAGCATCCTCTTCCTTTGGAGCACAGCGTGCCCTCAGCGTGTCCCACTGCGGGGAACTTGGACAGCTCAGCTCTGAAGGCACTTCAGCTGCCCCCAAAGCAGAGGCTGGAGCTCCCTGCCAGGCAGCTCTGACAGCACAGCAATGTCTTGGACATCCCCTGGCCACACCTCAGCCAGAATTTGCCGTTTCCTCTAGAGAGAGACAAGAGGTGACAGCAGCCTTTCCACATTCACCACCCACAGCCTGGCCAGCCTCACTGAGCACTGACCAACACCCAGCTGTGGGTCTCTCCTGCTCTCACAGTTCTCACCAGCTTCACACCAATCTGTGGGTTTATCTCTGGCTCTCCCAACTATGCTTAATCTGCTGTAATTGAGAATTAACTATGGTTAATTTGCTGTAGTCAGAAACTCAAACACAATTATACCACAGCCCTGTTTGTAAGGAATGAGGCTGGCTAGAAGTCCTTGGCTATGGGGAGCTTCCCACACTCACAGCTGGAGCACAAGCACTATGCCCTCTGCTTTGGAAAAAAAATATTCTAACAGGATCAGGCTCAGCTGAAGGATTCAGGTTTAGTTTTTGAATGGTCAGCTGCTAAGAAGGGATTAAAAATAACCTACACACACAGAGATGGCACATTCTCCCTATATTAAAAAAAAAAAGTTGACCAAGAAGTTTAGCTACATGCTATCAGAGAGGTGGAAACCCATAGCCTACAAACCCTGTTGTCAAAATCCACTGGTCAATTTAAGAAATTAAAAGATAATAAATAAAACCTCCCCAAAACTTGTAAGGCTGGTGTCATTGCTCATCAATACATCACAGGAGAGGCCCTAATAATGGAGCATAGGAAACCACTGTGGAGAACCACATCAGCTCTCACACAGCTCATTCACAGCCTCATTTGTGACCAGAGAAAGTGCCATGAGTGGAGATGGAAATTGCAAACACGCTTTTCACTGTCAGTGTTATGCAGATATAATAAGCTACAGTTAAGTCTGAATTTCTGAAATACCTTTTTTAAGAAAAATAATACAGTAGGTTTTAAATTAAATGGCAACTAAATTTATAGGCTTTGACAGTAGATCTGAAAGATGCAAATTAATTGAATCTCAACGTGCATGTTTAACAAGAACTTAGCCAAACTCAGCTTAAAACAAGGAAAAGGTGAGATACAATCTCCTATTCCCCACTATAAGGAGCCCATAGCACAATTTTTGGTTCCTTTTCCAGGTTTTCATATTACCAAGCCCAACTTGCACTAGATGAAGAAAGCAAAATTTCCCTCTAGCATTCTAAGAAACCAGTACTTGCCTTCCTGGCCACAAATGACAAGGCTGGGTTGGCTCAGACATGAAACTTCAGAGATGAATGCAGATTTTATTTAATCTTGCTAGCAAAGGAATCAGACCTTAACAAGCCACAGCTGCTGCTCTGCCTTCAATGATCAGCAAGAGCTAAAACCATTTTTCTAGGAGCTGCCACATCTCTGCATGGCACCATCATGATGGCACCAGCCAGTCCAGACAGAGCCTGTCAGGTTTGCCTGACATGCTGCATGAGGAAAGGACAAAGAAACAGAGAAAGTCACCACAGAAAGAAGCAGACAGAGAGAAAACACACATTTCCCACGCCTGTTTACTTGATCTTCAATTGGGGGGGTTGTTTGTTTTAATCTTCTTGCAGGAACAAGGGTTTTGGTCAGCTATTCTGCTGATATCTGGTTGATATTCTGCTGGCTCTCCTCTGCTCTTCTCACACTGTTATTTTCTTACTTTTCCTCCCTTCTCAGTACTCTGGGAGCAGCAAAGAGGAGCAACCTGAGCCAATCTCACAGTTGAAAGCCCTCTAAGCAAAGCCTGTGGACAAACCTGATGAAATAAAATGCTGCTGTTATTCCACATGAGTTCTAATTCACTGAACCATCTTTTAATTGGCTTCAGAACATTATCAAATAAATTAAATCCTTACATCACTAACTCAAGTGTTTGCAATTGTCTCAGTTTTACTGCTAACATTTAACTAAGAAAGGAAGGAACAGTTGCAACAAGATACATATTAACTCAAGAAACCTTGCTACCCTGAGTGTTTGCATCTGTCCAACAAACAAGGTCAGTTTACTAAGCAAGTCTATGCAAGGTTAAGAAAGGATTTAAACCAGAGTCTCTCTTGATGGATTTTTTTGGGGAAGAAAAAATCCCAGTGTGCTGGTTTGGGGAGGAAAAAGGGTCATTTCTTCCATGGTAGCTTGCACAGGACTATGTTTTGGATGAGTGCCAAGAACAATGTTGGTGACACAGAGATGTTTTCACTCCTGCAGAGCACAGAGCCCAGGGATTTCTTGCTCCTCACCCCATCCCACCAGCTAGGAGCCTGGCAGGGCACAAGGACTTGGGAGAGGACAGAGACAGGAGAGCTGACCCCAAATGGTCATCCTTGACATCAGAATGGACAACACACCTCCCTGCCTCTGCAGCAGCCAGCCCTAGATGCCCCATGCCAGAGAGGCTGTGCAACTGGGATTTCAAGTGGTTTGGGTGACTGACAGCCGGAGCAGATGAGAGGGGGAAATGCAAAGCATCCTCAAAAAGGGTGACAGTCACCAACTGCTCCCTAAATCCCAGGTGGAACCACTAGTACAAGAGGCAGCAAAACTGGGACCAGATGGGTTTGTTTGCATGTTCAAGATATACTATAATCACTCCTGAAAAATACCTTCCCCAAGGGTTCTTGTTCCAGTACAGTATCAAGTACAACTTGACCACTGACCACACATGGTTATTTTCCCTTTGTCTCTCACAAGAAGGTGGAAAGTACATGCATCAACAACCCTTGTGATGGTGTGCCAAGTGCCTCAAAAACACTTCTTTAAAGTTACTTATTTCCATGAATCATCAAGTAAACACCTTCTACCCAAACTCAGTGGTAGAGATAAAAGCCTGTTAGCTTTCCATTCTTACATGGAGGGAAAAAAAAAAGAGAGAGAAAATACCAAACCACAACAAAACAAAAAAAAAAACAAATTAGCAGGTGTTAGACTGGCATCTAGGGGAAGAAAGATAAATCTAGATGTTAAAAGCTAGTATTCCAGTGATACTGCATTTTCCTGGGCTTGCATGTACCACCTTAGAGCACACACGGCTGATAGGGAGATCTTGCTCTAAGAGATCTCCCAGTCAGTGGCCCAGAAAGAGGAGCCTCAGCTCCCAGATCACTGGGAGACTGCACTGATCTGTGGACAGCACAGCTGAGCTGCTAGAAGGGACCAGCAGAATGCACTGTTAGCCCCACAGCACCAAACCACATCTTTAAGACCACACAGCCATGATTAAACTGACTTTTTTTCAAGCTGGCTTATGCAGTCTGTGGCCACAGAGCCAGCCAAAGCTTGCCTGAGAGCCCTGGAGGTGACCAGCACTGGTGGCCAGCTGGCTGCCACCACAGGCTGCCATGACCTGCTGAACCACCACAACCAGGCTTCTTCCAGGGCTCTGAAGAGAGCAGCTCAATGGGACAAAAGAAAACAACCTCCAGGGACTTGAAATTAAAGCAGGTCAGGCAGGAAATAAGGAGCATATGGAAAACACCTGTGGAGCAGCACCCTGCTCTGTGCTGGGGCTCCCACCTTCAAACAATCCTAAACAGCCTTGGAAAGGGACACCTGGGAGAGTTTGCTGAGGAATCCTGACCAGACAGCTGCACACCATGACTAAGTGGCATAAAGAGACAAGTGACATTCAGAACAGCTGAGCCCAGAGCATGCACACAGAAATAACAAACCCCAGCCTCAGCCACGTGGCAGGAGGCTCTAGCCTGACCACTGCCTCTGAGCTGTAAGCTGCACCCCAACACTCAGCAGCTCACTGCTGAGCTCAGAGAACAGGCTCTGCCTCCCTCCCCTCCTCATTTAGACTCAGCTGCTCCAGGTGATCATCAGGGGAATCTCTGTTCCTGTGCACTCTCTTTACAATCCAGCTGTAATTAATTGCTCAAGGTTAAAAGCAAGGAGCAGCAGATTCAGACATAAACCGTCTGATTTACATGAGTCCAGCTCCCTAAAGGGAACAAGTTTAGGACACACAAGGTGTTTTTGCAGTTCAATCAACAGCAAACAATGCAAGTTTGGAGGTGGGGGCAATCAACATTTAATTAGCACAGCTGGTAGAGTTAAGGACCAGCTCCAACACAAAAACTCATGGCCATCCATGAATTTTTCAGGCATTATTTCCACTAGCTACAACAGGCACCTCAGTAGCAGGTATTCCCTCAAAAAACTCATCTCTCAGGTCTCAGCCCATGTAAGCTGTAACAATTTCCTCTCCCTTCCTACACAGCAGTTCCACACCAATTGCAGCTCAGTTGCCCTTGCTACCACATCTCTGGGTTGAGAGCTCTTTTGGAGACCCAACAAAACACACCTGCACCCTTGAGGGCAGCCAATCTAGACACTCACAGAGCTAAAATGTAATTCTAGATCCTCACAAAGTTAAAATGTTAACTATCTGCAGATGACTGGGTTAATAGGTCATAGCTCAACCAAGGCTCCCAGTAAGCACTTTTCTATCAGATATGTACTTGAAATCAAGATGAGTCAGGAAAAGTCAGCTCTCCACAATGACCAGGAACAAAGTTCAGAGGAGAGGGAAAGAGATAAGCAAAGCACATCAAAGAGAAGGCTGCATGTGCCTTGACCCTTCAGCTCACAGCAGACACCAACCCAGAGTTCAAACCAGATTATCACAGGCAGCAATCCAGCATCAGCCTCTAACCAAGCACACACAGCTTGGTTAGAAGCACCCCTGCTGAAACATCATTTTGCTACATTTTTACCTGTGTGGCAAAAAACCCCATGAATAAGAAGGCTGAGAACATTGGGGTACTGTGCACACACCCCCAAACACACAAGTGGCAGGCAGAGTGTTACACCAAGGGCTTAATGAGGCTTCTCAGGACTCACCTGGGGCAGAAACCAAGATCTGGCATCGGGTGAGAATAGCCAGGAGGAAATCATTGTGAGAATGGACTGTGCAGAGAGAGAGAGAGAGAGAGAGCTCATTAGCAGCACATCAGTGCCCAGAGGCACCCCCTCAAAGCCATCCTAAAGCTGCTCCCTAAGCTTTCCCACTGTTGTGTTCTCCCCACCTGCTCAGTCAATTTTTAATTTAAGTTTTTTGAGAGTTTTCTTCGACTGGGCTGAGAATCTACTACTATGACAACAACACAGAGGATACTACACACAGCACAGAAACAATGAGGTCACTTCTCAGTATTACACACAGTGTATTACAGCTGCTTGACAAGTTCTGCTGTATTCAGCCAGTCAGAAGAGCAGCTGTCCCCTCCTGCCATGCAGGCACCCCACTGCAGTGCTTTTGGTTTTGTTACAAATACACCAAAATGAGAACCACAAAGATAAAGTCAGCTCAAGTAGGCTCTAACAAAACAGAACTTCATTGCAGAGGTTTTCTGGAACATAGAGTAAATGTGCACAAGAGAAAGTGAAAACAACTTCAGAGGGTTTTAGGATCCTCTTTGGAGTCTGAGCACCAAAAAAACTCCCTGCCTTTCCCTAAGGGATCACAAACATGGAAACCAGGAGCCCCCACAGTGAGCTCAGCAATGCCCACCCATGTCTGCAGACACACAGAGATGCAAGGACCGAGGAATCTCCCCCTCAGCACCCCAGCTGCCAGTCCCAAGGGCAGGAAGGACCTGCCTGCTGCAAATGCACCCTGGGGAACCCAGGCTCCCGCCCCCGCTCCAGCTCCAGCCAAAGGGAAAGCGCAGAAAGGACTGTGCCTCCACAGTGACATTAAAAAATGGCTTTTTGGTTGCTCGAACAGCATGTTTTACATTTTCATCACATTTACAACGGCAAATTGTCTGTCAGTACCGGGGTTATACAGGGACTTCCCCATGCAGGCCAGGGCACCTCCCACCATTTTAACCCCATTGCTGCCGGAGCCCTGGCCGCTGCTATTTCCCTCACAAGCACTGTCCCCGTTCGGGAAGCACCGCGGAGCCCGCAGGAGCTTCCCAGGCCTGGCAGGGAAGCGAACCCCGGGTGCTCCTTTACCATTGTCTTGCGTGAGAAGCCTGCGCGCTTCCAGGTCAAACTCCTCCTTGCTGATCTTCTGCTTGAACCAGAGCTTCAGGTTGGCCCAGTACCTCGGGAAGAGCAGGGAACCACAGAATCAATGCGGTTGGAAAAGACCTCCAAGATCATAGGGTCCAACCTCTCAACCAGACCACGGCTCTTTCCCCTCCCCGAGCACCTCAGCTGAGGGAGCGGAGCAGAGGCGCTGCTCCCTCACGCAGCGGCAGCAGCGGCGCCGAGGCTCTGCAGGAACACGGCAGAACGCGAGGGGCCGGGAGGGTGGCGCAGCCCCGCTAGCCCCGCTCCCCCGGCTCCCCAAGGGCACTCACTGCTTCACATTCTCGCCCAGAGCCTCACTCAGGCTCTTCTTGGCCGCCTCCAGCTCGCTCACGTAGGTCGCCATCGCCGCCTCGGCCCGTCACGTGCCCGCGCTCACGTGCCCGCGCAGGGGGCGGTGGCGGCGCGCAGGCGCAGAGCGGGCGGCGGCGGCGGCACCGAGAGCAGCGCCGGGAATCGCACCGGGAATTGTATCAGGAGCTGCAGTCATGCCGGGGCTGCTGCTGGGGGATGAGGCGCCCAACTTCGAGGCGGACACCACGCAGGGTCGTATCCGCTTCCACGACTTCCTGGGAGACTCGTGAGTGCTTGGGGATGCGGTGGGAGCGGGAGCGGGGGTGGGATGTCCGCGCCACCGGGGAGCGCGGTGAGGCGGGACGGAGCGGGGCCGCTCACCGCGTTCCTTCCTTCCTTCCTTCCTTCCTTCCTTCCTTCCTTCTGCACGCTGAGTCCCGTGTCACACGGTTCCGGGGGCTCGCTCCAAAATGTGGGTTTTCCTCGTGGAACCGGGGCGCCGAACACGGCGGGATTCCCGGTGGGCAGAATCCCGTTCCCATCGTCCCCGGAGGGCGAGCCGAGCTCCCGAGGACAGAGGACAGGCAAAGCCCGGCTGGCCAGAGCGGCGCTCAGCCCAGGGCGGTGCTGGGGACAGCTCGGTGTCCCGGGAGTGCCCAGGTGTGCTCAGGTGACAGAAGGGACAGCTCGGTGCCACGGGAGTGCCAAGGTGACAAAGGACAGCTCGGTGCCACGGGAGTGCCAAGGTGACAAAGGACAGCTCGGTGTCCTGGGAGTGCCCAGGTGACAAAGGGGACAGAGCTCGGTGTCCCGGGAGTGCCCAGTGTGCCCAGGTGACAAAGGCCCTGCTCCCCCGGGCACCGTTCCGCAGCCGCTGCCCCATTCCCGACACGGGCACGGCGCCCCGGACGCCGCTCCCGGTAAAGCTTGGCAGGCTTGCATCAGCCCCTGCTGTGGGCATTGAGAGCTTGGGCAGAGGGGAATAAGAGCCCTGTGAGCCCTTGAGGAAGCGGCTGTTCCGGCCGGGCACGCAGCTCTCCCCTCCTGCTCGCTGCTGTTGCTCACGAAGCGCAGGCACCATGGCCAGGGAGCTCCACGTCAATAATTCCTGGTGACCCGTGGCAGTCACACGGCCCTGGCAGAGCTGCAGGAACCCTCACCTCATCCCTCCAGCTGCATTCCCAAGGCTCTCAGACAGGGCTTTTGCTGTGGTGCTGGGGGCCGGGTGAAGATCAGTGCAGTAAGATCTGTGTGGTTTGAGCTGAGAAATGGTGGAAGGAGTCTCTGGCAGGGAATTTGGAGTGCTGGGGGTGGCTTTGCTTTAGCCCCTGGCAAGTCCTTAGAGCCTTTTTGCTCCAGCTTGTCCTGCTGGGCTGCATTGCTGCCTTTCTCTGTGCACTCTTTACCTTACCTGGGAGGTGCAGGATTAGTGTTTGCTGCTCTAAAGACTCAAAATCCATTGCTGCCAAGCTGAGGTGGCTGTGTCATTGTAACAGGAGCCACAATGTGATGTTAACTTCTGGCCTCCCCCACTATTGATTAATTCTTACCTTTTAATGAAGTGTAGCTCACAGCAGCAGCTGGGTTAAGGCTTGGTCCTGTCCCATTCTTTTGAGCTGCATGATGCACATTTATGTGAGTCTCCTCGTGCAGGTGAGGTGCAGGGGTAGTGGCCAGCTCATGAATCAGTGGCCATCTCTGCCAGGCACCCCCTCACACGTGGGGTCTCTGGGCTGCACTGTACACCTGGCTCCCCAAACTTCCTCCCTCACACAGCAGTGTCCACCTCCATGTGACGCACCAGGGGCTATTCCAGCATCTCCTGCAGGATCCTGGAGGCAGAGTGGGGAGCGAGGTGCAGGGAGTTTCCCAGAGCAGGGCTTATCTCATGGAAGTTTCTGGTGATAGGGAAGGAAGAGTTGCCGGGGCAGGAATTCCTTATCAGAGTTGAGCTGTTCCTGCGCTTCATGCTGTGCAGTCTGCACAGCATTGGGAGCGATGAAAGTTTGACAAGAAAGTCTCACAGATATGTATGCTTAGCAGAAAGATTTTTGAATGTAGAATATGAAGAAATAATGGAAGCAAGTTTTGATATAGAAGAAAAAAATTGCTCAGCTAGTCTTACTGGATAACCAAGAAGGCAAAGGATGTGTTAGTTAGAAGGGGTTTTTATGGCTTAGAGAAAAGGATAAACCCACCCCAAACAAGAAGATGTTTTTACCAAGCAGAAAGAGAGCACAGGCAAACAAGCCTGCCAATGCTGCAAGTAGAAAAAAGGTCTCAGAATTTTCCACTGCAAGAAAACTGAAAAACAACTTCTAGCTTAAACTGTAATGTACTAACTTTTAGTGATTGGAGAATAGTAACAAGAATATGGTAATTATAGTAGTTATGATAGGCTATAGATAAAAGTTAAGGTATAGATTGGTTTTAATGTATTAAGATGCTCAGCAAAGAAAAGTATAGAATGCAATGTAACCTAAACTAAGGGTCTGCAGGGCTGCCTGCAGGCACAGGCTCTGTCCTGCTGTAACACCTTGGATGTAATAAACTGCATTTTGGAGAGCCCCTGGAGTCCCCCATCCCTCATTCAGGCTCTTACAGCACAGCCGTTGCCTGCAGCACAAACCAGAACCACAGCTGACCTTCACAGCTGCTTCCCTGCCATTGCAGGTGGGGCATCCTGTTCTCCCACCCGCGGGACTTCACCCCCGTGTGCACCACGGAGCTGGGCCGGGCGGCCAAGCTGGCACCCGAGTTCAGCAAGCGCAACGTGAAGATGATCGCGCTCTCCATCGACAGCGTGCAGGACCACCTCTCCTGGTGCAAGGTACGGGCTCTGGGGGGGCCTCAGGGCCAGCTTGTGCTGCTGCCATGCTCCAAAGGCTGCAGAAAATGCCCATGCAGGCTTGGAGGTACAAGTGTCGCATCCCAAAGTGTGGCGGTGCTGAAATGCAGAGCGGGAATGGGGAGGGTCTTCTCCATCTTCATGGAGCACCCCACAAAGTCCAGGGTGCTCTTTGTACTTTGATGGTGATGCCTTGAGAAGGCTGAGCTAGACCAGAGGCTGGGCAGAGTTAAAGAATAAAGTAGGGATTTATTAAAGGTCTCAATGGATCCACCTTGGGCAGCACAAGAGCCCAGCCAGGGCTGCACCCAAGATGGACCCAAAATGGTGACAAAATGGATGACTGGTCATGGGGTCTCTCACTTATATAAGTTCTGTTCTATGTGCACATTGGTGTTAATTGCCCAATTACAGCTTTAGGTTATCAAGTCCCATCCTTCCTGTTTTTCTCTCTTCAGCCCACGGTGTTTGTGCTCTTGGGCCTGAGATTTGGATCATTTGTCCTTGGTCCCCAGCTAGAGAAGGAATTGTTTTGTCTCCCTACTCTGTGAAGAATGCTCACCATCCCCTAAAGCCAGACCCACACACTAAAGCAGCACAGAACCTGAAAAATAGGAAAGCTAAAACCTGAGGCATCAATATAAGAGGAAAGCAATATTACTGCTGTCCCACCACTACTGAAAGGGTTAAAATGTGTGGAGGTGATGCCAGAACCTCAGAGGAAGGCAGCCTACCCACAGACCCTCAGGAAGTTCTGTAATAAAACAGGAAAGGAAAAGAGGCATCAGAAGTGAGGAGAAAATTGCAATTCGTGCTCAGGCAGGGAGGAGAAAACAAACGGAGACATGTTAACTGTAAAATCACAAATAGGAGAATGTTAAGTGTAAAAGGGACATGAGGGAGTATTAAAAAGAGATGGGAATGGAATAACTCAGTGAAGGACCTTGCAAGGAACTAAAGAAAAACTTCAAAGGCAGCCTGTGTGTGCTACCAGGGAGAATGCTGCCAGGGCTAGAGGTGGTAGGGGTCTAAAATGAGTATTTCAGACAGAAATGGCCAGAGTGTAAAAATCCTTGGGTGAATTACCTGCCACTCTCTTAGCTCTTAAAATTGGGAATGTTCTCACGTATTTTCCAGGGGTGAGAGGTGTTTGCAATAAGAGGCATTAAAGGTGAGAAATTTCTACACTCAGTTGGACATTACTTTGTGACTAACTGGCTTTAGAAATCAGCTAATTGCCTTATTGCTTAAATCAGCCTTTGTACCTGAGTGGTGCATGGCCAATGCCCCAGCAAGCCTCAGAAGGGCCTGGGAAAAGCAATGTACAAATCCCAGTAAATGAGATTTCTGTGCTGCTCAAACTGGCTGAAACCAGCAGACAAATTAGCAAATAACATGTCATTAGCCAGAACAGAACATTTGTGTTGTGCTTTTGTGAGGGAGACTCATCTGCTGCTTGGTCAAAGCTGAGGTGTTAGGGTGTTGCTGACTTCTGCAAAGCCTTTGAATTTGCAAGCAGCTTTTTCATGAAGTCAGCTCTGTGAAGGGCAGGCTCTTTCTTGCAGGAAAGCAGGGATTTGTGTCAAGGGAGGGAAGTGCTGAGCTCTTTCATCCTGCAGGGATGTGTGGGGTTCAGCAGACTCAGGTGATCTGAAAAAGAGATGAACAATGAGCTGACTCTGCTGATCCTATGGAATTATTCACATGGCACAACCTCAGGTGAGACCAGGAAAAGTGGCAGAACAGCCTTGATGCTGGCTGAGGGGAGGCAGAGCAGGAAAGCTTTCCAGAAAAACCATGGAAAGGCAGTGACTGAAGCTGTGGTGAGCTTCCTGTGAGGCTGGGAGAAGCCTTGGAGCCAGAGGTTTGGAAGTGTCAGCTCAGCACCTGTCAGACAGAAGCAGCTGAAAATCCTCCAGAGCCAAAGATCCAGCTGGTGAGGACAAGGCTGGAGTGTTCCATGCAGCCTGTGTTTCACTGGATTGAGACCTGGAGTGAGCAAAATTTTGGGTGGGCAGAACCCTGTGTGCAGCATTCCCAAACACACCTCTGCTCCCTGTCTGGATGAAGCTGCTTTTACCTGGGCCACAGCCTGCAAGGAAGCAAGGGGGCAGGAGGGGTGGCTGAACAATAAAGAAACTTGTGCCAGGTCTCAGTGGGCAGATGGGATCTGCCTGGGAAGGTGGGGCCAGAGTGCAGCCAGGAATCCCTGTGTCCCTTTGGGCAGCTGTGCTTTCCAGCCAGGGATGTCACAGCTCTTCTTGGCCTTCCCTAGGCACAGAGCAGAGCCTTGCTCCAGGACTGGGGACTCTGGCTCAGCCAGGGATTGATCCCAGCTCCCCAGGCAGGAGGTTGCTGCTTCTCCAAGGGCTGGGGGAATGCCTGAGCTCCCTGAGCAGGCCCTGCTGTGCTGTCAGAGGTTTCAGTGCTTTCTCAGGCCAGGAATACCTGCACCTTGGTGACTCAGTGGTGAATCAATCCCTCCTGTGATGTCTAGTTTCAGCTTGGACTCTGGAAAGAAAATCAGTGATTAGGGAAGGGAGTCATGGGTGTTTTATTGCAACACAGTGTGGTTTGTGAGGCTGTTTTCTCCCTGGGCCAGGAACTTACGTGCATTTTGGAACGAGTTACAGTCCATAGGATTCAGACAATACTTCTCAGAAACTCTGCTCATCCTCCAGCCCTGCTCTAAAGAGAGTAGTGGGTGACTCTCATTTGCTGATGTCCATCTGCAGCCTCCTGTGACTCTGTGGAGCATTCAGCTGCATTTCTCCTCAGCTGAACTCTCCAGCTCTGCTCTCCTTTCCTGCTCTGCTCTGCCAAGGCAGGTTTGCAGGACAGCAGAACCAATTCCCTGCTTCCTTCCAAGGCAGGCCTGGCCACAGCCCAGCTGAGAGCAGTGGCCCCTTTCTGCAGAGCTGTGGTGACACAGAAAGGCCTGGGGAGAAAACAGGCAAAGAGCAAAGCTGGAAAGGAAACCTTTGGCCACGAGTGCACCACTTGACCTGCTTGCAGCATCCTGAGCAGCTGGGGCAGGGCTACAGCCCCTTTTGTCAGCACCAGCAGCCATGGGGAGGGTGCAGGGCCTGCCTGCTCTTGCTGCTGTTGGTGTGCTCTGAGCAGAGCCAAGGGGCAGCATTTCCAACCCTGCCCTCCCTGGGTTCCCTGTGAGCAGGGCCCAGCCTGCTCCCCACATTCAGAGCCCGGGGAAGGCAGGGGGGTTTGCACACTGAGGTTATCAGCTGAGCTGATAATGCAGCACAGCCCTGTGAGGGAGCCTCACAGCAGCACTGCAGTCACTTTTGTCTCCTTGTAGTATGCAGAGGGTGGAAGGAACAGGCTGCCCTGTCCTGGGGCAGGAGCCTTGAGTTCTGCTTGCTCTGATGCTGGCAGCTGCCCTGCCTGTGCTGCCCTGAGCAGGCTCCTCCCAGCACTGCTGGGGCTCCCTGTGACCTGGGAGGGTGGCACTGCACACCCCAGGCATAACTTAAATGCTCTAGTTGAGTCCAAACCAAGTGTGGAGATGCTCAAAATACATTTCTTTGTGTGTATTTGTGAAGCAGGTCCAGTTGGGATCAGTACAGCCTCATAAACCATGTTCACAAGGCAGAGCCTCCAGGGCTGTGGAGGGGGATGGTTTTCTCTTCTGTGCCAGGAGTGGTTCAGAAATGAGTGAGCAGCATCCCAGCACCTGCACTCAGGCTTCCAGTGGAGTTTTTTGAGAGCCTTTAGTTAAGTAAGCGGTGAGTGATTCACTGGATGGAACTGGTGCCTTCCACAAGACCTGTGAGGCGTTGGGCCTTTCTTTGTCAGCTGGTTTGCTCTGCCACTAGAGAAACAACTCCTTAGGAGCACAGTCCAGTTCAGCTGTGACACCAACACACCTGTCAGCAGTGCAGGAGGCAACTGGAAGAGGGGCACAGTTCTCAGTTAAAGCTCTCTGTGTCACTAGCAGGGGCAGGAATTCCCTGTTGCTCCATGCCCACTGTCTGGGCAAAGCAACTGCTGCCCAGGCTGTGAGCATAGACAGCCTGAGAACTGACCTGCAGAACAAGGAGGCACAAAAATTTCTGGTTTGTCACCTGGTTTCTGGAAACTCATGGAAGGCTATGAACCCTGGCTGCGCTGTCCCAGCCCGAGGCCTTGGGGCCAGGGAGCTCCTGGCTCTGCCTGGCCTCTGCCTCTGTGCTAGGGCCACAGGAACATCCCATGGCTTTGTCCCTGCAGGACATCAATGCCTACAACGGGGAGCAGCCTGCAGAGAAGCTGCCCTTCCCCATCATTGCTGACAAGAACCGGGAGCTGGCTGTCAAGCTGGGCATGCTGGACCCGGACGAGCAGGACAAGGACGGGATGCCCCTGACGGCTCGAGTGGTGAGTCCTGCCTGTCCCACAGCACCAGGCCTGCCCAGCAGCACAGAGCCACGGCTGCCAGCCTGCCCTGGGCCTGTGGGGCAGCTCACCTGGATGGGCATGGCCACCCCCAGGAGCTGGGCTGGCTCCCTTGGGTTCTGTCATGGTGATCCAATTCTGGTCGTGCCTGTCCCAACTCATTTCTGTCAGTGCTGGATCTGCTGGGCTTTCCCTTTCCCCTCACGTGCTTGCACTAGAAGGGCACAGGTAGCAAAACGAGCTGGTGTTGGACACAGGAGCTCCCAGAGCAAAAGCCCATCCCCTGGGCATCAGTTGCTCTCTGGATCCCCTCCGTGGCATCTCCCCTGTCCCAACACCTGTGGTCAGGCAGCTCCTGGGAAAGGAAGGAGCATCAGGGCTGAGCAGATCCAGCCGTGCAATCAGACAAATGTGCCCAGCCCCTGACACTGTCTCCCTGTGCTCAGGTATTCGTTTTTGGCCCTGATAAGAAGCTGAAGCTCTCTATCCTGTACCCAGCCACCACTGGGAGAAACTTTGATGAGATCCTGAGAGTGGTGGACTCCCTGCAGCTCACAGCATACAAGAAGGTCGCTACCCCTGTGGACTGGAAGGTGAGGAGCAGGGCAAAGCTCACAGCCAGGCACTGGGAACAGGCATTGAAATGGCAGCCAGCCCCCCTTGAAGGGGCACCCAGGCTGGGGGAAGCAGCAGCTGGAGGCAGCTTTGCCTCTGAAGGTTTCCCCAGTGGGCTGGGCCAGCTCAGCCACTTCCCAGCAAAGCAGACCTTCCCCAGGGCTTGGAGTCAAGGGGGAGCCAGCACCAGCTGCCCAGGGCTGTCTGAACTGTAGGAATGGATGAGCAGACCAGGGCAAGCTGTGCTCCATCCAGCATCACAGAGAGGCTCAGCCTCCCCCCTCCTCCCTCCCTGTTCCCCTGGGAGTGCCATGGCTGTGGGATGCCGTTGGCAGGTGGCACAGCTCTCCCTTTGGACATCTCCCGTGGCTCCTGCTGTAGCTCCCACTCACTGCTGATCCAGGCATGGGACATCGCTCACAGGGGGGCAGTGCCACCCATGCCAGCTCCTGACTGTCCCCATTTGTCCCCATCTGCTCCCCAGCCCGGTGACAGCGTCATGGTCGTGCCCACCTTACCTGACGAGGAGGCCAAGAAGCTCTTCCCCAAAGGTGTCTTCACCAAGGAGCTGCCCTCAGGCAAGAAGTACCTGCGCTACACCCCACAGCCAGAGTGAGGGCTGGCTGGCTGTCTGTCTGTCTGTCCATCCTGCTGGGATGCCAGAGCCTTCCTGAGTCCAGCTCCTGCCCCTCTGACACCGCACCACCTACAGCCTTGTCCTGGCACACTGCTGCTGCATGGCAGCCCTGAGCCAGCCCTCCTGAGCCAGCCCTCCTGAGCCAGCCCTCCTGAGCCAGCCCTCCTGAACCAGCCCTCCTGAACCAGCCCCCCTGTCCCTCTACCCCATCCCCCCAGAACCAACCCCTGGGTGTTCTCCTGCCTCAGCCCAGCCCTGCCAGGAGCACATGAGCAGCCCAGAGGGGACTGCAGGGCTCCTGCTCTGGTGTCCCTCCCGTCTGGTGCCAGCCTGGAGGCGTGGTGAGGAGGGGTGTCCTGCTGGGCCAGGGAGCTCTGGGGGCTCCAAGCTGCTGTGTGCCTTTCAGAGCAGCCATCTAACCTGTGCTCCATGAGTAGGGGAGGAGCTGCAGAGCTAAATCTCTCACCTCTTAACTGCTTTCTTGTCTCTTGCTGGAAGGTGATGGTTTCCAGGTTTTGTGGAAGAGGGAGTCAAGCAAATAAACTGACCTTCAGTACTACCCGCAGTGTCCCTTGTCTGTCCCCCACATTTGCTGTGTTCCCTGTGGGCACCAGCTGGGATTTGTGCCCAGGCTCTGGAGGGGGTGGCAGCAGCACAGACTGCCCTTGTTCTTGCTCTGCAAGGAAGGAGTTTTGGAGGGACAGCTTGTCCCAGGGCACACGCTCTCAGACAAGGCAGCTTTCCCTGATGGGGAGGAACAATGTCCCTGAGCCTTGGCCTTGGCTGCAGGGCAGGTCCTTCCTTCCCTGCTCCTGGGGCATGAGCAGGCACGACAGGAGCCCTGAAGACTCCTGCTCTCCCACACCTCCTTCTCAGGGATTTGTCAAGAGATGAGCAATGTTTTAATATAACAGCAGGAAAGAAAGCTGCTCACTGAATAGCTCATAGGGTGGCTGCCAGCACCCCTCAGTGCCCAGCACAGCCAGCAATGCTCAAAAGGAGCAGCTGTTGAAGAAATCAGCTAACTTGGGCACAAATGTACCCCCCCAGCAAGTGGGGACTGGCAGGTTTGATGTTCAAGGTGAGCAAAGCACCGAATGCAGTGAGATCCCCCTCCAGACTAGACTTCAGGCAGCACCCACAACCCTCTTTCATTACCCCCCCCCCACAAAAAAGAGATTTATTAATTTTTAATTGCCTTCAGGAGCTATGCAGTGAATATTGGTGTATTTCCCCAAATGGCTTTTAAATGAACCTTCATTATGAAACTCCTTATTATTCCCATGTATTATTTTGACTGGAAGATAGGAACAGTTGGTCTCTGGGCTGACTTTTGTTCTCTCTCTTCCACTCTGCAAGAAAGGGGAGAGGGAATCTACAATTTCAAAAGGGAAACATCTTTTTTCAGTGTAGCTTTTCAGCTTTATCAAGCTGGGCAGCTTTCCTAGTTCCCATGGCTGGGCTGCACGAACTCCTGGGCTCCTTGCTGCTCCCTCATTTTGATCTGCTTTCCTAAGGGAAAAAGGAACATCTGCCCCCTCCAAGCTTTCCAACCAACTGTCCAGTTTTCTGGAGGTGTGAGGACACAGCCCCATGGCAGATTTGTGCCAACAGCCTGCTCAGAGCATCCCCTGGGGAAGGGCGCTGCAGGGCCAGCACAGCCTCTCTGGAACAGCACAGAAGCCACCTGCAAGTCAGGACAAAGTGGAGCAAATCCTGTCACCAGACCCAAGGGCTTAAAGCCAGCAGGGACAGCCACTGGTGCCACTGCTGAGGGAGACTGAAATTCCATGAATTCCTGCCTGCTCCCTGGTGCTGCCATGGCCCCAGAGGTACAAACCAGCCAGAGACACTCAAGCAAACACAAGGTTTGGCTCCAATACAGCTCGAGTAGTTTTCTTTTAATCCCAGAGAAGTGAAATGCAACATTTTTCGAGTTGGTAATAACATCCAGAGACACAAGTCCAAGCCCCCTACTGGGTAAAGTCATTTGTGTTTAAGGCACTCTGCAAAACCAGCTTTCCTCTCCCTCTCTGATTTTCCCCACGCGGCAGCAGAATACCTGGTTTGGTCTGTTCTCCGTAGTGACATTCATCCATCCTGGCTCCTCCCACCCTCTCCAGGGGCTGGAAACAGCAAATCCAGCGGGAGAGGCACCAGGAGGCAGGGTCAGTAAACAGGGATGGGCAGGGGAGGGAGCACTCCAAGCTTCTGCAGGGAGGGGTGAGCACCGGGTGCCCTCCCTGCAGGCACGGTGTGCTCCCCTTGCCTCCCCTGCCTCTCCAAAAGGGGATGGGAGCCTGGGGACCCACAAGCATCCCTCCCCAGAGGTGCTCCCAGCAGCACCCCAAAAGGCAGGGGCTGGGTGTGGGGGAGGCCCAGCTGCCCCCACTGTGCAGCAGAAATGAGCTCCCCCCCCCGACTTCCAGTTGTCAATAAATACCAATAAATAACTTAAATAAATAAATAGATAAATAAATAAGTGACCCTAGGGTGGGAAGGAGGGGAAGGGGCACCCAAGGCTCAGGGCACAGGGAGCATGAGGGTGGGCATTTCCATGGGCTGCCCCTCCCTGAGATAACGGGGTGCTGGTGGGGAAGGGGGGCACAGGGAGAGCATCCCATGGGGGGAAGCCCAGGAGTCTGAGTGCTCATCCAGCCACAGGGAACGAGCCAAACTCAGAATCATACATGGGAACTCTCCCCCACACCCTCCCTCCCTCCTTCCTCTGAGCACCAGCAGCCCCAGAGCTCCATCTCCACCCAGGTGTGAGCACGCACCTCTGCCAACAGGCAAAATGCCTGCATGTTTCTGTAAACGCTGTTTGCATGTGTTTCTTTGCAAACAATTTTTGCAAACTTTTTTTCCCCCTTCTTTTTTAACGGGGAAATGCCCACAAAGACAACCCATGCACCAAACCTAGTGCATCAAATCCAGCTGTCAGAGGAGCAGGAATGGAAGCCTGGCAGAAGCCTGGAGAGGTGAACACAGGCACAGCCCCGGGGCTCAGCCAACACCTGCCTGCAGGCTGGGGCAGCCCTGGGGCATCAGGCACACGGCTATAGCCAGGCACGGAGCCTGACCCTGGCACCAGGATGTTGCAGACATTCATGGACAGGAATTCAGCCACTGCTGTCTCAGTGTCATGGCATCAGCCACATGCCAAGGCTCAGACTGGCCAGCAAATCCCAAAAGGTGGCAATGTTGAGTCCAACAGCATCCCTGCAGCAGTGTCCCTGCTCTCCCAGGCACTGGAGCCACGGTGCTGCCACAGCAGCTCCCTGGGCTGACAGCAGCCTGCAGCCACTTCCCGTGGGTTTTGGGGAGCTGGCTCACACAGCCTCTAGACACAGCATCCTCTCCCAGCAGGAAGCCCACCTTGGAGCCACCTGTTTGTTGGGGAGCCCCTTCCTCTGGCGTTTTAGCTCTGATGCTGCCAGAGATGTTTCTGTCCCCCTGGGTCAAAAGTATACACCTGCCTTACTTCAAACCAAAAGGTACTTACCCCTCCTCCCCCAGTCCTTAAGGAAAATTGTATTTCAAGTTTCTAACCCCTCTCCACACACAGTTTTTGAAAAACAAAACATCAGTGATGGCAAAAGCTGCCATCAGTCCCGCACCAGGACAAAACCACAGTCTCACAAGAGCAGGACATCTTCCCACACCACAAGCTCCCTGTGGGAGCTCTGCTGCAGAAAACACAGCAAACCAAAGCTCAAAGCCCTCTCTCCCTCCAAGCCTGCCCCCTGCAGAACCCCACCCAGGCACGGAAAGCAGCAGGTTCCCAGCCCAGCGGGAGCGCTGGCCCCAGCACAGGGAATTGTTGCACCAGGGCGTCCAAAGGAAACGCTCCCAGAGGAAAAATACATAAAGAACTGAATCAGCAGCAAACACTACTGAGGGCAATAAATAGCACGGGGATTTCACAGGGATTTTTGGTCTAAGATGCCTCGGGAGCCCCTGTGCTGGCAGGGCCCGGGGTGCAGGGAAGTGTCACCCCACTCCACCCCAGGCTGTCCTGCCAGCGGGATAGCACAGGGACCTTCCCAGCAGGAATGACCTGCATCCCCCAGGGCAGCAGAGCCTCCCTGCAGTGTGAAGAAGGCAGGGCTGTGAGCTGGAGGAGCTGCAGGGCTCATGCCAGGGAGGACAGAGCAGAGAAAGCAGCAAAAGCTGTAAGCACCAGCCCAGGAGTGATGGAGCACCCGGAGCAGCGGCAGCACAGCCATGGTTTATGCCTCTGCTGCAGCTCCAGGGTGAGATCCTGGGAACTGCCAGCTGCATCCCACAGCAGCATGCTGCCCCACGGACCAGCCAGTGCCAGCCATCCAGGCAGCAAGGAGTGAGGAGAAAGGCAAGTAAATCCCCTGTGACCCCTCCAAGCACAGCAGCAGGAGGCAGCCCCAGGCAGCACATTCAGCTCCTCCTTCCCAGGCAAATCCAGGCCTGCCCTGAACAGCCTCCACTCACATCCCTGCCTTGCACAGAGCTTGGGGAGGTACCACAAAGCGTGCTGGCCCCTCCACTGGTGGCCCAGCCAGCAGCCACCCTGCTCCATGGGTGGCTGGAAGAGGCCTCCACGTGAAGCAGCATCTGCATGGAAAATGAGCAAGCACCCAACTTCTAGCAAGGGAGCGGGGTCTGCAGTGAAGCAAAGCGAGTCCAGGGGTACCTGTGGGCTGGTTTGGGTACCCCACACACACCCAGAGCACGCGGGCTGGGAGAACAGCAGCACCCCCATTCCCCACCCGGACTGGGCTGACAATCCTTCTGCTCCCGAAAGAGAAGGGCCAGCGGGCTCGGGAGGGGAGGCTGAGGGATGCAAAGACTTAGTAGTGCACCTTACAACAAAAGGACATCTAACCTGCCCTTAGACCTCACCCCAAGACAGAAAAGAGCTATGGCATCTCCTACACTCACAACTACTCCAAACACACCCAGACGCATGCAAAACGTGTCCCGCTGCCCCCGGGCCGCAGAAAACTCCTCCCGGGCGGTGGCACCGACCAGCACCGGACTCTGGCCCGCCCCCAGCACTGCCCGGTCCCACCCCACTGCCGGCCCTCCCGCCCGGTCCCAGCGGGCAGGCGAGGGGGGGATCATGGATCTGAAATGCATAGGTACGGACATGGCAGGGACACGGCAGGGACATGGCAGGGACACGGGGACCACAGCAGCCCCTGCTGCCAGCAGGAACAGCCTCTGCTTCTCCCTCTGGCTGGGTGGGAAGCAGCATCTGCCACGGGCACAGTTCAACCACACTGATGTTCCTCGCGCCGCCCCGCAAGGAAAGACGAGTCCTTTGTGTCAGACGGCCTCTGTGCCAGCTGCAAGTACTCCATTCCGCTTCCCAGGAAATCCTCCAGCTCAGCAAACCCTCTTCTGCGCCCTTGTGCCAGCCAGGCTCTATTTCTGCCCGAGGAGGAGCCACATTTCCAAGCACAACAAGAAAGGCAGGAGAGCCCGAGGGGTCAGCTTTGGCTGGGCAGCCCTGTCCATGCGCAGCAGGCTGGGGGCAGCCAGGGGCTCGGCTGCACGCCCTACTTGGGAGGTATCACCACGATGGGCTGCCCTCGCTTGGGTCTCCACATGAGCACCTGGGCGTCGTTGGCGTTGGGCTTCACGAGTGCGTTGGGCGGGATGGGCTCCATCCTGCTGAGGATCCGCGGCTGCTCCTGCTGAGTCCTGCCCACCAGCCGCGCCCTCTGCCCCAGCAGCTGCATGGGGTCCACCTCAATGTCCACCCGCATCCTCCACTTGATGGTCTGCAGGATGATCTTCTCCTTGGTGGTGGTGTTCATGGCCACGAGCCACGTGGTGAAGCTCTGGTCCCTTTTAATCCTGGTCAGCAGTGGCACGTTGCTGTTGCTCACGGGCACGGCCCACGTCACGCTGGGGTAGAAATTGTCGTTCATGCTCACCGAGAACCTGGAGATCTTGTTAGTGGGCCCCACCAGGGTCACGGTTTCTGTGGTGTTTCCATACCAGGGGTAGCTCACCCCATCCGAATCGCTGATGGCTTTTACTCGTCCTTCCCGCAGGTCAGGCAGCTCCCAGCTCGACCTAGTGAAGAGGAAGAGGAAGATGAGCAGGGAAATGGCAGCACAGGGACCCTCTGCCTGCCTGCAGCAAACTCTCAGGGACAGCCCTGAAGAACAAATTCAGCTTTGGTTCCTTGAGCACGTCCAGCTCGAGCCTTTGCTCTGCCAACACAATGCCATTTTAATTAACGTGCAATTAAACTGACTGGGCCAAAACCCACTGCTGAGTCTCTCTGGGGTCACTCTCTCCCTGATCAGCTCCTGTGCTGGAGAACAGCCATCCCTGTCCCCCAGCTGCAGCACAGTGACCAGGGCATGGGTCCAGCCCCTCAGCAGCCCCCTCCTGCAGGAGGTCTGTGATTTTTATGCCTTAAACACTGAGACACGTACAACAATTGAATCCCACAATTAAGCCTGCCACTGGCACCATTAAATCCCTGCAATATGGCTGGTGGGGAGGATTAATCCCAAATTTTGCTGCTGGCCATGCTAGCAACACGGTGTGGCTACAGCAAGGCCTGTGTGTCAATAACACGGGAGCAGCTTTGCAGCAGAGAGGCTGGGGCCACACTTGTGCCATCCCTCCAAGTGATCACCCCACTCACTCCAACGTCCCCAAGTGCTCCATGCCCCACGCACACCAATCTGTGGCGATACAAGGATGCAGCACAAGGACCTGCTGCTCCCCCAGCACCCACAGAGCGGTGGCAGCAGGAGCAGGAGCCCACAGCAAGCTGCAGAACAGACCCCTCTGGACATCTCCCCTCTCACATCACCCCTTTCCAAAGGCAGAAGACACAGACAGAGAGCCAACAGCTTTACCCGTCAGCATCCCCACAAATCACACTCAGCCTTGGGAAAGGCTGTTTTCCAGCTGCCACTTCTGCCCAGCACCACAACCTTCCCCTCTTGTAACACAAGCCAAGGGGGCAACTCCCCCAGCACAGCCCATGCTCCAGTCCCAGTCCCAAAGAAGAAACGATGCTTGGTGGGAGACAGCGGCCACAAAGCCCTCGGACGGGCGAGGTCCGGGCCAGCAGGATGGTGTGGGAGCTGCTGTGGGGCCCGAGGGGCAGGAACTGTGGGGTCAGGGAGTGGGGTGAAGGTGCTGCCCGTGTGTGGCTGCAGAGGTGGGGTAGAGGGGCAGCAGAGGGTGCTGGGACCAGAGATGTAGCGCCCAATGCCGGGGTGCAGAGCCCAATGCCGGGGTGCAGCTCCCAATGCCAGAGATGCAGCTCCCAATGCCGGGGTGCACCTCCAAATGCCCGGTGCAGCTCCCGGTGCCTGCGGGCGGAGCAGGGCAGGGCAGGGTAGGTGCCCGCCCCGGGGAGCCCCCGCCGTTCCCAGCCCGGGCCCCGCGCCCCCGGAGCCCCCCGTGTCCCCGCGCCCGCGGTGCTCACACGCCCAGGTCGCTGTAGGTGTTGTAGAACTCCATGTGGTTGCAGGCCTGGATCCAGCCCACCACCCAGGTGTGCCGGCGGGCGATGGGCGGCATGAGGACGCGGGCGGAGGCGCGGAAGTAGGGCGTGCGGTACCGCAGCACCACCGGCGAGCTCTCCTCGATGGCCGTGGCCGCCGGCTCGATGGTGGCCGACACGTCCGACACCACGATCTGCTCGCGGCGCACCCGCGCCTTGCAGGCCACGCTCTGCAGGCACCCCATGGCCGCGGCCGAGCCGCCGTCACCGCGGGCCCGGGGGGGCGGCCGGTCCCGCCGCCGCCCGCCCGCCGCGCATCGCCGCCCGCCGCACGGCGCCCGCACCGGCGCCGGCAGGGCGAAGGCGCCGCCGCCCTCTCTTCCGGCCCTCGCCGGCCGCCGTACGCCGGCCGCGGTGGGCACGTGCGCGGCGGTGGGCGGGGCGCGGCGGCAGCGGCGCGCGCGTCACGGGCGGAAGCGGAACAGGAAGCGGAAGCGGCGCCGGGGCCGCCCGGTACCGGGGGACGCGCCGAGAGCGGGGGCACCGCGCCCCGGCGGGGCGGGAGCGCGGGGCGGGGATAACCGGCAGGGCGCGGGGAGGGGGAGAGGGAAGCGGTCCCGGGCAGGGGGACATGCCGGGCCCCGAGCGGGCCTGGCAGCGGGTGACCGGTGACCGGCGCCCGTCTCCCGCAGGCCGCCCGCCGTCGCCATGCCGAGCCCCCGGAGCGGCCGCGAGCGGCGCGCCGGCAGCGGCGGCCGCCTGGAGTTCCTGTCGCTGAGCCAGCGCGGGCCCGCCGCCCCCGACAGCCCGTCCCGCCGCAGGGAGCCCGCCGGCGCCGCCGCCGCTCCGCTGCCCGAGGAGGACTGCATGAAGCTGAACCCCTCCTTCGTGGGCATCGCCCTCAGCTCCCTGCTCGCCATCGACCTCTGGGCCTCCAAGCGCCTGGGGGTGTGCGCTGGGGAGGGCTCGGCCTGGGGCAGTGCCCGCCCCCTCATGAAGGTCATCGAGGTGTCGGGGCACGGCATCCCCTGGGTGCTCGGCACCTTCTACGGGCTCTGGCACACTGACAGCTCGGCGGCCAGGGAGGTGCTGCTCAACCTGCTCTTCGGTGAGGCGGGGGCCCACCCCGGGGCTGGGGAGGGCGACCCGAGGGATGGGGCACAGCTGGGCAAGCCAAAGGCCCGAGAGCACCGGCTGGTTTTGAGCAGCCTGTGCGGGCTCACCCGGGATGCCTGCCGGTGGCAGAGGAGTGACCCCGCGGCCTAAGGGCGTGGTGGCAGCGACACGAGTCACCTGGCACAGCTGGCACCACGCACTGGCAAACTCCCGACTGCAAACTGCTCTCGCGGTTACAAAACGCTCTCGGGGCTGAAGCCTCTCGGCTCCCCACGCTTGTCACAACAGCACACTCCAGGTGCAGTGTTGAGACACCAGGCCTTTCCCTGAAAAGCTGCTCTGGCACACAGACCCTTGGCTTCCTGCCCGCAGGGCCTTCGTGGATTGTTCTGTTCCAGCCAGTGAGGAAACCTGGTTTAAAGCACGACTTTTAATCCTGCGTGCTGTAGTATTTCACACACACACAGAACAGCCTAGATCTATTTAAGAGAATTTTTGCATATTTAGAAACTGTTATAGCTCTAGGATACCAGACCTTCTCTCTCTTGTTAGTCTTGTATTAAGTTGCAAATAATTAGGATCTCACACTTCAGTTTTGAATTGAAATTTGCTTGGTGGGAAATAGGTTGGTGCATCTTTCTCATCCAGCAGCACATGGTTAAATTGGAGCCCCACAGCAGAACTGGATGCCTCCAGCCTAACCTTTGCTCCAAGGAGAGCTGTCCCAGCACCTCAGTGCTCTGGGCAAGAGCCACCCACCTCCCTGGGGATCTGTTCCTGGGTTGCAGCACCCCTGTGGGGAAGAACGATTCCCTCGTGTCCAACTTGAATTCCCAGATCCTGTGTAGAAAGAGAAAAAGCAATTGATCTAGTTTTACATGTGGAAAAAAAAAATTTGGTCTTAAATGATTAACCAAAGGAAATGAACTGAAGTGACCAAAAGATTTGGTGTCCAGAAATGTGTCTTAGGACAAACAGAAGTTGATCTCTTACACAACAAGTAGCCCTGACTATGGGTGCTGTGCTAAGCTGAGCTAACAGGGATGGATAAAGCACCCTCTGCCCTAAATGAGAAGCTGCTCTTGCAAAATACTGGCTGAACATTTACCACAGGCGCTTTGCCTCCTCTGTGACAACAGCGTTTAGCCCTCAGGGGCAAGCCACCATAACTTATCCTTGATTCATCTCTTGAGAACCAGAGCAGGGTTAACTTCACCCCCAGCAGCAGGGAGCAGGCAGACCCCAGGAGCCCTGGCAGGCCACCAGCCCCTGAGCATTTCCTGCTGACCTGTGCCCGAGGGGAGTGGGTTGATCATTCACCCAGCCAGTTTGACCCCAGTCAGCAGGGCAGACAGCAGTGCAGAGTCAGCACTGCCAGGAAGGGAGCTCTGGGGACTTCATGCCTCTGCTGCCCTCAGATTAAGGAGCAGACTGGCCCCCGAGTCGTGGCAAGATCAGATTCTGCAGAGAGAAAAGCCCTGGGGTGCAGGCTGGGCAGGGCCCTGTCAGCTGTGGCAGGCCAAGGGGCTGCTGGTGCAGGAGGCATGTGTGCAGAGGAGCAGAGCTTGAGGATGTGCTCCTTCTGCTGCAGAAGGCCAAGAGCAGCTGTGTGCTGTGCTCTCCCTGCCTGGGTCTTGCAGCCATGGGGAAAAACATCACCTTCAGGCAGCTTTGACAGCCGATGGCCCTTAGCTGATGGTCCTGCTTTCAGTAACCCCTGTTGCTGTCTCTCCCAGCGTTGCTGCTGGACCTGGTGATGGTGTCGGTGGTGAAGGGGCTCGTCAAGCGGCCGCGGCCCACGCACAACAAGATGGACATGTTCGTCACCATCTCGGTGGACAAGTACTCCTTCCCCTCGGGCCACGCCACCAGGGCCGCTCTCGTCTGCCGCTTCGTGCTGCGCCACCTGGTCCTGGCCGTGCCGCTGCGTGTGCTCGTGGTGCTCTGGGCCCTCATCGTCAGCATCTCCCGGGTCATGCTGGGCAGGCACAACATGACGGACGTACTCTTCGGGCTGCTGCTGGGCTACGCGCTCTACGGCGTGGTGGAGCACTGCTGGCTGTCCCCGGCCACCGCGCCCGCCCTCTTCGCGCTCTGGAGCCGCTGAGCGCCCGCCGGCCTCGGCACAAGGCAGGGGCCGTGTGCTGCCGTTCTGAGCACACATGGGACGGGATTCTGGTGCTGAAGTGGCATCCTGAATCCCGTCAGTCTGGCCAAGACTTCCACACGAGTGGTGCTGCAGGCTCCAGGGCCTGCACTCAGATGTCTGGTGCTGTCCTGCCCTCCCGTGGGCTGCCAGGCAGGGGCTGCGCTGACTGTTCTCTGGTGACCAAAAGCAGTCTCTGCAGAGCCTGGGGAGGGCTCAGCACACCCAGCCGGCAGCTCGCTGCTCATACTGTGAATCTGCATGCTCTCTGGGCACCTGCAATGGCCCGTGGTGTACGTGGTAGCTGTGACTCTGCAGAGGTTTCTCTGCAATCACCCCTGTATCTGTATCCTATAAATACACTGATCATGCTGCTGTCGCAAGCATACCCTGCACAGCCTGATCTACAGCACTTGCCTGGAGGGGACCCACAGGGCTCTTTCCTCAGAGGTGGACAGAGCTTTGCCTCCCTAAGCAATCTCTTCCCTATTGCTCTCAATTTAAGTGCTGCACCAAGGCTACATGTCAAGCACATGGCCCCCAGAGTCATTGGGAAAGGATAGTGGCACTGAAGGGTTGATCAATCATTCAGTGGGCAGCAGTGAGCAGCCCCCAGCAGCAGCCTGCTCCTGAAGCTCTTATCCAGAGCTCCCCAGAGTTCCTTTTGCCCTCCAGAGGGTTTCCAGTTTCTCAGGGGGTACAATGCATTCACAGCAATTCCCAATCAATAGCATATTCCAGGCTGCAGAGAGAGTCCTGCAGAGCCAGCCCCATCCCAGAGCCCAGAAATACACCCAGCCCCAGGTCTGAGCCTTGCTTGCACCTCCTCCAGCAAGAGGCCCTGGCTCTGCCAACCATGGCCACAGCTCCCTGTGCTCCAGGCAGGCTGGCTTTCCTCCCCTGGCACCACTGGCGGCCTGTTTTTCACAGAGGGCTGCTGGTCCTTGGCAGGAGGGGACCACAAGGAGCCTCTCTAATGAGCTGGGGCTGAGACTGAGCCAGAAAATCATAAAACGCACTTCAGCAGGGACCACAGCCAGGCAGGGAGTGAGGGCTCTAGACTGAGCTCACATAATCAGCTTCAACAGTGCTCCTGGCATGTCGGTAAAGGGATTGGGCCCAGGTGAGGCTCTTTGTGGTCATTGAGGTCTATTAGTGCATTCAGGCCCTGGCAAAACACCAATTAAGTCATATTAAGACCAGGCAGTGTTTAAGTGTGCTGTTCTCCTGGGTGGAGTGTGCAGGAGCAGCCTGATGGCTGCTGGTACGAGCACCCTGTCACTGTCACTTGTACAGGGGCTGAAATGGAAGTGCTTGACATGACAAGGTTCCCCTGGAGATGAGCCCTGACCCACTGACAGGGTGAGACAGAGAAGCTTCCAGATCTGGGTTGGTGCTGCAGTGACCAAAAAATAATCCCCTAGGTTGCACCGCAGGCCTGGCAGCCAGCTGGGCCAGTCTGGCAATTGCACAGCAGCACCAGACACTCTGGCCAGCCCTCCTGCCCCAAGGCAGAGGACCAGCCCTGTGGTGGCTGTGGGAACACAGGCAGGTGGCACACTCTGGGTGGGCAGCGTTGGGTGGGCAGGGCTTGTGCATTTGTGGCTCCCACACACGCGTGTGCTAAAAAGTGGCTCTTGACTCACTTGCATGACACTCCATGAGGCCCTGGTAGCACCCACCATCACCACTGCACAGCCCTGCTGGGTCACAGGCTGCCTGGCCAGCCTCTCAGCTCTTTTGTGCTTCTCTGCAGCTCCACCAGAGAGACCTTTGCTCTCCATGCTTGTCATCTCCAAGCGTGGGTGCAGCCATGATAGGACAGAGGGGGTTTCTGCTCCACTTGTCCCACAGCATTTCTGCCCACTGTGGAAGCCCAGAGCAGACACTGTACAGCAGGCACTGCTGCACACCATCTGCATCCTGGGTGCTTGCCAGGTATGGGGAACTGTGAATTTCCACAGACATCAACCAACCAAATACCAACCTAAACCAAAGTGTCATGGCATGCCCCTAGTGCCCGGCAGCACGGTTTTTCTGTACTGAGTCCAGCTACAGGGGGGTAAAGTCCAAGGCTATGCAGCCTCCTGCAGGGAGAAGGGCAAATTCAGAGACAACCTGCACAGAGGTTTCATAGCAACAGCAGAGCGGTAGAGAGCTCAGAGAGCTCCCCAGTACCTGTTGCCCTTGGGCAATCTGTGCAGAGCTTGCAAGAGCCAGAAGCCAGCGACAGCAGAGCAGGAAGAGTAGCACTGCCTGTGCTGCCAGCTCTCCATTCCTGTGCTGATCCCTTGCTTGGTAAGATGCTTTTGATGCCTTTTGACAGGCAGGCACAGAGTGTGGGTTGGCAGCTCAGCGTCTCTGCCTCGGGCAGAGATCAGCCCTTGCTGACAGCAAGGGACAGAAAGAGCTTTATTAAGCTTACCGCAAACATACTATGAGTTTTGTAAGGTTAAAACCACTTCAGCTGCAGACCTTGGCCCTTCTGCCTTACTCAGTTCTCTGCATATGGAAGAGCAAATTTCCCCTGCAGCCTCAGGGGCTGTCTGGCTGTGAGTGTGCCAGGAGCCAGCAGCAAGTTTGGATCCACATGGTCTGTGCCTCCTGCTGTGAGGGACAGCCTTTTCCTTGCTGGTCCCAGCACCCTCACACCAGGGATACCCCAGCAGCGTGGTGCTCCTCTCACCGGGGTTCCACTGGCGCCAAGGACTCTGCTAGCCCAGGGGTGAGCCGTGGCTATGGGGACACTGTGCCGACACGCCCAGGCCAGGGGGACAGGGGATGTGGGCGATCCAGTGCTGGCTGCCACTGGAGCAGCCAGAGCGCTGTGTCACCCCGGGTACCACAATAAGCGGGCGTGGGCTGATCCCGATAATCCTAGGGTCAAAATCCAGGACAGCGCTTGTTTACCAAGCACGCAACCACAAGGATGGGCTGCGTGTCCGTGTCCCCGCGCAGCGCCTGGGACGGCTCCTGCGGCCGCCGGCCGAGGCTGCGGCCCCGCCGCTGCCGGAACAGCCGTGCAGGCGGTCGGGAGCCGGCCTTCCTCTCCCGCGCCCGTGGGAGGAGTGACGGAGGGGGAGGCCCCGCTCCCGGACGCTGCGCATCACCGAGTCAGGCCGCGGGCCGGCCTCACGGGCCGGGGCACCCCGGCAGAGAGCCTCGCACGGCCCCGTGCCCGCCGCCAGCCTTCCCTGGGCTGCTCGTCCCACGACCGCAGGTCGGTGAAGGGTGTCCCCCGGGCTGCCGGCACCAGCGGGCACCGCGACAGCACTACAGCGATCTCCGCGGGGAAGCGAGAGGGCAAAGGGCAGGCAGGGGGGCTGTCACCCGCGGGGAGGGAGCTGTCGGTCCCCACAGCAGGGCACAGCACTTCAGGGCACCTCCATCGCCGGGACTTGGCATGGGCGCGGAGATTTTGGGGCTCCCTGACAGTCGGTAGGATTTCTCCTCAAGGCGTCCAGAGGCGGCACCACAGTAGTGCAAAACCCAGCACTGGCCAGGTCTACACCTGGCGGGGGACAGCAGTGGCTTTGCACCCCAGACACACTTTTGAGGGGCTGCCTCTGTTGCTTGGGACCTCTTTGAGCAGGCTCAAAGTCTTGCACAGTCGCAGCGCTGGCAGCTCAAGCCCGCTGTCCGACGCTGTCCCCAGGCAGGGAGCCGACGGTGGAGCGCAGCATGGCAAAGAAAGTGGCCATCATCGGCGGGGGCAGCAGCGGGCTGTGCGCCATCAAAGCCTGCCTGCAGGAGGGGCTGCAGCCCGTCTGCTTCGAGAGGACCGGCGACATCGGAGGCCTCTGGAGGTTTGAGGTAAACCCTGCTGGCCTCGTGTCCTGCTTGGGGTCAGCACCGCAGGGGTCCGTGGTGGTTATTGGGGCGGCAGCCGGCCATAGTGGGATCCTCTGGGTGAGACTGAGGGCAGGGGCTCCATGAAAAGAAGATCCTCATCAACCCCAGCCATCCTTCCCCATCGTTCCTCGGGCAGCGCTGAGCTGTGCCCCCCTCCCACAGGAGCACCCCGAGGACGGCCGTGCCAGCATCTACCGCTCCGTCATCATCAACACCTCCAAGGAGATGATGTGCTTCAGCGACTTCCCCATCCCCGAGGACTTCCCCAACTACATGCACAACTCCAAGATCATGGAGTACTTCCGCATGTACGCCCAGCACTTCGACCTGCTCCGCCACATTCGCTTCAGGGTGAGGCCTGGGGCCCGAGGGGGAGGTGGCAGCGGGAGCGGGGCACAGGGTGCCTGACGCCGCTGTCCTGTGCCAGACCAGCGTGTGCCGCGTGTCCAAGTGCCCCGACTTCGCCAGCAGCGGGCAGTGGGAGGTGGTGACGGAGAGCGAGGGGAAGCAGGAGGCGGCCGTCTTCGACGCCGTGCTGGTGTGCAGCGGGCACCACACCAACGCTCATCTCCCCCTCAGCTCCTTCCCAGGTACTGCCCTGTACACCCATGTGAGGAGACACCAGAGACACTAGAAAGCTAGTCCATGTCTATCCCTATTCTCCCTGCTGCTTTCCCCCCAGCCCAAACATTTCCCTGCCTTGTTTTGACTCCAGGAGAGCTCCTGTGCTCCCCAGGAGTGCTGTGGTGAGGTAAAGGAGCATCTCCAGTCTTTAGGGGATGATCCTCCAACCTGGCACCAGGAAGCCAAGCATCCCTCCTCCTTCTGCTCACAGGAATTGAGAAGTTCAAGGGCCACTATCTCCACAGCCGAGACTACAAGGATGCTCAGGCTTTCACAGACAAAAGGGTTGTTGTCATCGGGATTGGGAATTCAGGGTCAGACCTGGCTGTGGAGATCAGCCAAACAGCCCAGCAGGTAAGCAGGAGTAGGGTCCCAGCGGGCAGGATTGCCCCTGTGGGACACTGTCAGCTCTGCAGGGACACCAGGACCAAGGCACTTGCACAGCTGCTTCTCCATGCCAGCACTCACTGTGTTTGGCAGTGCTGGCTCCTGCCAATCCCAGCTGCCAAGCAACTGAGACTTGGTCCCACTCCCCTGCGAGATGGCAGTCACCAGCTCCCTCTGCCCTCTGGGTCTCTACCCAGTGCTTGGGCAGCAAAAAGCAGAGTGATCCCTGGGCAAGGGCACGTCCCCTGCAGGGCAGCCCTCCCAGGACCACCACTGCCTTCAGGCAGCAATCCTTCTTCCTTGTCTAGGTGTTCCTCAGCACTCGCCGTGGTGCCTGGATCTTCAACCGCGTTGGAGATCAGGGCTACCCCATCGACACCATCTTAACCACCCGCGTGAAGACGTTCCTGCAGGGGCTGCTCAGCTCATCCATCACATGTGACTACATGGAGAAGAAGCTGAATGCCAGGTTTGATCACTCACGTTACAGCCTCAAGCCGAAGCACAGGTATCACCAAACACCCCCCCTGCCCAGAAGGGATCGTCTGCCTCTTTCTGTGTCCTGCCCAGCTTGGCTATTCCCTGCTCCCTGTGCTTGGACTGGGTTATTATCTTGTTGTGCCCAGGCAATGCTTAAGGGAGCCACCACTGCCCCTTCCAAGGACTCTTGGAGACAGCAGTGTAGGGGCAGCTGCCCCAGAGTAGGAAGCAGCAGCTGGAGCAGGACACGGAGCAGAGACACTCCCTTCCCAGCCCTAATGGTTTCTTGTACCTTCCAGGGTCTTTCAACAGCACCCCACTGTCAACGATGATCTGCCCAACCGCATCATTTCGGGCAGGGTGCGGGTGAAGCCAAACATCCAGGAGTTCACAGAGACATCTGCCATCTTTGAGGATGGCACCAGGGAAGATGTCGATGCCATAGTTTTTGCCACAGGATACAGCTTCTCCTTCCCATTCCTCGAGGGCTGCGTGAAGGTGGTGGAGAACGAGATTCCCCTCTACAAATTCATGTTCCCCCCTGATCTGGAGAAGCCAACACTGGCTTTCATCGGCCTCATCCAGCCCCTAGGAGCCATCATGCCCATCTCAGAGCTCCAGAGTCGCTGGGCCACCCGTGTCTTCAAAGGTAAGTCAGGCAAACCTGCTCTGTGGATGCAGTCCTGGAGTGAGGGCAGTCAGTGAGATGGCCTCTTCTCTGAGAGGCACAGGCACATCCATACCCTGAGCTCCACAGGCTGCTCCTTCCCATCCTGTGGCACTTGGACGTGCCTAAGGTGCGAGCCCACACACCACGGTGGTGCTGGCAGAGGCACAGCACCCAGGCAAGGCCAGCACCACAGTGGCCGCTGTGTCTTATCCTCCCCAGGGCTGAACGAGCTGCCCCTGCAGCATGACATGGAGGCTGACATTGAGCAGAAGAAAGAAGCGATGGCAAAGCGGTAAGATCCCTGCAGGGATGCCTTAGGCACAGCTGCTCATGGGCATCCATCCTGTCCCATGGATGTGTCCTGGCACATTTCTGTGTGCCAACAGAGGGCAGGGATGTCATTGGCCACACTACCCACAGTCCAGTCTGTCCAATACGGCCTTCCTGGTGCGCAGGGCACCTGCCAGCTCTGCTTCCAGCACCTACCTGCCCTCCTCCCTGCCCACAGGTACGTGAAGAGCCAGCGGCACACCATCCAGGTGGATTACATCCCTTACATGGACGAGCTCGCCCACCAGCTGGGGGTGAAGCCCAACCTGCTCTCCCTGTTCCTCACGGACCCCAGGCTGGCCATGGAGGTGGCCTTCGGTCCGTGCACGCCGTACCAGTACCGGCTGCGGGGCCCGGGCGCTTGGGCAGGTGCCAGGGAAGCCATCCTCACCCAGCAGCAGCGCATCCTCAAGCCCCTGCAGACACGACCCGTGGAAGAGAGCACCTCAGCCCCTGCCATGCCCCTCATCTTCAAGCTGATCGGGGCCGTGGCCATCCTGGCAGCCATTTTTGCTTACTTGTAGGTGCCCTGCAAGCGCAGGAAGGGAGGCTTTTGTCCTGGGGTGACTCCCTAAACCAGGACAGCTTTGCACTGTGCTGAGGACTGGCTGGCCACCCCTGTCCCTTGGCAGCCTCTGGTGGCAGAAACCTTCCTGCTGCCTGGCATGGCCCAGCTGTGACCACACCATGAACTAGGGATGCACAGAGCCTCCCCAGCTGCCAAAACAATGCTTGGGCTCCTGCTCTGCACCTCCCCTTGGGGAATGCTGTCATGGACAGAGGAGGAAACCTGCTCACTGCAGGCTAAATTCCAGTCCCTCTCAGCCAGCGCTCTGGGCTTTTCTGTCCCCTGTACCCCAGCCATGCCAATTTTGCCACACACACACCAGAGCTAAGCAGCAAAGGCACAGCACACTTTCTAAGTGGATAAATGCAATAAACAGCCAAGTGTCCGTCCTGCTACTGCCACCATCACGATCCTCCGTGTACTGTGGGAATGCTCATGGGTTTGAGATCAGGCTTGTAGCGCTGGCCTGTTACACCATAGGCTGACGTGCACACACGCTCCACAGCGAGACAGCCTCTCCCAAGGTGTGTCCTGCCACAGTGGGTCCTGGTGGTCACATGGCACAGCTCAGTGCCACCCTGGTGACCTGCACACAGCTCCTCCAGAAGGTGGCTGGGTGGGCTGGGGACCCAGAGTGGGTAAAGGGTGTGGGTCCTGTCCATCAGATGCCTGGGCTGGTCATGCCAGTGCCCCCCCCCACCCCATCCCCTAGGTTTGTCTTCCACGCCATAACCTGCTGAAATCCAAAGCATAGCCACATCTCTGCCCTGCCCAGGAAGTCCTGGGGCACTGTCGGCATCATTAAATGCTTACAGAACTTAGTGCACCTCTTGCAGAGGGCAGGGCAAGCCAAGAGGTGTGGCAAGGAGGTAAGAGAAACCTGTAGATCATGTCTGGAAGAACATCTTGTGACACCTTGGCCACCCACAGGAAATATAGGGACAGTCACCCTCAAAACGATCAGCAGTGGGCAGCCTCCCTTGAGGGACGCACCTGGCTCTGCACCTCCTGGCCACAGCTTCTCCCACACCCCTGCCACCACCACACCGGGGGACATGGCTGCTCGGAGAGTGGCCGTCATTGGTGCCGGCGCCTCCGGCCTGTGCGCCCTGAAATGCTGCCTGGATGAGGGGCTGGAGCCCACCTGCTTTGAGAGGAGCAAGGACATCGGGGGGCTCTGGCGCTTCGAGGTAAGCCCCGAGCAGCCAGGCTGCTCCTTGGCAGCAGCACGGACGGGCTCAGGATCGGTCCTTGGCAGATCACCATGCACCGTTCCCCTGCTTTGCATGCGTGCGGCAGGCAGCTTTCCAGGGAAACCAAGGAAAGTAAAAGTGGTTTGGCAGCGCAGTACCAGCTGGTGTGCCAGGCACATAGGACCCAGCTCCTGCTCACCAGCAGCAGGATGAAGCCTCCCCAAGGACTTCAATCCATGGCTTGCTCCCCCAGCATAGATTTCCCCTTTCCCATTCCTCCTTTCCCAATCTCATCCACACCTTCCTCTGCTATTTTGCTCTTGGTCACTCCCAGCCCTTGCCTGCCTATCTTATCTGACTCCACTGTCTGTACCTGTCCTGCCCAACCCTTGCCTACCTATCTTGTTTTATCTGACCCCACTGTTTGTCCCTGTTCTGCCCAGCCCTTTCCTGGAATCATGGTTGCTCCTCTTTCTGCTTCTGTGCCACTCACCCACACAGAGATACCGTGTCCTGCCTTCTCTGTGCCTTGGCTCTCCCTGCCTTGGAGCCATCCTGGAGCTTATCTCTGCCCCCACCTAATGAAGCTGCTGACTTTAATCCCATGGACCCACCAACAAAATGGCCAGTGTTTCCACCATGCTCTGATATGTATGTGGGAGAGCACTGGGGAAAAACAGGTGGCATCATGTCAGAGTGGGGTCTGGGGTGGATCTGTCACAGCCCACTAGTTCTACCTGTGGTGGGTCAGGGGCAGGGTTGGTGGAGCAGAACCAGAGCAGCAGCATCTAGCTGTCGAGGCACAGACCTGGTAAGCAGGAGCAACCACTCAGCAGGAAGCACTGGAGCTGCCTCCACAACTGGTGAGACCTGATGTGGCAGCCAGGGCAACAGCACCACAGGAGCTTTGGGAATGCACTGCCTCATAGGGGCAAGGAGTGGAAGTGGGGAATCTGAGGCACAAGACCACCATGACCCACTGTCACCACTGCCTGGCTCCCACCAGTCCAGAGATACATCCCTGGTTTTTGGGGTGGGGGGTCTCAACCACAGGAGAGTTGCTGGGTGGAGGGATGGGTGCTACAACAGCCTGTGGCTTAATCCTGCACCCATGGGGGAGGTGCCAGCCAGGACAGACATCAATGCCCGGGCAGCGCTGAGCTGTGCCCCCCTCCCACAGGAGCACCCCGAGGACGGCCGTGCCAGCATCTATCGCTCTGTCATCATCAACACCTCCAAGGAGATGATGTGCTTCAGCGACTTCCCCATCCCCGAGGACTTCCCCAACTACATGCACAACTCCAAGATCATGGAGTACTTCCGCATGTACGCCCAGCACTTCGACCTGCTCCGCCACATCCGCTTCAGGGTGAGGCCTGGGGCCCGAGGGGGAGGTGGCAGCGGGAGCGGGGCACAGGGTGCCTGACGCCGCTGTCCTGTGCCAGACCAGCGTGTGCCGCGTGTCCAAGCGCCCTGACTTCGCCAGCAGCGGGCAGTGGGAGGTGGTGACGGAGAGCGAGGGGAAGCAGGAGGCGGCCGTCTTCGATGCCGTGCTGGTGTGCAGCGGGCACCACACCAACGCTCATCTCCCCCTCAGCTCCTTCCCAGGTACTGCCTGCTGCTTGCCCACTCTCTAGCATCCCTAAATGCCCCTGCAGTTTTAACACACTAGGTGGGATCACAAGAGTGTCCAAAGCATCCTGCTGGCAGATGTCACCGCTGCCAGCGTGCCTCTCCCACCTGACACAGGCTCCCTCCCCATGCTGCTGGCCAAGCACCTGCTGGGCCCTCCAGCTCCTCACCAAGGCTGGAGGGCTCAGCACTGCTGGTGGTCTTGCCTCTGGGTGCCAGAGGAAAATGCCTGGAGAGCTTTCAGCTGTGTAGGCCCTCTTTGGCTGGGGAACAGGCTGGAGCACACTGTCCACCAGGGTCTGGCAAGATGGCACAGACCCTGGTTGTTCCTCTACTGGCAATGCATGGCACCAGACACGATCTGCAGCAGAATTTTGGGATGGAAGCATGGAATTCTCCAGTCCAAGCCCTGTTCCAAGCCAGGCTAGTCCCAAAGCCAGAGCAGGATGCTCAGGGCTAACCTATCTTCCATGCTGGTGATGCCACCACCTCTCTGGGCCCTACTCCAGGGCTGCATAACTCCGGTTGGTCACACTGGTGCTAGCTTGTTCCCAAAACACACCACCAGTCTGAACAGGGGGCAGCCACCCTCCTGTTCCCACATCCCAGCCCAGCATGGCTTCCCTCTCTCTTCCAGGGCTGGAGAAGTTTGAGGGCTGCTACCTGCACAGCCGGGACTACAAGAACCCTCAGCCTTTTTTTGGAAAACGAGTGGTCGTGGTTGGCATTGGGAATTCAGGCATCGATATCGCAGTGGAGCTGAGCCACACAGCCAAGCAGGTGTGCTGGGAGAGCTCACAGGGACGGGACCCCAGAGGGGGGATCATCACCCACCATCCCCCGTGGGCTCCCCAACCTCCAGCACCTGGCACAAGCACCCTGTCCCCTCTCTGTGGGGGTGGCTACTGTGGTCCCAGTAGCTGTGCTGGCTTCCCTGTCCCTGGAGCACAGCAGGGGCCCAGCCCAGTCTGAGCATGCTGCCGTGCCACCACCTCTCTTCACCTTCCTTCCAGGTTTTCCTCAGCACCAGGCGTGGGTCCTGGGTGCTGCACCGGGTGGCAGACAATGGGTACCCCTTTGATGTCAGCTATGCCAGTCGCTTTCTGCACCTCATCCAGAACCTGGTGCCTAAAAGTATCCTGAATTCCTTGATGGAGTGGAAGCTGAATGCCCGCTTTGACCACACACTCTATGGCCTAAAGCCCAAGCATGGGTGAGCGCCCCAGCAGCACCCCAGGTACCTGCTCCAGCAATGCCCATCCCCCTGCCAGGACCTGAACGAGGTCTGTCTGTGCCTTCCAGGGTCCTCGACACGCACCCCACTGTCAACGATGATCTGCCCAACCGCATCATTTCGGGCAGGGTGCGGGTGAAGCCAAACATCCAGGAGTTCACAGAGACATCTGCCATCTTTGAGGATGGCACCAGGGAAGATGTCGATGCCATAGTTTTTGCCACAGGATACAGCTTCTCCTTCCCATTCCTCGAGGGCTGCGTGAAGGTGGTGGAGAACGAGATTCCCCTCTACAAATTCATGTTCCCCCCTGATCTGGAGAAGCCAACACTGGCTTTCATCGGCCTCATCCAGCCCTGGGGAGCCGTCATGCCCATCTCAGAGCTCCAGAGTCGCTTGGCCATCTACGTCTTCAAAGGTAAGTCACGGCAGTTTGGGGGATGCAGCTGGGCTCCCCCAGCCATGCTAAGACTGAGTTATTGCTGGTGGCATCCCCTCACATGCTGCCTCTCCAGACTCACCTTTTTATCCTCCTTTTGCTTCTTCATGAGGACAAAACCCCACTTTACATTTTTCTACGGCTCTTGCACTGTTCTTCTCTTGTGAGGGTCACTAATTAGTCCAGTTGCCTGCAACCACATTCTCCCTTTCCTTTCCTGCTGTTATTTTCTTTGCCCATGTCTCCCACTTGCTCCTGACGTAGTGGCACGTCCCAAAAGCCCCACGTACGAACAGGGGCCAGGCTGGGCTGCAGAGCCATCTAGACTATGGCAGGAGCACAGCCCACCCTCCAGCTCCAGCCTCCTTTTGCCCAGGGCTGCAGGGCCTGCCGCCACCCGCTGACATGCTGGCCGAAATCACACAAACCAAGCAGAGAATGGCTGAGCGGTAAGGCCCCGGCGCAGCACGGCGCTGCCACCCTCACCCCCGGTGCTGCCCGTGCCAAACCCTCCTGCTTTCCCTCCCTCGCTGCCCGCAGGTACGTGAAGAGCCAGCGGCACACCATTCAGGTGGATTACATCCCTTACATGGACGAGCTCGCCCACCAGCTGGGGGTCAAGCCCAACCTGCTCTCCCTGTTCCTCACGGACCCCAGGCTGGCCATGGAGGTGGCCTTCGGTCCGTGCACGCCGTACCAGTACCGGCTGCGGGGCCCGGGTGCGTGGGCGGGTGCCAGGGCCGCCATCCTGAGCCAGCGGCAGCGCGTGGTCAGCGCCCTGCAGCCGCGGGCCGCCCGCCGCCCCGCCCGGCCCAGCGCCCTGCCCCACGTCCTCACGGTGCTCTTCAGCATCGGCATGATCGTGGCCACCCTCGTCTACGTCTCGCTCTCTGCTTAGCCTAAAGGGAAGGAGACAGCGGGTGCTGCCGGCAGTCTTCTCCTTTTCCCTTGGGCTTTCCCTCGCTAGCTGCGCCGGAGCACGGAGGGAGCCGTTCCTTGAAGGTGCAGCCTGGTCTGTTGCGCTTTCCCTCTGTGATACCACCGAGTCTGCTCTGGGAGCAGCTCCCTAAGTCCTGGCTCGGCAGCCCCACGAGCTCTATCTATGGGTTAGGTCACAGAGGTGGTGGAGAAACTGGGAACGTGCCCAAGCGGGGGCCTCGGGAAAAGGCAATAAAGCTTGTCGCCGTGCCGCAGGGACCGGACAGCACAGTGCCTGGCTGCGTCAGTCTGAGCTCCAATCCTGGGGGTCCCGCCGGCACCCCGCAGCCCCCTCAGCCCGGCCCGCAGCAGACATGGCCGCCGGCGGCTGAGGCGGCGCGGCCCCCGCCCCGCGCGCCCCTGCCAGCGGCGGGCCGGCCGCCCGCAGCAAACATGGCGGGTGCCCGGCGGCGGGGCCGCGGGTCGGGGGCGGGGCGCGGCCGCGGAGCGCGGCGGGGGCGGGTCAGAGCGCCCCGCAGCGGCCGGCGGGGGGTGGCGCCATCTTGGACGGAGGCGGAGAGCGGGGCGGCGGCGGCGGCAGCGGCAGGTGGGGTCGGGCCGGGCCCGGGCCCGGGGACGGCGGGGCGGGTGTCACGGGTGGGGGTGAGGGTGTCGGCTCCCCGGGCGCCACTGCGGGAGGCGGTGGGTGAGGCGTGGCCGCGCGTCCCCGCGGTGTAGCGGTGTCGCGGTGTCCTGGACCCCGCAGCGGGCAGACCCCGTCTGGCAGCCCCTCGGGAGGGCCCGGCCCTGCCGGTGTGTCCCGCTCCTCCCCCGGGCCTCGGCAGACCCGCGGCTGCCCGTGGGCCGAGCCCGCCGTGACAGCCCCGCCACCGCCTCCGCCGAGCAGAGCCCCAGCCCCAGCCCTGCCTGCTCGGAGGCAGATTTTCCGCCCCCGCTTACCCAGCTCATCCCCTTAACCTTACGGCGAGCTCAGGGCTCAGCTCTGGTTCCCGTCTCCGAAAGAGGGAGAGTCCGGGCGGATCCGGCTTCCCCGGGTGGTGTCAGCCCGGCGAGATGCTGGACCCCATCCCTCCCTCAGAGCCCCCGGGAGTGAATGCCTGCCATACTCCCGAACAGACCCCATCCCTCCCTCAAACGCCCTGGGAATGAATGCCTGCCGGTGCTCCCGGACAGACCTCATCCCTCCCTCAGAGCCCTGGGAATGAATGCCTGCCATACTCCCGGACAGACCCCATCCCTCAAACCCCCTGGGAATGAATGCCTGCCGGTGCTCCCAGTGCTCCTGGACAGACCCCATCCCTCCCTCAGAGCCCTGGGAATGAATGCCTGCCGGTGCTCCCGGACAGACCCCATCCCATCCCTCTTGCAGAAGCCCCTTCGGGCTGCCTGCCAGTGCTTCCCAGCGCGGTCACTGGCCGGGTGGGAGAGGCAGCAAGCGTGGCACATCCCGGGGAGGGGAATGGGTGTAATTCACATGTCGTTCTCCACATGAGAAGCTGGGGCTGGCTGGAGCCGAAGGGCCCTGGTGATGGGGCAGGCAGGCAGGGGCTTGCTGCCAGACTGGGATGTACGGAGATGTTGTGGAGGTTTGCTGGGGCTGTGGTGTGGGCAGCATTTCCATCCTTGACTTGGGTATACCTGTGTCACACCATCTCCCTGTGCTACAAGGGCTGGCCTGGATGCAGCAGCGTTTGAGCTGTAAAAGTTAATTCAGCAAAGCCAGGTATTTCAGGCTGTGAACAAAGACCTGTCCTGGCACAGGCCGGGTGCCTGTGTGTGTGATGCAGGGGATGCAGATGGCACACGCCAGACAGGAACCTGAGATAAACCTCAGGGATTGTTTGGAGAGTGTAACCTGTAAGGGACAGAGGGACTGGAATACTTTTAGAGAAGAGAAAGGGAAGCTTCACACCTGGTAACATCTGCACATATCTCCCAGGTCTGTCCTGCTACAAGGGAAGTTGAGCCTTTCCCACCTTCCTCCCTATAGATGAGAAGTAAGGGAGCCTCAGTGGAGATACTGGAGAGGAAACTCCTCAGCAGCAGGTCTGGTGGTACAGGGGCAGTTTTTGTGAGGAGCTGTCTGAGCCTCTGCAGAGCAGAGGGGAAAGATGTCAGAGCAAGAGGTGCAGCTCATTTCACCTGGATCTTCAGGTGTACTTGATCTGCACTGAGAGGGGTGATGGTATGGCTTAGCTGCCCACATGAGCTGCCTTTTAGCCCTCAGGATTTAAGAAATACTGTTGTAATTGCTCCATAATGTTCTAAAGCCTGGCTTTGGCTGGCAGCCTCACTTGGCACCCTTCATATAACTTGATCTTTTAAACAAACCTCCAAATGTCACAAGTGAGCACATGAAGCAAGGCTGGCTGTCCCCTTGCTTGCTCTGCAGATCCCACAGTAAGCTGAAAGCTGCAAAGTAAGCCTGGAAGTGGGCAAAAACCCCAGTCCATCTCAGCTCCTGGAAAGAGGGTAAGGCCTGAAGATCCTGTGTAGCTTGCAGTGACTTTGTTGTTTATCCTAAAAGGCGTGTGGTTGTTCATGGCTTGGTCAGTTGTGTTTTGCTTTCTCTGCGCTGGGTGAGATTGGGCATGGGGGCCATCTCCAGCTGCAGAGGGACACTGAGGTGGCCAGGGCTGCCCCTCCCTCATCGTGTCCCTGCAGAGAGCTGGGCAGGTGCTGGCTAGGTGACAACAAATGGTCCTCCTTGCTGTGCTGTGCTGCAGCTGACACGGTGACTTGCCTGGTGAATCATAAGTGAATGCTGCTGAGAGCTGAGCTTTTTACAGACACCACAGCATTAGCCCTGCTCCTTGGACAAGCTCCAGCCTGGGCGATTCCATTCGGACACTTTAAATGCTCCCTGTCGCCTTTGCAGGCACAAGGCTCTGCTCTTCTGCCTGCGAGCTCTCGGAGACTTGTTGGGAGCTGTAAAACAGCTGCTACTTTCACTCCCTGGCTGTTTTCTTGCTGGGTTGTCTGTAGAGCTGACTGCAGGACTGTGAAAGAGGCTCTGTTAACACCAGGCAGTTGATTTGACAATAAAGGTTGGCTTTATTTTTCCCATCAGCTCTACTCTGTTGGGTGCCAAGGGTTGATGTGGGACACAGGTGAAGTCGTATTGGTTTTGGAGTCTTCACAATTACCAGCTTAACTAGAGTTATGGTTTCAAGGATGTGGCTATAATTAGGTCAAGCTGTTTGTTTGTTGCATTCCCATTCAGCTCCCAAACTTGGTAGTTGAAATGAACTTGGGGCCTTTTTTAGGGTTGCTGTTCATCTCCACTGGCAAAGAACACTTGGGAGACGGCTCTTTTGCTCCTCTCCTTGCTGCCAGGGCCGTGGGCAAAGGCAGAGTGTTGTTGTGTGTCCCTGCCAGGGGCTGCTGAGGGGCCATGGGGAACACCACCAGCGAGCGGGTGTCAGGGGAGCGCCATGGCTCCAAGTCCCAGCGCTCTGACGGCTCCGGTGCCTCCCACCCCGCCAAGGAGCACCCGCACAAGATCATGGTGGGCAGCACCGACGACCCCAGCGTCTTCAGCTCCCATGACTCCAAGGTAGGGGCTGGCTGCTGCCTTCCCTGCCTGCCCTCCAGAGCCTCAGCACACTGCCTGTGTGTGGGGCTGTGCTTCCAGCCGTGCCAGGCATCTCTGGGGAGCTGGGGGCCTGGAGGAGCTCTGTGGTGCTCCTGTGTGTGGCTGGTAGAGGCCAGCTGCGTGAATGTGTTCATTTGGTCACATCTCTCTGGTTTTCTTTGCCCAGATTCCTGGGGACAAGGAGTTTGTGTCATGGCAGCCAGATCTGGAGGAGTCAGTGAAACCATCCCAACAGGCTCGTCCCACTGTCATACGCTGGGCTGATGGAGGCAAGGAGGTCTTCATCTCCGGATCCTTCAACAACTGGAGCACCAAGATCCCACTCATCAAGAGGTAGCCAGTCCCTCAAGTCATTTACTCTATGTTCATGTCTGCTCCAGAGCAGAGAACATTTTCCTTTGCTCTCTTGGCTTTTCTCTGCTCACTCAAGCTGTGGGTCTGAGGCAAATACATAGTCAGCTCCATCCCTGCATGGTGCTGCAGGGACAGTGGGAAGTTGTGAAACAAGGACAGGACGGGATGGGCCACTTTGCATGCCCAGCTGGATGTCACACAGCAGCCAGTGCTGGCAGCAGAGCCCTGCCCAGGTATGCAGCAGCCCTCTGGAAGCTGTCAGCTCTTCCCTTGGCTGCAGCATTACCCCATGCCTAGTTGTATGGCTGCCAGTGGGTGTTAGTTGTTTGTCCCTCACATATCTTCCTGCCCTAATGATGTTCTCACTGTTCTGCAGCACATCTGTGACTTACATGGAAGCTCATGTAGGACTCTAGCAATTAATCTGGAATGAGTTTATCTCAATTTCAGATTTGACAAACAGAGCTGTCCCACTTGCTCTTGTCCTGCTGTGCCAGCACAGGGCAGGAGCTTTGCCCACGTGTTCTTCGTAGCCTGTCTTGCGCAGGGTGTCTGTCACCTCCACTTTCTCAGGGCACGGAGGGCAGGACTGGCACTTGCAGCTGGAATGCCAGGGCTTTGAGCCGTGGAATGCTCAAAGGAGCATTGGAATGCTGGTGCCTGTCGTGGCCATGCCTTGGGTCACTGATGATGAGCAAGCCTGACCCTGCATGAGGGGTAGAGGGGCTGGGCAGTGCTGGTTCCTAGGGCCGCATGGAAGAGCAGCATTCAGAGCATCAACAGGCTGATGCCTTTGCACATCTGTTCTCTCTGCACAGCCACAATGACTTTGTTGCTATCCTGGACCTTCCAGAAGGAGAGCACCAGTACAAATTTTTTGTGGATGGCCAGTGGGTTCACGATCCATCGGAGGTAATGCTCCAAGCTTTATCCCTTCAGATCTTGTCTTCTTCAGGGAACTAGACAGGATGTAACTGCAGCAGAGAGGGAACAGGGAGAGCAGAGACTGTCTCCTGAAACAAAAGGCACACCTCCATCCCCTGAGTCATTTCAGAGGCTGCTTCCTCTGGACGTAGTCATGATTTATGGGGAAGCATTGGGAAAGAGCAGGGAAATGCCAGAAGGCCGTCAAGTCCCACTGAGAATTGGCAATGGGAAGATGGGCCGTGAGGTCAGCACTCACTTACAGGTTCTCTTCCAAACTGAATCATGGGGGAGCAGCATGGGAAGGACAACACACCTACCCATGGGCATGTAGCAGGATGGAGGATGGAAATAGGAGGTGATGTAGGAGTCTGTGATAAAGGAAAATCCTCCCGGGGTAACAGCAGAGGTCTACAAGTGTAGGACAGAGAGGGACACCAGCCTCCTGTGCTCAGAGGTAGTGTTGCAGCAAAGACAGCTTGGGCTGGGAGGATCTAGGAAGCACTGAATGTGCCTCAGTTGGAGCTGAACATAGGAAGATTCTCACTCCAGTTCTTTCCAGCCCGTGGTTACCAGCCAGATGGGGACGATAAACAACCTCATCCACGTCAAGAAGTCTGACTTCGAGGTGTTTGATGCATTGAAGGTGGATTCCCTGGAAAGCTCAGAAACCTCAGGTCGGGGTGAGTTTTGTGGCATTAGAGCTTTGCATGTGCTATTTCCCACCTCCTCTGCTCTGAGACTCCCTGCTCTGGGTGCACAGACCCCCTGGGCAGAGGTGTGAGCCTTCACTGGGGGTGAGCAGTGTTGGGCAGCCCACAGCTGAGGCCTCATCCCTCTGGAGGGGCTGTGTTGGTGTAACTTGTTCTGTGCTAGCACCATCCCAGAGCAGAGCTGCTGCAGTGCGTGGCTGAGGGAGCCATTTCAGACTGGGAAATGCCAGGAACATCAGCCCTTTCTGTCTGATCAACTGTAAGTCATCTGATCCAGGGTACAAGCTAGGTGATAGCAGGATCCAGTTTATTTTCAGCACCTACTCTTGGTTTTCATGCCAAGGTAATTTGTACCAGTGCTAGCACATTGCAAACCTCCCTGCTTGTGTTACAGCAGCAGGTTGGGTTACCACACAGGCACTGGTGGTGCTGGCTCAGTGTGAAATGCTGGCAGGAAGCTCAGTCGTGTGTGTGTCCCTGGTACAGCCCCATCTCAGGTACAGCTCAGCTCCATGTCCTTTCCCAGCCTGGGCAAGAGAGGCTCTGCTGGAGAGAAGCCAGCAAGCAGCAGCAGCCCAAGGAGATGGAGCCCTTCTGGGGGCTGGCTGTTCCCAAAGGTTCAGATCAGATGTGTCTGGGGATGTGGCCAGTCCAGCTTTCAGTGACCACGAGCTCCCGAGGTCCCTCCCCTGTTTGGAACAGCTGCTCAGTGTAGAGTTCCTGTTTGCCTTCCCTGGACCTCCTCATCAGGCAGCACCTAGAGCAGCCTGCTCCCCGTGCCCCTGCTGCTGAGGGCACAGCTCTGGAGCATGCCAGCTGCTTCCTGCAGGGAGAGGGACCTGGCTGAGCCATGTGCTTGAGGGGTCTTGTGATGGGTAACATGGGGTGCCTGTGTTGTGTCAGTGCATGTACCAGCTTACAGCCCTGCTTGGAATTGCCATGGGCTCACCCCAGCTGCTTTTTCTGCTGTGAAAAGGCTGACCTGTTGCTATAGAATAGATCCCTGCCCATGGCTTGTGGAGGATGTTTGTGCTTGAAAGACCTTGCTGAGTCCTTCTCAGCTTCTTGGGAGCTGCTCTGTGTTCGCCCATCCTGCTTCAGTCATTTCATGTCTCTGCCTTTGTCTTGTCTCTAGATTTATCCAGCTCCCCACCGGGACCTTATGGCCAGGAGATGTACGTGTACCGGCCTGAAGAGCGCTTCAAATCCCCACCCATCCTCCCACCCCACCTCCTCCAGGTCATCCTCAACAAGGACACCAACATCTCGGTGTGTACCAGCATACTGCCCACTGACAGAGCCACACTGGGGTCACAAAGGGAGTCCTGTTGGCAGGGAGCCTGGGCTGCCCTTGGCTGGGGTCTAGCCCTTGGCATTTCCTAGGAAAAGTGTCACTTGTCCCATTTTCCACACTGATTTGGCCTCTGGTGCTTAGCTGAGCTCTGTGCCTGTTCAGAACAGCCAGAGGCAGTGGCAGCTCAAGCTGCCTGAGACAGCAGCTCCCTGTGCTGGCAGGGGCAGGGGGATCAGGGCTCTGCTGTTCCCCTCTGACACTCCTCTCCTCCTAGTGTGACCCAGCCCTGCTGCCCGAGCCCAACCACGTCATGCTCAATCACCTCTACGCACTCTCCATCAAGGTAAGCACAGGTCCCACAAGCTGCAGGTGTGGAGCTGCTCTGGCTCCCAGGAGCCTGCAGCACCTACAGGGAGCAGAACCTGCTCAGCTGGGGGTGCAGATGGGAGCTGGCTGCCTGGTGAGGGGTGGCACACACAGGGGCAGAGGGTGTGACCTCCTGACAATTCCCCTTCAGCTGCCTCCCTGCAGCATGGGGGAGATAAGCATGGATCAGACCCTGCCCTAGCTCTGCCCCGCTGCCCTGTTGTGCATTGGACTGGCTGTGGGAGTGGGGGCGGCAGGGACAGGCTGGGGCAGCTCCCTGAGCCCCAGGGGTGCCCTGGCCCAGGTGCTGACGCTGTCTCCCTCAGGATGGCGTGATGGTGCTCAGTGCCACGCACCGCTACAAGAAGAAGTACGTCACCACGCTGCTGTACAAGCCCATCTGAGCCAGGCCTCACACGCTCCCCACGCAGGACACCAAACGCCGCTTGTCTGCGCACACTGGGCCACGGGACTGTGTGACAACTGGCCACTGGCTCCAGCCTCCAACCTGGCAGGGACGCGGGCCCCGGCAACAAGCTCAGGGCCACTGGGGCCTGTGACGCTGTCCCATCCTACCGGCGTGGTTCAGCCCTTGGTTTCCACCCACCTGCAGCTTCCCTTGGCTTCTGTGAGTCTCTGGGACCACTTTGCTGCTCACCAGAACAGCCCTTCCTCACGCCCAACACGAAAAGGGCTTCACCCTGCCTGTCTTCTCCAACCTGTGAGGGCCTCAAGGTGGTCCTGGCACTGCACCCAGTCCACGCTCCAGGAACACATCCTGTTCTTCTGAAGGTTGTGCTGCTGCCCTGGTGCTGAATCTCCAAGGCCACCTTGTCTGCTAGGGGCTCTGTGACACTCCAGCCTGACATCTGCCCCCTGTTCCACAGCCCTGGCTGTGGGGCTGCCCCTCAGCTTTTTTGAACCTCCGCGAGGTTCAGCATCGAGCCGGCATGATGGACAGTAGAGCTGGACACAGCCACTCTTACCTGCTGCTGTGAGAGCACCATCAAGGACTGCAATGCCCTGTCCCCAATATCAGCTGCTTCTGTGGGACAGGGCTGACTTTGTCATAGTAGAGGGGCACTGGCACATGCCCTGGGAAGACCAGAGCCGGGCAGGCACTCCAGGACCCCGGCTGCACCGCCTGGTGCCGCAGCAGTGCCGTGGGACAGGGGGTTCTCTATTTATTACAGTATTTATTGTTCTCGGTGCTGCTTGCCTGGTGTTGGAGAGGAGGTCCAGAAGAGGAGGAAAGGGAGCACCCAGTGCAGCACAGAGCTGTCCTTGGGTTGTTAAGGTAGGGCACAGAGCCACCCCCTGGGGACAGCCGGGGCCTTTGGCACCCTGTGCTGCAGGTGGTTTGGGGAGGGGGAGCACGGCTGCAGACAGGCATGCCAGAAACACCACAACCCAAAGGAGACCTTTATTGGGGACTCTTCAGCCACTGAACAGAATATGGCATTTCTTACATCTTCTTCCTGCGCTGGGGCCCCGACATGTGCCGAGTCCCCAGAGCGCGTTTCCAATATCTCTGTCTATATACATATACATACATCCACAAGCAGGGACAGGGACTGGGACTCATCGCGGTTACAGAGGGGACCAGGTCCCAGGGCAAGGTGTGCTCAGCATGGGGGGCTGTGTCACCTCACTCTGAGCACGGAGGGTGGAAGGGAGCAAGTGCTGAAGCATGGGCCAGACAAAGGCCAAGCCAGCAGTTGCTGCTGCCATGCCAAGCAAAGGCTGGTGGAGGGCATGCAACCACCACAGCAGCCCAAACCCACGAACTGTGTAGCTCTGGACATCCCAGACCCCTTTCACCCTAGCCGTCAGAGCAGCAGGGATAGGGTCCACTCCAGCCCTCTGGCACAGCTCAGCTCAGCAGCCAGCGGGCTCTTCCATGCTGGCCATTGCTCCTTGCCCTGCATGGGCTCACGCAACAGGCAGGGCCTGCTGGGCCTTCACCTGGCAAGAGACAACACATGGCAATAAGGAAGAGCACTACTGTGCCCTGGAAACAGGGAGATGCTAGCTGAGGACAGATGAGAATGTGTCCCTGTGTCCCCCACAGTCACCCAGCTAGCCCTCAGCACTCCAGGACAGCCACCAGGGGTGTGTGCCACCTGTGTCCATCCCCAGGGCATCAGGGCAAACTCACCTCCAGGTTTGTCCTGGCCTTGCGCAGCACACTGTGGGTCCTGGTCACTGCAGGAGAGAGAGATGGGGTCAGTGAGGTCCCTGTGCCACAGAACCACATGGGCACGTGGGGAGCCGGCCAGCTTGGCTGTGCCACCAGAGCACGTACACTGGCTGACGATGAACTGCTCCATGCTGTCCTTGAGCTGGGCTGTGCTGCGCAGCCGCCTGGCCGTGTTCTGTAGAGCATCCTCCCTCTCGGAGAGCCGGGCCCGCAGTGCCGCGATCTCACCCTGGAGCACCTGCTCCTGGGACAGGGGCGGGGGATGAGCTCTGAGCACCCGGCCCCAGTGCCCCGCCGGCCCCCAGCCCCTGCTCACCTTGCCCTGGTGCTGGGCAGGGCTCACGGGCAGCACGGTGCTCCAGAAGGCAGCAAGGAGGGACACGCACTCCTCCAGGATGCCGTGCAGGGTGCTGGCGCTGCCCCACAGATGCCCCTGCCCCGTGCCCGTCCATCCCAGGGCCTGCGGGAGAAGGGTGCGGGAGCAGGTGCTGCCGGGGCACCCCCATCCCGCCGCAGCCGGGGAGTGGCCTTGCTCAGCCCGGCACAGCTGGGCAGTGCCGGCAGCATTCCCTGGCCTGGAGGCTCCCTGCCTCCAGCTGCCCCTGCAGCCCTCGGGGCTGCTTCTGGGGTCGGGAGCCACGTAATGCACTGAGGTGCACCGAGGGTCTGGCCCCCAGCTGCTGCCTGCCCCGTCCTGCCCACGCTTTACCTCCTTTGCCGGGAGCGGGCAGCTGGGCAGCCCGAGTGCTGGCCGTGTGAGACACATCAGCTCCCGGGCCAAGGCCTTTCCCTCCACGATGTGCTGCTCCAGGGCTCGGTACGTGTCCAGGCGGCCGACAACGTGAGCCCCCGTCAGTCCCTCGCTCTTCCTCAGCAGCACGTCTGCCCCGCGTGGCTCTGTGGAGCAAGCTGGGTTAGGAGAGGACCACTGCCCGCTCCCCTGGTGACCCACCCTGTCCCATCCCAGGCACTCGACTCTGCTCTGAGCTCTCCAGTCTTGCTCAGCAAGGGTGCTGCCACGAGTTCAGCAGAACCCACCGTCCATCCGCCGGAGCACCGACGTGCTGGAGGGCAGTGGGGACAGGAGGGGAGCTGCTGAGTTAGTGCCAACATCACGCACTGGAGGAGATGGGAAGCAGCCTGGAACAAGAAACATCTGAGCCCTTGCAGATAGATGTGGCGCTGTGCCTGGGGCTGCTGGGGTCCTGCCCTCCCTCTCTGCCTGCCAGCAGGGCCACTGTGTGTTACAACCTGCTGCACCAGGAGAGGTGTCTGGGACCACCCAGGGGTTGCAGAGGGGCCAGGCACCCCAAGGGCAGGGGCTGGGCAGGGATGCCGTGCATGGGTCCCATACCTGCTCGTGTCTCAGCACAGGGGCCCGGGAGGCTCTCGTAGACGTGCAGCTCTGCACGCAGGGTCTGCAGGAGCAGGCGCTGCTCCTCACTCTGCTGCTGCAGGAGCGTCACTGAGTGCTGTAGCCTGCAGAGGTGACACGTCGGTCCTGTGCCAACCCCCGCTCCCAGTCCTGTGGGCCCAGGGCCACAGTACCCCACACCTTACCTGTTGTTGTCCTCCTGCAGAGAGCGCCGCTCGTCCCGGAGCTGCCGGACACTCTCTTGGCACTCGGAGAGCTCCTCTGCCAGCCTCCGCTGCTTCCCACGCCACTGGCCCAGCTCTGCCTCAGCCTCCCGTGCCCGGGAGCAGGCAGCCACAAGTGTCTCCTGCACCCGTGCCAGCTCTGGGGACAGAGAGCACGGAGGTGTCACCACCACCCCACTCAGCCTGTGCCCTCCGGGGCTCAGCCCCAGAACGCTGGCCCAGCCCTACCTTGGGAGAGGTGGTCCCGTTGGAGCCGCAGGGTCCGGTTTTCCTCGTGCAGAGCCTGGTTCTCCCTGCTCAGCTGCAGCCCCAGCTCCGGTGTCTGGGCATAGACATCACTGGGCAATCCTGTGGAGGGGAGCAGTGTTGAGTCTCTGTCCCAGTGCCCTGCTGTGCAGGGGGTGAGCAGAGGGATGTGCAGAGGCCTGGCCCCGCAGCCCCAGCCCGTACCGCTGCCCTTGCCGGCCAGGCGGCGCTCCAGCTGCTCCCGGAGCCGGTCGTTGGTGCAGATGGACTCCTCCAGGCGCTGGCGCAGGTTGCGGATCTCCACCAGGTGTTCCTCCAGCAGGTCTGCCCCTGCCACAGCCAGGGACACAGCTCAGGGCAGGAAAGGCTGGGCCTGCCCCTCTCCACAGCAGAGCCCTCTCCCGCAGCTGTTGTGGTGCTGGATCTCTTCCCAGTACCCCACAGGCAGGTGGGATGCCCTGTGCTCTCCACCATGGACCATACCTGTCAGCTTCTGCCCACAGGGGTACCCCGGGGGCAGGGCCCCATAGAGCAGCTGGCCGGGCAGGGGCACGTCCCAGAGGCCATGGGGGAGCTCAGCTGGGCCCTGCAGGGCTCCGTGTCGGCAGAACGATGCTGGGGCTTTGCTGCCCTCTCCAAAAGGGCCCAGTGGCACCGTGGGCTTTGCTGGTGCCATGGGCAGTGTCACACCTGCACACACAGGACAAAGCAGGGAGGAGGAGAAGGACAATGAGCAGGTAGGAAGAATGGGGCAACGAACTCCCTCATCTGCTTTTCCCCCCCTTGTTGCTCTTCTCAACAGTGCAGTCCAGTGTCCCCATCACTGACCTCCTGTCCCAACCAAACCTATTCCCCCTGAGGAGCAGGGGCTCTCCCAGGACTTGATGATTACATGACACAAGGTTGAGGGTCTCCACCCAATTCCTACACAACACCTTACCAAATCAGCCTTTTCCTAGAAGACCTGGAATATGCCAGTGTCTACACCTAGGGCTAATGCTGTGTTGGAATGGGTCCCTCCAACCCATCAGGTCCTCTCTACATGAAAGCCACATTCCCACTGTCCCCCAGCCAGAGCAGTGGGACCCAACCTCAAAGCCATAGCCCTGAGAAGAAGGAGGAGATCAAGGGCAGGACATGCAGGTCAGAAGGGGTGGGGATGATGTGTCACAGCACAGCATGCAGGGCAGGCAGGACCAAACCCAAGCCAAGAGGCAGTGTGCTCACTTTCTCCCAGTTGCCTCCGGAGCACCTGCAGTTCCTGCTGTGCCTCAGCCAGGGAGCAGACAGAATTCCCACAGCAGCCCAGGAGTGGCGGGGCCGCAGCAGGAGGGGGCCCGGCAGGGAGGAAGGGGGACAGCCCGGGGGCCAGGGCAGGTAGGGGGGCACTAGCAGGTTGGGACAAGGAGTCAAAGTGAAGGCCTAGAGACAGGAGAGAGATGGAGAGAGAGGGGTGTCACATGGCTCTGGCTCAGCCTGGCAGAGACCCTCCTCCCTGGTGCTCTGGGGACCCTGGCACAGCCCGAGAAGCCAAGTCCCTGTGTCCAGGGGTGCTGCAGTTGTGGCCCCTGGTGGTACCTGTGTGTTGGGCGGGCTCCTCGTGGCACTGGCTGTACTCACTGGCTGCATCCCCATCAGAGCAGGGCTCCAGCCCCTCGGAGGTGAAGGATGAGCTGCTGGCAGAGTGGGATGACTCCGAGGGTGGGCAGCTGCTACCTGGGGACTCAGAGCGCTCCTGCAGCTTCACCTCCAGGCTCTCAATCACCTTCTCCTTCTCCTGGAGCTCCCGGCTGAGCCTGTGGAGATGGCCCATCACCAGGTCTGAGCTCCATCCCACAGCCCTTTCCTACATGATGCCCCACGTGCCGTGTCCCACTAGTGACGCACGGCTGCTCAGAGATACAGAGTGCCCACAGGGCTTGCCATCCCCAGAGCAGAGCAGTCCCAGGACATCCACCTGGGGCAAAGACCCTGAGGGCACTCTGGGCCCCCACCCTAAGAGCAGTGATAGACCTCAGGGTGCCCATGCCAACACATCCCACAAAGCCTTCCTTGGGAACAGGTACCTCTGTGCCAGGAGCTCATGACTGGTTTTATCCTCCCCGTCTTGTCGATCTCCTGAGAAAGCAAGCCAGAGAAGAGCCAGTCAGTGTCTCCATGTCCCAGGATGCCTGGTCCCACACAGAGCCATAGCAAGACAGCCCAAACCAAAGTGGGTATCCCACACAGCACACAGTAATGTGAGAGCACCTCCTGCTCTTCACCCATCAAAGCATCCCTTCCTGACCCATCACACGCCCATGACACCCAGCCCCACTGCCCCCCTAGAGGTGCTTACTGATGCCCAGCTTGTCGCTGAGCCTCTCAGCCAGTTGCCTGCCCTGGGCCAGCTGCTCCCTGAAGCCCTGGCCCAGGTAGTAGTCGATGTCAGTGCCCCGGAGGAGGTCCTCGAAGGAGCGCAGGGCGTCCCGCAGGTGCTGGGCCAGGCTGCGGCTCAGCCCACGGCCCTCCCGCAGCACCTGCCGCAGGTGGGAGAGCTCCCGAGCCTGGGCCTGGATCAGAGAGTTGTATTTCCTAGGAGAGATGGGCAAGCAGGGTGTTCACAGGGCAGCCAGACGCGCTGAGAACACAGCAGGGATGAAGTGCCATGGTGTGGAGACCCTGGGGGGCAGTCCCTGGTCTAGGGAGACACAAGAAGCTTCCCTCAAAAAGCTGTTAGACCCCATTGGCTCCTTCCCCTGTTCCTATGTCTGTTCCTTATGTTCCTGAGCCACTCCTTCCCTATTCCCCGATTGGCCCCCACCTTTGTACTGCCCCAGACCAGGGTCAGCCCCCAGACCCCCATAGAGAAAAAGCTAGACGCTCTGGGTGTGGGTGCTGGGAGCTGAACATCTCACTGTGCAGCTGAATAAAACATCTGTGGATATTATGCAAAGGTCCTTTTTGCTTCCCTACCCTGGGCTATGCTAGCAACAATTCAGACTCCTACACCGTGGAGGGAGTCTGTGCCTCATCCACGGCTGGGACTCTGCCCTACCACACAAACACCCCAGGAACCTGCCTGCAGGGAAACCAAGCAACAGGGAGCCACCAGCCTCGGGGAGCTCCTGGAAATCCCTGTATCTCCCCATCTGCTCCCAGCCCCCAGGGCCATACCCTGGCCAAGTGGCAGAGTGCAGCTCCTTGGGCAAGGTGGCTCCGTGCTTGGCCGCGGGCAGCTGTGCCTCGAGCAGGGTGACGCGGTGCACCAGGCTCTGCAGGTCGCGGTGTGCCCGCAGGGCGGGTGGGCACAGCGTGCCGTGCCCGTCCGACTGCCAGCCCTCGTCCTCGTCCGTCAGGCTGTGCGCTGGGGACGCCGAGGCCTTGGGAGCCGCCAGGGGCCGCTCAGCACCTGAGGTGTAGCCACTGGTGACAGAGATGGAGCGGGCACGGCGCTGCAGGCTCTGGATCACCTTGTTGGCATTGAGCAGCTGGGCCTTGAGGTCCTGGATGTGCTGGTGCAGGGCCTCCACATCCTCCATGGTTTTCTGGGCATTTTTGGCCACTCTGGACATCCCTGGCTGGCACGAGGACCCCAGCTCCTCACCCAGGCTGGTCTCACTGAACACATCTGGCTCCTCGCACTCTGCAGAGGGCACAGTGTGTCACTCCTCTGTGCCAGGGGGGCAGAGCACAGGGATCCCTGGAGCCCTGGCTCTCCTTACCAGGGCTGGTGGTCTCATCACGGTCAGCCTCCGTCTCACTGCGCCCACAGGTCTCATAGCCCAGGTCCTGGAAGTCCACCTGCACTTGCTTGCTGAGCTGCTGTGCCTGAGGTTCACCTGTTGGGCAGCACCATCAGCTCAGGGCCCCCCGGGCAGGAGTCACCACCCCTGCCCCATGCACAGCCCATGCACGGGGCTGAGAACACGCCCCCACCCCACCCTGGCTTTTAACTCACGGAGCAGGACGTGGTATTTCTCCAGCTGCTCAGCTTGTGCCCGCACCGTGGCCTCCGAGGCAGCGAGCTTGTCCTGCAGCTCCTGGCACTGCCTTTGGCCCTGTGCCACCTGGGAGCGCAGCTCTGCGCCCAGCCCGGGCCAGCCCCCGCCGGGAACCGAGCCCTCCACCTGCCGGAGGGGAGATGGACTGTCAGCTCCGCATTTCCACCCTCATCCCCATCTCCATTTTCATCTCCATCCCGGTTCCCTGCGCACTTACATGGCTCCCGTCCCCTCCACCGGGGCTGCCAGGGCAGGGTCTCTTGGGCATGTCACCCTGGGCTCGGGTCTCCAGCGCCGGGCGTTTGGTGGGCACAGCTCCCCTCTCTGCCGGGAGCCCTGGGCCATCCCCGCTGCCTCCGGCCGGGCGCTCCCCAAGGGACCCGCGGCTCTTCCGCGGCAGCCGCCGGGGCTCGGGGGCCAGGGGGCTGCCCAGCCCCGGCTCCTCCTGCTCCCCGCTCTCCAGTAGCGACGTAGCTTCACCCATCCGCTCCTTCAGCTCCGCGTTTTCCAGGCACAGGCTCAGCATCGCCTTCCTGGGGGCACAAGGCACGGTAAAGGACGGGCAGAGGCCGGGATCCAGGGTGTCCCCTCCGGCCACTGCCACCCCCGGCTCCAGAGCCCCAGAGCTCTTGCCTGATGTGGGAGACAGAGGAGAAGCCGGCTTCCTCCAGCTGCGCCTTCAGCTCCCGCAGCTCCTCCTCAGCCCGCAGCTCCCGTTCGGGCACGGTGGGCGCTGTGCTCCTTTCGGTGCCCCCATTCTCCTTGCGGGCCCGGGGGTTGCTCTAGAGGTACAAAGGGTGACAGGGACGTTTCCCAAGGGCTGGGACGCGGTTTGGCGCTGGCGCAATGCCCAGCTCCGCCACCCCCGCTCCCGGCGTGGCGCTGCCCCGACTCACCTGCTGGGGTGCCGAGCCACGGGCCGCCTCCTCCTTCATGCTGTCGGTGAAGTTGGTGCTGCCATCGGTGTGTGTACCTGCGGCCTGACCTGGGGGACAGCACAGCACACGGGGCGCTCAGAGCAGCGGCACTGGCAGCGCTGCCTCTGTCCCCTCCTCCTGCTGGTACCCACGGACACTGCGGGCAGCCCCAGGGCGGTGTCTGCTCTCACACACACCCGCTGCTGGGATACTCCCGGCTGGACCGAGCTTCCCCTGCCGTCCCTGGGTGCTGCCACCCCCTCCCTGCACACTGCACCCTGTGCTGGCCCATCTCTGAGGGAGGGGACAGACCCGGGGATGGGAGCACGGCAATGGCTCCTGCCCCATCCATGCCTTGTGCTTGCTGCCCTGACAGACAGACAGACAGACACGGGCACCACCCACCCTGCAGCCGCTCCACACGCCACAGCCAGCAGCAGCAGCAGCACAAGCTTGGGCAGGGAGCCCCGCTGGACTGCCCCACCCTGCTGGGAGGATTGGGGTGCACATCTCACATCTCCTGCCCAGGCAGGGGCAGCTCGGGAGCAGCCACCCTGCCCTCAGTGCTGTGCTGTCAGACATGGCCCGGGGCTCCCTGCAAGCCCTGTGCTGGCTTTGCAGAGCTAAAGGGACACTTGTGTCCCTACATGTGCATGGAAAGCTTGGGCAGAGCTGGGGTCATGCTCTTCTGCTTGCACACAGCTCTGCTCCCGTCCCCTTGGTGCCAAACCCTGGGTGAGGACTCAAGCCCCTTGTCTGGGCAGCTGGGACGTGGCTGTATCCCCAATCCCTGTCACAGACATCTTTTATGGAAAAGCCTTTCCTTAGGATTTTTCCTCCTGAGAAGCTGAGAGGCCTCAGGAACAAATGTAACCAATGGTTATCTGCTGCTGTGGAATGCAACAGGTGCATCTGGGATTGGTCTCATGTGGTTGTTTCTAATTAATGGCCAATAACAGTGAGCTGGGTCAGAGAGTCTGAGCCACAAGCCTTTGTTATCATTCTTTCTTTTTCTATTCTTAGCCAGCCTTCTGATGAAATCCTTTCTTCTATTCTTTTAGTATAGTTTTAATATAATATATATTATAAAATAATAAATCAAGCCTCCAAACATGGAGTCAGATCCTCATCTCTTCCCTCATCCTAAGACCCCTGTGAACACAGTCACAAATCCCTCCTCTCCCCAGGGGGAGAGATATTTAGACAGGGCCCAAGACTATCCCCTAGAGCTGTGAAAGGGCAGGTTCCACAGCTGCCTGTGCACCAAAGGAGAGGTAACTACTTTGCCTGTGGCCAAATCCATCAACTCTGGAGCTGCCAGGCAAGGCAGAACACAGAACAGGGGAGCACAGAGAGATGCCAAGCATCACTGCTAAAGGGGAAGCCAGCAGGGATGCATCTGGCTCTCAGGAAGAATAGCCAAGGAGCAGCCAGGAAGGTGCCTTGCAGCAGGGCAGGCATTTGCACTGTGCTCATAGCTGGGGACACACTCAGGAGACCCCTGTGTGCCATGAGGCTGCAAAAATGTGGGGAACCTCACTGCTGAACCTGGCCAGACACCACCTGCACGGCGGAGCCTGTCCATGCAAGCAGCGGTGTCCCAGGGAGCAGGGACAGCCACCACTGCCCTGGGGAGCAAGGACAGCCATCACTGTCCCGGGGAGCAAGGACAGCCATCACTGCCCCGGGGAGGAGGGACAGCCATCAGTGCCCCGGGGAGCAAGGACAGCCATCACTGTCCCAGGGACAGCCATCAGTGCCCCGGGGAGCAGGGACAGCCATCAGTGCCCCGGGGAGCAAGGACAGCCACCACTGCCCCAGAGAGCAAGACAGCCATCACTGCCCCGGGGAGCAAGGACAGCCATCACTGTCCCAGAGGGCAGGGACAGCCATCACTGCCCCAGGGAACAGGGACAGCCACCACTGCCCCAGGGAGCAGGCACAGCCATCACTGCCCCGGGGAGCAGGGACAGCCATCAGTGCCCCAGGGAGCACAGAGAGCCATCACTGCCCCAGGGAGCAGGGACAGCCATCAGTGCCACACAAAGGAGAAATGCTGTTCTGGGAGCGAATGGCTCGGCGGCAGCAGCAGCGCGGGGAAGCAGCAGCTCCTGTAGGCGGCACTCGGCACAGCCAGAGCCCAGGCCCGGAGCCCCAGGGACAGAACCAGAACCTGCCGGCGGCTGAAGCAGCCGGGGCAGCAGCAGTGCCTGGGGGCCCGGAAGGGTGAGGGGTCAGACCGTCGGCCGCAGACTTTGCTGGGCTCTCAAGGTGGGTCACCGTGGCTGAGGGACCGCAGCAGGGACACACAGCTGCTCTGAGAACCAGCCCTTGTGCCAGGGCACAGCATCCCACTTCTCACCACTGCCCACAGCTCCACGCGGCTCCCAGTGCTCCGGGGCTGAGTAAAAGGGAGCGCAATTCTCAAGGCAAAAGGACCCCAAACCCAACTAAAACCAAGGGCAGAAGAGGGAGCTGGCTGAGGAGCAGAGATGTGTGCACGCAGGGCAGCTGTGCCCTGGCTGGTGCTCAGCACGTGCTTGAGCCCCCATCACAGCAGGAGCACACCAGGCTGCTCAGCTCTGTCACCACCACCAGCACAGGAGACAAGAGATGCAGCCACAGCTCTGCTTTCCCACACACTCCTCAGGCTTTCAGCCCAGCCTGAAGGCACAGAGAATTAATTACATGCTTGCAAATTGTACACAGCCCACGAGCACAGGACACTCGGGTACAGGGGCTGCACAGGAGCCTTCACACTGTGGGAACAAGGGACAGGAAGCGAGGTCCTCAGGGAAGTTCAGAGAGGAAAGAGTGACTTCCACAAAGAGCTACGAGACAGCACAAAGCACTGCACAGTTTGACAGAGGGTGATCTCAGGCAGGGAATGCTCAGCCAGGACTATCAGAGATAAGAGGGGGCCTTAAAGAACAGGCCAGAAAAGCTGGGGCACGTGAGCCTAGGATAACACTGCCCCTAAGGGGCACTGATGCTAACAGAGGCAGGGACAGATCTACAGCAAAACAGACACAGGTGGAGAAGGGAGGTGCCTGAGCACCAGCCAAGACTCCTCTCAGCCATGCCAATGAGTCTGGGCTGGGTCCTGGGCTCCATGGCACCCAAGGGACCAGGGGGCCAGCTGGGCATCAGTGCCAGGATGGCAGGGGGAAAATGGAAAGGTAAGAACAGGGACACAAAGGCTTCTACAAAGTGAGAAGCAAAAGGATGAAGAGAAGATGGTGCTACACAGAGAAGTGAGAAGAAGGGAATGAGATGAAACAAAGAAAGGAAAAGCTAACAAAGTCCAGAGCTGCCCAGCAGCTCCCAGCTGTGTCCCTTCGAGCCACAGGGGAACTGCTCCAGTCACAGTGCAGCTGAGTGCTGACCCAGAGGGGAAGTGCTGCCCTGCTGGGTGCCAAGGGGAGCTCTGCTGCCTCCCAGCCCCGGGGACACAGGGAGGAGAAGCCCCCAGGGCAGCACAAGGCACAGGTGGTGCCATCTGAAGCAGTTGCAGGGAGCCATGCAGCAGAGCAGCCTCAGTCCAGGTGTGCAGCCCAGCACCACAGAGCTCTTCTGCTCTGCCTGCCCCTAGCTCAGCCTCCCCAGCAAGCACAAACAGATGCTCAGAGCTGCAAAATTTGCTCCTGCCATTCTGAGAAGTGAGTACAAGACAGCAGATCCACAGCCCACTGTGCATGGGAAGCCCTGATCCTTGCAGGGTTGTTGCTACTGTTTTTCAGCTTTCACACCAGCTCCCACATTCCCAAAGAAGGTGGAAGAGAGCCTGGAAAAGGTATGCAGAGGTGCCAAGGGGGACAGACACCTCAGAAACAGGGTCCTGTCCGTGGCCCAAGGGACACATGGAGCATTAAGGGTTAAGGGATATGTACACCTACGAGTAAGGGAGCAGACCCAGCCCAGACCCTGGGAGCAGGGACAGGTCTCAGTCCCCCCAGACCATCTGTCTTAAAGAGGAGGAAACTTTCCCATGAAGGCACTCACAAATTACGTTGAAACAACTTACAATTAGGAAAAAAAGCCAGTCAGTAAAATCATTAACACTGGAGTAGGATTTGGTTTAAGCATAAACTGAATTGCTGGTTCTACACTCAAGTCTTGTGTAAAAGGCCCAGGCAAGTGTCCCCAGGTCTTGAATTCTGTCTCTGGAACACACTTTTCCAGATACACTGTCTCCCTTTGGGCCAGCCACCATCAACCCAAGGGGTGGGTGTCACTGGGTAAGAAAAATGGTGAGGGAATACAAAAACTCACACTCATGCACTTGGGAGATGATAGAAAACATCTGGTGTTTCCTTCAGAGATAGGGAATCTTTATTTGGCCCATGGTGGTTGGAAAAGAAGGGAGATAGAGGGAATAACTAAAATGGAATGATTTGAATGTGCAAATACATCAGTGGCCACCAGGGTGGGTCAGACAGGAACGTACACGAGACACAGGTGGATTGCACTGATCGCCGTTTCCAAAGCAGCTCAAAAATAAAACAAAAAAGAAGCCCTGCCCCAGTTCTATCGTACCACAGCAAGTACCAAAGCTCAGTCAGTGAGACAGGTTAGTGAACCGTTTCCGTGGCAGGCGGGCGAGCGCCAGTGCTCAGAAGGCATGCTGGGGGAGGACTCTCACACGCTCCTGTTCCCCACCTCCTATGGCGCCCTGTGTCTCCAGCCTGCTCAAACACTCCAAGCTTCTTCCAAGAGCTTCTTCCAGCTGTCCCCGCAGCTCGTGGACCCCTTCCAGCTCCACCTGCAGGGCGTGGTCTCTCGCAGCGCTGAGCGGAGCGCGGCACAGGAGGGAAGAGGGTTAGACCGGCCCCGCCCTCAGACACCGAGCCAGCGGCCCAGCCACCTCCTGCCTCACCTCCAACCTCCCCAGAGCGCAGCCACCCCCAAAAAAGGCCCCAGCCCGCGGTAGGGGCCTCGGAGTCGCAGCTGTTCTGCAGTACTTTCCCAAGCACTCCACTTATGTGCTCCCTTTGCTATCAGGTAGCTCAAATATCCCAGAGGCTGCAGCCCTGTGAAGGGCAGGGGATTAAATCAGGGGACAGGCAACTGCCTGGATAAGCACCTAGAGGGATCCTTATCAACCCAACAGTTGGCTGAGAATTTGACAGCAGCCTCTGAAAGGTGGCCAAGTGTGGGTGGGAAACTGAGCTGGGAAAAGATAAGCCAAGGAACAGAGATGGAAATCTCATGGCAATGGGGGGAGTTTAGGCAGCCATGACAGCTGCCCACTGCAGCCTCTTCAAGGGAAAAAGGCAGCCTAAAACTTGGACTCTCAAAGAGGCATTTGGCTGATCCTTTGCCTAGACTCCCTCTAAAACTGAGAACTCTCAGACTTGCCTGCAGAGCAGGGCAGCACAGAGCCAAGGCAGCCTCACTTACCTGTCTGGGTGTGTGTGAAACTTCACCAGGCTGCCATAGAGCTGCCTCTCTGCCTGGAGAGCCTCATTTAACCGATTCCTCTCAGCCACCAGCCCTTCCAGCATCAGTAACAACTGCTTGGAGAGAAGAGACAAGGTGCAGCTCTTAAACAGAGACAGAAACCAAAGGAGGTTATCTACCTGTCCCTGACAAACTGAGAATTCCCTTTCCTCTCTTGCTTGTGTTCAAGTTGGTTCACGTCATCCCTGGACTCCCAAAAGCCTCTGCTCTTTGGACAAGTGCTAAAGAAAGCTGATCTTCTCCTCTGTATTCCCACAATCACACACAGCCAGCTTCCAAGAACCAGCACACCCTGGCCTATCTAAAGGCTGAAAACAAAACCTCATACCTGAGTGCCAGCAGAAACACAAGCACATCCAAGCCTGCCCCACTGGCACATTACCTGCTGCCTTCTGTTTCCAGCAGCCTCCTGTCCTTGGGACTCTGCTACAGCCACTTTCTCCCGAAGCACCAGCACTTCTTGTGTCAGCCTTTCCATGGCTGGAATTTCTTCAGGATCCACCAGCTGCATCTGCAGATCCTGAAACCCAACAAACAGCAGGAGAGCTCAGTGAGGAAGGGATCAGTAACAAAGGCAGCTGCACCTTTGCAAACCTCCCTGGAATGCAAGTGCCAGAAGTTTCCAGTGTTTGGAAAGATCCAGGTCTTCTAAGGAAAAAATGCCAAAGCACTGAGAGTGGATTAGGCACAGGCCAGAGTGTTCAGTAAGAACCAAGAGGGGACACAAGAAGGGTGCATTCTGATTAAAGGACTTGAAGGAGGGTGTTTGGTACAGAAAGAGCAAAACACCAAATAAGAACAGTCTGGGGGTTTGGGGCCTTTGCCTTCTGGCCAAAGGAGCCCAGAGAGCTGTAGGCAAACCAGCAGCAATAGCATCTGGTATAGCCAGCCACACTGCTCTGAGGATGTGGGGAACAAAGAGACTCCTCTGCAGCATTCCCAGGTGGAAGTCCCCCAGCCTAGCACAGCATCTCACCTTGATGAGGTCCTCTTTCATCTGGATGGTTCTGGTCAAGGACTCAATATCTGAGGCCTGCACCTGCAGCTCCTCCTCCTGCGTGGCCACGACAGACTGGAGAGCAGTGAGCTCCCGCTGCAGAGGGAAGAGAAGCCCCTCAGAGACTTCCGAAAGCCAACACCCCCCTGCAGGACACTGCCCTCCTTTTCTCACTGGGGTACCCTCACAAGAGCAGGGTCCAAAACCTCCAGTGAGGGCCCCTAAGGTCTCCCAAAAGCAAAGGAGACCAGCACAGGTTCCATCACAAGCTCACCCTGCTTTCCCTTTCCTTCTTTGCCATTAGCTCCAGCTCCTCTTTGGCATTGACAAGATCCTTCTCCAGTTCTGCTGCTGACATTGTAACTGCAAAGACAGCTTGGTTACTGCAGGAACACCGTGTGCCAGTTCAGACCCCAGGATCACACTCAATCCCTCTCTGGCAAGACAGGGCCCTGGTGCTTGTGCTCCCTATCACACTGTTTCTCAGTAAATGCTTTTCTTCCTTGCTTGGTCTTTCAAGAGCAGCTGAAAGCAATGGCAACATCACAGGCCTGCTGTCCTACCCCTGGCAAAGTTCACGTGTCCTGGTCCCAAGGCAAAACCCAAAACAGTTACACACTTGTCTCAGCTCAGCCTGAAACAAAGTCAAAAACTCTCCAGTGGGCAGCATCAGATCTTGAGCAGAAACACCTCACCTCAAATCCAAAAGCAGCCTTTCTCTTTCTCTTACTCCCATTCTCAGACACCACCCAGACGACAGGCAGAGCTTTATTTCAAAATTCTCTTGTTCAAAGTTCTCTACTGTTCCTCAGTTTTGTGTAATCATGTTTTCCCCACAGCAGAAAGCCCTGGTCATATTTGGGGACCTCAAAAGATGCTGTCCCACACTGACCTTCCTCTGTCCTGCAGCTGCTGTCTTCCTGTGGGGATCCAGCAATGACTGTAGCTCCATAAGCTCTTTGCAGTAACTCCTGAAAACATAAAAGTCTGCAGGTTTGCATTTTCATGGGGAACACACAGCTTCCCCAGAACTCCAGGACTGCAGCAAAGCTGCTGGCTGTTCTGTTGACACCTCTAAAATGTGAACAAACAATGAAGGGGATGTAGCCTGGCAGCAGGAACAAGTGAATTGCACCCAGAAGTTGTACTTGTGGGGAAGAGGGCACTGGCCTTGTTTTATTTGGCACTGGGAAGCTGCTGGTAGCAAGTGTCTTCACAGTAAAGATTAAACAGGTTTCATCAATTGCAGCAAGACCATCTTTCAACTGAGACTCATCTTTATCTCAGATGTGGCCCAAAGAGACCATGCAGGAAGGAAAACACATCCCTGGAAGTCTCTAGAGCTGGGAATAGAAACCTGTTTACAGCTGCTTAAAAACATTTAACAAGTCAGCTCATCAGTAAACCATTAACAGCTGCTCAAGTAGGAGCCATGGCATATGCAGCCTTGGAGCTGTGTTCAGCCTCAAAGGGGGTTTTAGCAAAGCTGCTTTAAAAATACCAACTCCAATTGTGGAAGAGACAGCAAACAGCCAGCAGGCTCTGCCAAGAATTAGTGAAACCTAAATTTAGCTCTCTTGTCCCCTCCAGAATGTGACAATGTCAGGGAGGGGATTACAATACAGCAAGGCAGCCCAGCCCAAGGAAGGAGTGGGTCAATGCTACAAGGTCAAAGGGTGGATGTCTTTCATACTCTCATGTGCCCCAGGGATCCAATTACTGCTCCATCAAAACAAAGAGACACTGAGTGACAAAGGCTGGTGAAATCAAGATCAGAACACTCAGGCAGCATTCCTGCTCCTCAGTTTCTCCTTCTTCTATAGGAAGACTTTTTGGTAATCCCACTTTCATTTCTATCATTCTCTGTGGTGCTCTTCTCTCTCCTATTTACTTCTGTGGCAATCAGTTCTTTCTGAAGCCTCAAGGCCACAGGCAGAGAAACACAGTGCATGATTCTTACTTGTATGGGTTGTTTGTCCTGCTTCAATGGCCTGGCACCAGCTGACTGGGTCCCAACAGGGTCCTTCCCCAACACGTGCTGGCGCAGCAGCTGTAGCTCACTGCTCCTTTCAGCCAAAGCCTGTGCCATCTTCTCTGCAGCCACCTGATTGAGGGGGAAAATCAGGGATAGGGCCATGACCAGGGTGAGGGTCCTAGACCCTCTTCTTCCTTGGAGACTAAGGGAAACCACCTCAATATTCATCTGTCACTGGAGACTCCTGGCCCCTCACACCCACTCCAGTGCAGCCCTCCCATCTCTGCTCACCAGCCCCTCACATACAGAGGAACCAACTCCTCTGTTTCTCTCAGTCCACTCCAGGGCTTCTCTTTGCTTAACAAAAGTCAGTGCCACCCACCTCAGCCTCCCACTGTGGCACTGCACAAAACTCACTCTGCTCTGCTGCTCCTTGGTGCTCAGAGCCTGCAGCAGCTCCCGAATTTCAGCATCGTGCTCCACGGTTTGCCGGTTCCGGTCACTGAGCAGATCCTGCAGCATCTTCTCCTTGTGCTGGAGGCGCAGGCACAGCTCCTCTGCTACCTCACTCTGCCCGGGGCCCAGCTTGCACAGCAGAGTTGCTGTAAGCTCCTGAGCAAGGGGGAGGAAAGGAATGAGACTGGGAGTTGTTCAAGGACTCTCCAGCCTGGGTGTAGCTGAGGGAGCAGTGTCAGCAGGCACTGGTAAGTTCAAGTGCCAGAAGCAACCAGCCTTCAAACACTGAGCACAGCTTCAGGTGAGGCAGCAGCAGCCTCTGCTTTGGCACCACTCTCTCAATGGACTGGCTGAAGGCTCAGGAAGCCAAGCTAAGGCCTTACCTCCACTTCCTTGTTCCTGTCATGCAGGCAGGTCTGCAGCTGTTGGATGATCCCCTCCTGCTCCTTCTGCCTGCTGCCAGATTTGGCTTCAATCTCCTCTTTGAGCCAGCGGAGGTTTTGGCAGGTTGCTGAGACCTGCTCCAGTTCCAGGGTTTTGGCTTTCAGGAGGCTCTCCAGGCTCTGAGTACCACAACAGAAGCAGCTCAAGCAGGGACACAAACTTAATCCCAAATTAAGCAAAACTGGAAATTCTCTACTGCTAGCAGAGTCACACAGATTCATCCATCTGCTCCAGGTGGCCTCTCTGCCCAGCCCAAACAAGAGTGCCCCAGGAACCTGCCCCACCACAAGGCCAGAGGAAGCCAAACACCTGCAGACACTGTCCTCAGAGCACTGACAGGAAGGTGTGTCTGACAGCCCACCCCAGAGCCCTGCTGGGCTGTGCAGGCCCAGCACTCACGTGGATGGTGGCCTCATTGCTGCAGAGGACACTGCGCAGCCTCTCCAGGTCGCTGCCGCGCTCCCGCATGGACACGCGCAGCTGCTGCAGCTCCTGCTCCTTCTTCTCCAGGGCACAGAACTTCTCATCTACTGCTCTCTGGGTGACAGAGGACATCATTCACAATGGGGGCATGGGGCTCTGCAGCCAACACTCTCTGTATGTTGGACTTCAGCTCCTCCTGCCAGGGGGACTCCTCTCAAAGGATGAGCCATGAAGAGCATGCAGAAGATATGGTCACCCCTGGGGTCAGCCTGGGCTGATGGTAACCCAAAGGCTGAGCCTCAGGGACAGCTGAAACACTGCCTACAACATGTGCTCACCTCCAGAGCAGCATCCCTGTCGCTGACACGCTGCTGCAGTTTCTCCAACATGGCATTCATGGCTGCGGGGCTCTTCTCCAAGCTTTGCTGGCATTGCAGAAGCTCCCTGGACTCCTAGAGATCAGACACACACTCCCTAGTACAACTGACAGTACAGAAACCTCCCCCATCCCAAGAGCAGCACACAGGGATAACTTCCTCCACCCAATGCTTGCTCTAGCCTCCACATTGAAGGGTGGTAGTCCCAGCACCTGGGGATAGCTGACTAGCCCTGCCAGGGCTCACCACGCATTGCTGGGGCTGAGGTATGTGGATACCTGTGTTTTATTCCTCACCCTGGGGGCCCAGAAGCCCTCTCCTTCCTTCCTTTCTTCAAAGGACATGCATGAAAGCTACAGACAGACTTTTGCATGGCCAAACATGAAAGCAGGATCAGGCACTCCATTTAATTATGCTCAAGTCAGATCTTTCTGCTGATCTCACCTGCAGAAGCTGCTCCTTGTGAGCCAGCTGCTGAATCAAACGCTGAACTCTCTGCTCCTGGGCCTGCAGCTCACGGCTTTTCTCCCACTCCAAAGTCTGGAGCTGCTGAGCCTTGTCCTGCAGCTCTGCCTGCAGCTGTTGTACCACAGCACGCAGTTCCTGTAAGGAAAAGGCAAATACCTTGGAATTCAGTCTTCAACACAACCATAAACAGTAGGCCAGTCTGAGGAAGGGCTGTGGGAACAGCTATCAGCAATGCTACAACTTTACACACTGCCATGGTGTTTGAATTTATTTCATTGCCCAGGGTATCCATCTATCTAAACCCCTTGCTCTGGCCACAGGCAGAGCTTTAGTCAATCACAGCTAAGCTGTGCAGCAGGGGACATGAACACCACAAAAAGAGATGGGACATTTGCATCAGCCAGTGACATACAAGTGACAACATACCCACTATCAAGGGTCTTTGCTGATTCTGAATCCTCACCTATGACACTGAGGAGGCTGGAGAGTTCCCCTGACACACATGTGAGAAGGGGTTAGGCAAGTGTGCCCAGTCTGCTGTCGGCAGAAATGATGAACAAGAGCAGAGTATTGACCACCTCAGTGCTCCTTAGTTGTGTAAACCCAGAAACTTCCAGGCTAAGTGCCTGTCATACCTGGTTGTGTTTCCAGGTTGCCTCTTTCTGCTGCTCTTCCTCATGGACCGTGGTCTCCAGGAGCTGGGTTGCTCTCTTGGCTTCAGCCAGCTGATGCTCCTTCTGGCGCTGAGCTCTCTTCAGTTTCTGCACCTCCAGCTTGGTGCAGAAAAGGGCGTTCTGAAGATCGAGCGGTGACATTTGCTGCTCCTGGGGTGACAGTGGGCTCTCTGACACCTACCAAAATGCAGGGTTCACAGAAACTCAAGAGATTCTCTTCACATGAGGGATTTAAAAACGAGGATGTATGAGGCTTTCCAGGGCATACCTGCAGCTGTCCCAGATGGTTTCTGTGTAACATGTCCCGCAGCTTGGCCATGGTCTCATTCTGCCCTTCGATGATGTGGTACAGCTCCTCTGTCTGAGCCCAAGCACAGGAAACCCAGTCAGTGGCAAACCAAGCACAAACTCTCCCATCCCAAGCCTCCAGCCTGCATTATGACACCTCAGCACCATATGAAAGAGGCTTTGCAAGAAATAATTTAGTGAGGTGCAGGATGCCAAGCAGTGGCTCAAGCATTCCTTTTCAGCCACTGCCCACAGGGCTGGAACAGAGTTCCCTGTTTTTGTGAGCACCACCCTGCCCACCCTGAACTATTACCTTACTCTCTTTGCTCTTCAGGGCCTCATTCAGGCTCTGGATTGTACGATCTTGCCTTTGTGATGTTTCTTGAACAGATTTTAATTCGAAATTCAATTCATTCAGCTTTTCCTGTAACAACTGAAGACAGAAATAAGTTGGGTTTATTTAATCCTGCTTAATGCTCTATGTAAACACCCTTAAGACTCCCTCCACTCCTTACTCCATACAGCCCTGGTGTTGACCACATCGAGATCAACGTGGCTCCCTCTAGAGTCTGTAAACACCGCTGGAACTGGGTGGAGACTGGTGAGTAAACACAAAGGCCCCTGACAGGACTTATTGCAGGGCTTCTGCTCCCTCAGGTGTGCAGGGCAGAGGTTCCAGGCTTGGGTTCACATACCATAATGCCTCCCACATACCCCAGGAGAGCCTCACTCCTCAGGCTGCCCTGCAGCCCTCCCTCCCAGTTTCTATCATTTGTTTCTCTTTACTCAAAAGGAAAGGGGCTGCTTCAGCCCAAAATCCTCCCAAAAATCTGAAAGAAAAATATCAGCATGAAGAAGCTACACATTCACTGATCAAATCAGTGGCTTATTTAGCATTAAGTTCTGGCTTCAGCACAAAAGACCCTGGCCACTGCCAGGAACCTCTCAGCAGTCTCCATGGCTGGTTTACAACCTGAGAAACCTTTGCCTTTGATGGTCTCGCCCTAAAGAGAGCACTACCACTCAGTTTCAGGACAGTTTGCTGCTTTCACCATAAAGCTCATGACACAGGACATGTTGTGCAGTTAAACAAATGCTTATTAGCATTTTTAAACATGCTGCCTGTTGAGATTCTCAAAGTTGAATGATACACCTCTTCCTATGAGCTTACTCAGGACTTAACTTCTGAAGTTGGAGCTGGTGCTGCCACATAATTTCCTCCTGTTGTTCATCTGTTGATACACCTGTCCTGTTTTCTCTGACCTGAGACACTCCCCCAACCTCCCTAGTTTAAACACTTCTAACTGGGCCCTGGGTCTCTATTTCCGTCAAGCTTTGCAGTCCAGGCAGCTGCAGCACCTTATGGCCATCCCTAGATTTAAATAATTATTCCATCCCAATTTTTTTCCCCACATTTAATGTGAGGATTTTTCCAGAGGATATAATTTACCTTAGAGTTCAAGAGCATAATTAAGAACATTTACCCTTCTCAACATGTGTTAGTATTGATCTGCCTCAAGAGAACTCAGATGTTTCTTTCCCAAGTATTTAAACAGAAATGAAACCAGGACTCCCTCTCTCCTAGACCAGGCTCAGCCCATGCAAATCCAAGAGACAGGAAACAGCCCTGTGCATCTCCTTCACCAGCTCCTGGAAGGCTCACCAGGCAAGTGGAAAGTTCCTCCAAAATAATGATTTGCAAAATTAAATATGGAAAATTTACGCAGCCCAGCTGCAGGAAAAAAAGCAAATGCTTTTAATTGAATCTGACAGACAATAGCACTGAGAATCACACAACCTTGCTGGGAGAGAAGTGCAGGTACCTGCCTCCAGCCAGGCCAGGAGGCACCCTCTGACACTAACCACATCAGACCCATAGCACTGGATGTGCTCTCCATGAAGAAATACCTTGTTGGCAGCTTCCAAGTGCTGGAGTTTGCCCTGCAGCTCTGCTGCACGCACATCGGCCACGTGCTCCCCTGCTGCAGCGCTACCTGGAGCTGCCTGCTGCCCTTCATCCTGCAAATTCTGCAAGGAGAAACACAGTGAAAAATGAGACATTGGCTCAACTCCTGCACTGGCTTCTTCTCTTCAGCTGTCAGCCACCACAGACCCTGCAGCACGGGTTTAAATGCGCCCCATGTGCTTTTCTAACTGGCTCTGAGACATCACTCTACTCGTGTGTCCCTTCCCTGGGGTGGCAGGCTGGCACCTGGCAGCTCTCTGCCTCATCTGCCCAAGTGCCCTGGTGCCCCAAGGCTCTGATTGAGCTCCCTGTCTCTCCTCACTGCTGCACCACAAGCCCAGCAGCTTGTTTAGCTCTAACCACTGTCTGTGGGCTAATGATGCATCTTCTCCCCACACCCAAGCCGTAGCCCTGAAACCTGCTCTCCTTCCCATGTGCCCTGCTGGCATTTTAAAAAAGCTTCAAAACCTGCACTGAAATGGTTCCCATGTTCTGCTGAGCTTCTATGTCTTTATCAAGCCTACAACCTTCAATCCTTCCCACCAACTCCCCTCCTGCCACGACCAAGCAGTCACTCCCTGCTCTGAACCCCCCCCCTTGTGATTTTCTGGGCTCTCCTTCACCACTTCCCGTGCTCCAGCACCCACACCGGGTACAATTCCTTGCAGCTCCTCAAACAGGAGCAAATTCAGTGCCACAGCTGAGATTTTTTTCATGACACATACCCATTTATTGGGAATGTAAACAGCCTACTTTGTGCCACGTGGCCTGCCAGAGCCGGCTGGCTGAGCACAACACTAATCCCTTGTCATCCCTCCTTACAATTTTGCTGTCCCCCGCCCAGTGAGTTAACTCCTTAGGGCAGCACTCCATCCCAGCCACCCTCTGCAGCCCTCACAGGGCTCCTTCAGCATTCCTGAATATTATCAGCGACACAGGACTGACTGCACTGGTGCCTGCTCTAGGTGGGAGCCCTGGAAAGGGCTGCTGGATGCAGCACAGAGGCTGTGGAAATGTGGCAGGGCTTTTTGGAGCACACACAGGAGCACCGGCTCCAGGCAGTGCAGCACAGCCAGAACAGTCAGTTCCAATTAGCACTGTCAGGCTGAATCCTCATCCTCAGTGGCCACAGAAATGCTGTCTGTGGGGAAGCCATCAGCACAGGGGAGCTCCCTCAGATCTGTGCACTGCCTCTCACAGACAGAAATAACACCTCCCTTTACCCTGATGTTTTGTTAGGATTTCAGTGAATGCTTACAGTCGTGGTGATTACAAATTTTCTCTGCCAGAAGACTTTGGATGAGGCAGGGAGAGCTGCTGGAATTTGTCACAGCAGCTTATTTTGATATAAGGTTGATTAAAACAGAGAGGGGGAAAAAGGAAAACACATTTCCTCAATTTTCACATTAGAAAAAGGGCTGAAAACCTGGAAAGAGCTAAGAGCAGGGAGGGGAAATGCAGAGCCAGCCCCAGAGTCCAAAGGTCCAAAGCCCAAGCTGCCTCCCTTGTGCCTCCCTGCAGCCATGTCGATTTCTCCAACATCAGCATTTTACTGCCAATCTCTCCTCAGCGCAGCCACAGCAGCCCCAGCACACACTGACCCAACAGAACACTTCTTTGAAAATGCTAATCACGGCACTCTCTGAGCCTGCCGAGCTCAGACTGCCCAGCACAGCGGGGAAGAGCCGGGCTGCCAGGAGGGCACCGCAGTCAGCTGCGGGAGTGTCTCACAAAGGCTCCCTCTGGTGCCACCGCCCTGGGGCTGTGCTGGGGAAAGGGAGGAATTGTTGGTTCAAGGAAACGCCTGGCAAGACGCTACCTACAAGGTCACTGACATCAGAATGCTCCATAAATTTAAAGAACTGCAAAAGCAGTAAGAGAACTGTGGTCCTACATATTCTAGATATTCCTTTCCCATTTATGCACAGGAATCGCTGGACAGCAACAGCACCTGACTTATAGGAAGGGCGCTGCTTTTACAAACCGAAAGAAAAATCATTTGTGCAAGAACTATTCAGCCTACTAGCTGCATCTGCCTTCCCATTTTTGCCCTTAAAGCCATCCGAAGGATTAAGCCCTTCCCCCTTCAGCCAGACCCTGCGCTGAAGAGCTGCTGCTGTCACGGCAAGGAACCGGCAGTAAAAAATCCCACAGGATAAAATCCTGGCAGGACCGGTCGGATGGCAGAGGCTGGAGAAACTCCTCAAAACACAGCTCCTAGAGGAGGATGGCCATGTATGACACAAAGCCAACCTGCAAACACAACACGGTGCTCAGAGAAAGGCCATTTTTACCCTGCAAACACACCCCGAGCAGTGAGAACCATCAGCAAATGAGCCACGATGCCCTGGTTCACATCCTCGGCTGCCAGCGCGATGCCTTTGTGCTCCAGATGAAAACTAGTTTTTCTACGTTCCTCCCTAGCATCGTTTCTCGAAGAGGCTTTTATGGAAAAAAGCACACAGCTCCGGGAAACGCCCAAGCAGATGGGACAGCAAGCCGGCTAAAGAGCAAGAGCAATTCAGCACTGCCACAGTTGCCATAGTAATAAACGAGCATTTTCCTAATCCCCCAGGCTACCTACAGCATTAGGCAGCACTAAGGCTGCTAATGGGAATGCAATTAGGTTGACACGGATATTCCAGAATTGAACCTGACTGAGGCCTTCTATTCATTACTGAACGTGGTAAAGAAGTGAGTTCGGCTGTTTGACTGCATACTAAAGGAAATTTCATTAAAGCCAGCTAAACAGAGGCAACCTGGAGCTAGGACTGCTATCAAGAGAGATAACAGCCTCCCAAAAGCAGGAGCTTTCATCCCCTCTCAGCAACACCTGCCACTAAGTGATAGATCTTTTCAAAGGATCAGAAAATAAACCAATTATCTTGAATACCAACCCTAAAGTCATCCTCTGGCACAAATCCACCTGCGAGGAAAACACCTTTTCCTCAGGGCACAGGCCATAGATGCCTGGGTGGCTCTGCACGTTGGGCAGGTGGAGGCCTGACCTGCAGAGGCAGGGCTGGAGGCAGGCATTCCCCACACTCCAACCATTACTCAGGCACAAAGAAAACACACCTGCTGGAAAACACATGCCCAGAAGCTTAAAATACTCCCTTTACTTGTGGATAAAAGCTACGCCGACTTTAAGTTTAAAGATGAAGTGAAAGTGGTGTTTTCTCAGCAGGAAAATGACAAAGAGCTTAGACCCACCTAGCAGGCTGCAGTGTCAGGGAGGGCTGATGGAGGGGGGGAAAGGTCATTTCCCAGAACACCGGGAGGAAACAGGAGACAAGAGAATGACTGAGGAGAGCGCCAGCACACCTAAAAAGGACCGAGTTGCCTATTCTTAGCCCCTGATCAGCCACACGTGGCTGTCTGCATTATCTCAGCACAGAAGAATCCCCAGTGGGCTCAGCACTGGACCACGAGGACAATGCTCAATGGAAGGGCGGCACCGTGACCTCTACCTGTACCCGCAGCGGCATATAATCCTCATAGAGGTCATCCCACAGCTCCTGCAGCTCTGAAATTTCCAGGGGAAGGCCCAAAGGAGCTCTGGAAAACGATTTTCTGTCTGTGCTCAGGAAGGCAGAACTAGCACATGCTAAGCCAGCAGAAGCACTGCCATCTGCCAATTCATGGCTGAGCTTGGGAGGGGGCAAGCTGGACTTCACAGGAATAGGCAGTCGGCTGCCTCGGGGGCTCTGAAGCGGTTTGTAGTCCAAAGTCTTGATCAAATTGAGGGCCAGCTCCAGCCTGTTCCCACTCAGTGAAGAGCTCGGGGTCATGCGATCATCCGAGAAATCGTCACATTTCCCATTCCCTTTCAGCCCCTTATCTGCATCTTCATCCTTCTGCTGCGGAGCGCTGGCCTCCACGGTGGTGTCTAGAGACTCAAGAGAGGATGCAGGTGTGCCTTCCTCCATGCTGTCCCCATCCACAGCCACCCTGGAGCTGGTGGACTCGGCCACATCACACACAGACGACTCCTCGTTGCCCATGCTGGCCGACCAGCGGCTGGACAGCCCGCAGGAGATGCTCCTGGCCACCTTTCGGGGCACTTTGCAGATGGCTTCATAGTCGGCGTCGGCCACGCGCAGGGCAGCACAGCCCCGGCAGCGCCGCGGGCGGCTCCCTGCCCCCTCGGAGCCGTGGCAGCTGTGCGGCTCCAGGCCATGCTCTTCCTGATCCATCCAGTACTCAAACCCCGAATAAGTGAAGTCCTCCTGGAGGAGGGCAGCGTACCGTGCATCAGGCAGGTTGGAAAGGTCCACGGTCCCCTCCCCAGCCCTGTCCTCTGTGCTGGAGTCGTCGTTGTTCCTGCGGTACATGCTTGCGATGCAGAACTTGAGACGGTCCTTCTCCAGCAGCAGCTTCTGCAGGCGCTCGATGGAGAGGGCCTCGATGCGGGCGATGACGGTGTCGAACCTGTAGATGCGGTCCAGCATGAAGGCACACTTGCTGCAGGCGAACTCGGACCTGCCGTCCCGGCACAGCTCCCTGCCCAGGACGTGGGAGAGCAGCACCTGGAGGTTCAGCTTGGCCGCCGTGTGGAAGATCCATCGCCGCTGGTTGCCGCACAGCTCCCGGCCGCAGATCCGGCAGTTTTCCTTCATCCTCCCTCCCTCCCGGCACACAAACCCACTCCCGCGGGCTCTCAGGAGACCTTCCCGAGGTCAGCACATCTCCCTCAGTCCCTGAGCCTGGCGGCACGTCTCACCGCACCAATACCCTCTTTTTAGGGAGGTTACACGCCGGAACCCTTGATTCAATAGAAACATCCCACCCTGCGCCACCTCCTTCACATCTTCACAGCCACACCTGAGCTGGCCCCCCCGCCCCTCCGATGCTGCTCCCTCGCCTCACAGCTCAAGCCCCCGATGCTGCCCCCTCTCTCCTCACGGCCCCCGTCCCCGGGGCTGCCCCTCACCGCGGGCTGCCCCTCCCGTCCCGCCCCGGCCCCACCGCCCCGAGCCGAGGATGCTCCTGCCACGGCGGCGCCCGGCTTCTGGCTCAGATTTCAAGATGGCGGCCAAGCCCAGCCTCCCGCGCATGCGCAGGACCCGCAACGCCGGCCGGGATATGTAGTTGCCACGCCCGCCTACGCATGCGCAGTGGCGGCTTGCGCCACGCCCGGGCACACGGGCAGTGCGGGGAGTCGCGACAGAGGTGACGGTGATCGATCGGGACGTGACAGCGCAGGGATCCAGTCTCAGTGCCAGAGACACACACACACACACACATACACACACACACACACACACACACACACACACACACACACACACACACACACACTAGTGCTTGGCTCCAATGCCAGTGCCTGTCCCAGTACCAAGTCCCCACTCTAGTGCCTGTGCCACGTCCCCGTCCCAATGCCAGCACCTGTCCCAGTGCCGGATCCTTGTCCCAGTGCCTGTACCAGCGCCAGGACTCCCCCCAGTGCCGTGCCCAAGTGCCCAGCCGCAGCAGGCAGTGTGGGTGGGCACGTCCCCGCAGCACAGTGCCACCAGCACCTGCACAGCAGCCCGTGCCACCTGGCGGGCAAACAGCAGGGTCCCTGCAGGAGCTCTCGCACTGACAGCCCGCGGCTGCTGGGGACAGCGCCGTGCCACCAACATCCAGCGTGGCCAGAGCTGTGCAGCTGCCAGGAACATGCCGCTCTGATCTCTCACAGCCCTGAAATCCCGCCTGGCACCACGCCAGGCTGCCAGGGGTATTTTAAGACTTTGGATTTAGATGGCAGACGGGAGCAAGCAGCACCAACACCCTCAGAAGGACTGCACAGGCTGGTGGCCTGTCCCCTGAGAGCTCACACCGTGTCCTCTGAGCCCTCCTGCTCCTCCCAGCCCCTGGCAATCACCCAGCCCTGCCAGGCTGAACACGGCACAGCCCTGGCCACAGCCCCAGAAGGGGACAGAGATGACAACAACCAGCCAAGCCCTGGATGGACGAGCTCCTCCCTGGGGTCTCCCCACCCTTGCCCACTTACCTGCCCCTCCATGACCGGGGACCCCTCCAGGCACTGCTGCAGGTCATGCTTCTCTGCTGACAGCATTTCCACAAGCTGGTTGCTGGCAGCCAGCTCTTGGGTCAGCTCTTCGATCCTCCTGAAAGTGACAAAAGGGCGTGGGATGCTCAGGGACTAGGATGGCCATGGGATGACACTGGGGACAGCTGACAAAGGTCAATCTCTGGGGCAAAGCTTTGCTCCCCCCTTTGCCATAGATCAGCTCTCCCCCATTGAGGGACCTCTGCATCCCACCAGATATGCACAGCCCCTCAGTCACACACATAACAAGCCCCTCGGTAGTCCCCAAGAACTCGCACAGCACACAGGCTGGCAGCACAGAGGAGACATGTCTGGGACACCTACCTCTGGGCCATGGAGCCACAGCCATTGTCGCTGCTGTCCTCCTGCTTTGTCCTCGCCGCTTCCTTCAGCTTCCCTGTCAACTCCCGGCATCTCTCTGCCTCAGCTCTGGCCAGCGCCGTGGCCTGCTCGGCCTCACTCCGTGCCAGCCTGGCCTCCTGCATGGCAGCAGGGTGAGCCCCCAGGCAGCAGCCCCTGGCTCCTGCCTGGCCCCCACCATCCCCTGAGACTCACCTCCTGCAGGAGCTGGATCTTGTTCTCCAGGAGCTCGTAGACGTGCTCCGACTCCCGCTGCCGCTCCTCGTACTGCTGCCGGAGCGCAGCCTGGCTGCGGCTTGTCTGGCTCTCTGCAGCCACCCTGCCGGGCACAGCACGGTGTGCCACAGCCTGCTATGGCATGGCATTGCACAGCACAGTGTGCCACAGCCTGCTATGCATCTCCTGGCACAGCACAGTGTGCCACAGCCTGCTATGGCATCTCCTGGCACAGCACAGTGTGCCACAGCCTGCTATGGCATCTCCTGGCACAGCACAGTGTGCCACAGCCTCCTATGGCATCTCCTGGCACAGCACAGTGTGCCACAGCCTGCTACAGCATGACATCTCCCATAGCATGGCACAGCACAGTGTGGTTTGGCAGTGTGCACCATGGCACAGCATGGCATAGCACAATCTTTATGACAGTCTCCACCCCAAACCAGCTGGGCTGGGTGATCTGTACCACTCCAGGTGCCCTCAAGCCTGGCTCCCCCCATGTCCTGCCCTGGGGACACAACTCCTCTGGCAGCACCAAGCCATGTTTAGGCTCTGACCCATCAGAGCACTCCTCACACACTGCACTCCTCACACACTCCCAAAACAAGGGCCTCACCAGCTGCTGTGCCACTGGCCCCCCTGCCATCGGTGCCCCATGGTGAGACACCCATGCCATGGCCCCTGGGCACGGCACTGCCCCCCCCCCCCCCCCAAACAGGTGCTGTCCTTTATTTTTGGCTGGCGCCAGGGCTGTAAGAGGAGTCCTGTGGGTGCCCAGCCCCATTGCAAACCCCTCCAGCCCCATTGCAGGCCCCTCTACTGCCTGCTACGGGCAGGGTGCAGGCAGACATCCCCCATGCCCGTGCCCACAAAGCCACCACAGGCAGGGCATGGGCACCATGTCTGCCCCGGGCTGAGGGGCTTGGCCAGCCCCACTCACCATGTGTTGTCCAGGGCTTGTTGCTTCTCCTGCAGCTCCCGCTTCAGGCTCTCCACCTCCACCTTCAGCTCGATGTTCTATGGAGCAGGAAGGAGGTGGGTAGGATGCCCTCACACTTGCCTGGACACCCCAGCCCCACTGCCCACGGGAATGAAGAAGTGGCATGGGGGACCCCCCTGCCATGGCAGGGCTTTGGGTGCTCCTGACAGTGAGTGGCACAGGTGGCATTTTAGCCTGTCGGCTCCGGGATGGGGTGCCTCCACTCCATCTGTGTGCCCCCCAACTTGCACTGTCACCCACCCCGGGCTGGGGACGCCCTCTCCAACCCTCTCCCGGCTCCTGTCAAAGAAAATGAGGGGCAAGCTCCCAACAGCAGCTCCCCCAGCCCAGTGCCCGAAGCCCTCTCTGGCATCCCCCCCGGCTACACTCCCCCCACCCCATTCCCTCCCAGAAAAGAGAGGAAACCGGCTCACCCCGTCCCCTACAGGCACTCACCCGCCGGTAGACATCGTCCCGGCTGTCCTCGCCCTTCTGCTGGACGCGCTCCTCCAGAAAGTAGATGCGGAGCTTGAGGCTGAAATTCTCCTTTTTGAGGTCATTGAGGTGCTGCGAGAGCGTGCGGTACCCGTTAGCCATGGCCGGCGCTCCATGAGGCGGGCATCCCGGCACCCCTCACATGGCGCCGCCGGGACACAGCCTAGGCTCCCTGCCCGCCCGCAGCTCCCGTCGCTGGCCCCGCTGCTCTCCCTTTCCTCTTTTTTTTTTCCGCCTCCCAGAGCTATTTGAGGAATCGCTGGAGCGGGGACAGCGGGTTGGTGAAACCCGAGCCCCGGAGGCCCCCACGCGCCGCAGCCGTGAGGGCGGTGAGGGGAGCGTGGCGCCCGGCCGGGCCCGGCCCCTCTGCCGCCGCCACCTGCCCCGCCGCCCCTCCTGCGCTCCACACCCCGCCGCTGTCACCAGGGGACCCGGCACGAATCCTGCCAGCACCCGGCAGTGCCGGGAGGGCCCCGGCGGTGCCATGCGGGTCCCAGCGCCCCGCGGTCTCACCTGCTCGAAGTCCCGCAGGGTCTGTGTGTGGGCGAGGGGCCCCATCTCCAGGTCCCGGAGGAGACACGTCTGCGCCAAGGCGTCAGGCTGGGGCTGGGCACCCGCGGGGCCGCTGGACCCCCTCGGCTCGGCTGGCACAGGCTCCTCATCAGCTTCACCCCACAGCCCATCTTGGGAAGCTGGCAGGGAGCAAGGGCGAGCAGCAGTCAGACCAGCAAAGCGGCTGCCCCACGCCTCGTGTGCCTCCGAGGAGAGGAGAGACAAGGGGACACCTGAGGGCCCAGAAAGCCCCCGGCCATCCCCAGACGGTGCGGGGCATCAGGGCATGCAGGGTACCGGGGCTCTCGGGGTGCCTTACCCGCCATGCCTCTGTCTCCGGGCACCACGGCTGGCACAGTGTCACTGCTGCAGGGGTCCCTGCAGAGAGCAGCACACACAGCCTGTCACGCACAGCACCGGGGGCCCCCCTGTGCCACCCCGCGCTGTGCCGCAGGGACCGGGGAGGGTGACAGGGTGCCACTGGTGTCTGCGCACACGTGGGGACACACGTGTGCATCCCCACAGCCGCTGGGCAGAGGCTCTGAGTGCAAAGACACGAGGCCCTGGGGGCTGTACAGATGGCAGTGTCCCCTCAGTAGCACTTTAGCTCCATTAGCAGCCCTGTCAGGGCCACCTGAGCCCCCAGAGCAGACCCCACAGCCCCCAGGGGAGAATCTGGGGCACGAGGCACGGCTGGCCCTGGCTGCTCTCAGAGGGACCCTGTGCCTCCATGCTGCCATGGCTCGCCAGCTCGTAATTGGGTTTATTTTCAGCTCAGACGTGTGAGTCATTTCATGATTTAAGAGAAAGAAAAAGAAACCCAACAAACAACAACAAAAAAAAACCCCACCTGGATTGTAGGGGTTTTTCTCCTTTTAAAGAAATCAGAATGTTTATTTTATAATCTCAGCCTGACTGCTTTTTGGTGGGGTCCCAGGGCGGTGGGCACTTGTCTCAGCATCAGTGTGGGCACAGTGCCCTGCCCACATGCACAAGGCTGAGCCCCAAGATCCAAGGAGGGTCAACATGTTCCTGTGGCACAAGCCATGGTGGAGACCCCGGGACCATGTCCCCAGAGCCTTGCACACCACACCAGCACCTTGCAGCAAGGGACAGCACTCCCAGCCTGGCAGGGAGCAGGAGAGGCAGACACAGGGTGCCACAGACCCTGCAGCAACAACCCATCATAGAGGGAAACTGAGGCACGATGATTTTAAACACAGCAGCACTGATCAGGCGTGGCTGTGTGCCCTGCCAGACACCACAACCAGTGTGATACCAAGAGACAAAGCACCCAGAGGTGTTGTACCTGCAGGCAGAGCACCCAGAGGTGCACTGCCCAGGGGCATCTAACCCAGAAGTGTGGAACCCAGAGGCACCCAAATTTCAATAACCAGAAGTGTGACTCCTGAGGAGATCGAGAGGCACAATATCCAGGGAGGTGTACCTCTGGAGGCATGACAGACCAGGAGAAACCGTGCCCCAGGTGTGACACCCAGAGGCAAAGCATCCACCACTCAGGATGCACAAGGATGCACAACACTTAAGGAAGCATGGTGCTCAGGGGCATGATATCCCAAGGCATGATATCCCTGGAGGCAAAATACCCAAAAAGGCACATTAACCATAATATGCAAGGCTTGACACCCAGAAGGGCAATACCCAGAGGCACAACAAGCAAGGAGGGATCACTGCCAAGTATTTAATGCACAAGGAGACACAATGCCCAGAGACAGAATAGCCATCAGGCAGTACAACACCCCAAATCCTGGGGGTGCTGCAGGGTGATGACCAAGGAGTCAGTCAAGGGCTAAGGCTTACCAGCCTACACTGTTAACTGTGCACAGGGAGATGTGCACAGCTGACAGAATGAAAGGATGAGCTGGGCGAAGGAGGAGGTCCTGTGAGATAGGATTGTTCTGCCCTGGCTCTGAAAAACTGCACAGAGCGGAACAAAGTCCTGTGACTGGAATTTTGAAGGACACCATGGCCGAAAAAGTAACTTTTTCCTGATTAAGGATTATTTAAATAATGAAACACACAACACTGCACAGGCAAATAAGCTTAATGAAATACATGCTGCCACATAAATTACTCTGTTACTCAACTCTCCACCTAGATCATGCCACATGTAACACAGGAGGAGTGGGATCGGATTGGGCTATACATAAGGGAGATAAGAACTTCACCTGGTTACGAGGAAGACCCAAAAATACCTTGAGGACAGTCAATGGGCTACTCCTCTCTCCCTTGTCCCAAGCCAGGGACACCTTGCTAAGTTTCTGCATATTATTGTTGTTATTACTTGGCTTAACACAAGTGTGCACCATCCTGAGAGGGAATAGAATGGGCCCAAAAATGTTGGAAAAACAACAATAAAGTAATTTGGCTTGCTGATCTTGTGTGCAAAAGGAAATCAGAGCACCCTCTCTCCTAAAAAATGGCAGATGTAGAATATACTGCTTTGAAATCAGAAAAGGAGCAAATTAAAATGTACTCGGCCACAGCTGAAAAGAAGGAAAAGCAACTACAGAAACATTTAGAGGAGGAGAAGGAGAAAAAAATTGGAAGAAAAGGTAGAGATGATGCTTGTGTGAGCTGCTGCTCCCCCTGACATCATAGAGATTAGAAAACGAATCATATTCCCTGGGGAACAGGATGGAGACATATGGGGTGACCCAAATGACAGAAAACTGGGAGAAGATGGTTCTTTGTCTCCTTCAAATCCCCCTGAGTATGAAGGCAGATGCATTATAGCAACAGAAGAGACAACTGAACCTTGGTGAATTGTGGGGAATCATAGCTGAAAAATAATCCCATTCAATCTGATTCACTTTGAAAAGTGCTGTGGTCACAAACCAGGCTGGACTGAAATTCAGCAGGAGGAAACCTTCAGTGCACACATAATAACAGCCCACACATTCTGATTCCAGGTGGGCCTCTTCAACTATTAATGCCATTTCTAATAGATAAGGGAACACAAATTCCAGTACTGACAGAGCAGGACACTGAAAAACTGGACAGAGTTGAAATCACTGAAGTGAACAGAGCAAGTGCTACGTGCCAAACCACCAAGGCTAATTTATGGCTCCCAGGCGATAAGCACATGTCCTCCCCTCACTTTGCAGCAAAAGATCACAATGAAAACATTTTGGGTGTCAATGTTCTGAGCAGCCAAACCTGGCAGCTGATGCAGAGCAACGTTTGGTCCTCCTGTTCAACCCTGACCCTAAAAGAAATCCAGATCCCACATTCACCCCACAGGGTGCTTACCCTCCCTCATTCAAAAGCTGCTAATGTACCTTATTCAAAAGCTGATTATGTGTATATTATACATTTTATATATCTAAATCAGCTGCAGAGCCCACTCCCCATGTAATTCACCAAGTGATAATTCACCAAACTTTCCCCCCATGTAATTCACCACTTTGGCTAAAAACTGAATGGAGATGGCAGTTACCTGTTGATTACTGGCACATAGATGGGGTGGGACCAGATTTGGAGAAAAGAGAGATGCCAATGCCAATGCTGAGCCTTTAACCACTACTGTGCCAAATATCAAGGAACTGGTAACTCAGCTTCAGGGAGTGCCCCGCTCATGGATGGCAACCCTGGATGTAAAATATATGTTTTTTGTGATTCCACTCCAGGGACACAACAAGGCTTCATTTACCATCACCTGGAAGGGAGTGCAATGTGTTTTTAATAGGCTGCTCCAGGGATATAAACACTCTTCCACTATTGCTCATAAAGCTCTGGTAGTCTTAGCCACAGCTGTGACCCACCAAATGTTACAATATATCAGTAGATCAATAATATCATCATCATCATCATCATCATTGAATCATCCCAGAATAGCCTGATTTGGACAGAATCTTAAAGATCATCTCCTTCCATCCCCCCTGCCATGGGCAGGGACATCTTCCACCAGCCAGCATTGCTCAGGACCCCATCAAGCATCACCTTAAACACTTCTGGCAATGGGATATCCACAGCTTCTCTGGGCACCCTGGGCCAGGTCTCATCACCCTCACAGTAAAGAATTTTTTCCAACTATCCCATTCAAACCTACCTCCTGTCAGTTTGAAGCCATTCCCCTTGTCCTGCCACTACATGCTCTTGTAAAAAGTCCCCCTCTGTCTTTCTTGTGGGCTGCCTTCAGGTACTGGAAGGCCACAATTAGGTGCCCCTGAAGCCTTCTCTTTTCCAGACTGAAGAAGCCAAATTGTGTCATAGAGAGAATTCTCTCAAATTCCCTCACAGAGATGCTCCATCCCTCTAATCAATTTGGTTGGAGAATATCCTTTGGTGGTTTTACCCACAAAATACCAAAATACCCTTTGGTATTTTGCCCACCACTACCCTTTGGTGGTTTCGCCCAAAATGTGGGTTTTGCACACATTTTTCCTTTTTCACAAGGAAAAATGTGAGCCTTGAGCTGTTCTACATCCCAGCATCAGGGGCCCAAGCAGGAGGTTAAGTTGCTGTGAGTCTATTGGATTAAAGAAGCCCCTTCTGTACTCCTGCAAACCACAGAAAAAACAGAACATGGACAGAATCCACCTAACATAAAGGAGTGACAGCAAGTTCTAGGAACTTTAGAATTATTAATAAGAGAACTGAGGTTGTCCCATCAGCTTGATCCCAGATACATATGGTAGCATATACCATAAATATATATCATGTATTTTTATGGGGAATGCGGGTTCAGTGTACAGAGTTCCCCTTTTAATCTGTGTCAAAAGGGGCTGGAAGAGCCAGAAAGAGCAGTAGACATTAGCTGCCACTCTTTCAATGACACTGGAACATGATATTCCTATCTAGAGAAGGGCTTGCTGTCCCTGGTGGGGCAGTGACACAAGCAGAGCAGATAAGGAAAGAACAAAGGGAAGGACAGAGTGAGACTATCCGGGGGAATACCCAACTGACTGATAGCAGACCATCCTGTGCTGGTTACAAAGCTTCCGACGGGGACCCTGGCAGTGCTCTTAACAACCCCAAAATAACCTTATGCCTGGGAAACAAAATGTTACTGCTCAGGGCCACCCTGAGGCGGGGCCATGCCAGGGCAGTGCCCAGCCTGCACCCCCAGCCAGCCAGAGAGGCAGCCCCCTGCCTGGCCATGGCAATGCTGGGCCAGCAGGAGCCCAGGGCTCTGCCACAGCCGTGGCAGGTTGGGCTGAGTGGGGGCTCCCCCCTCCCAGCCCCAACACTGGGAATTTGTTTGCTGTGAAGGGGAGGCTGCTGCAGTGCTGCTGAGGCTGCAGGAGGACAAGAGCCCTTTCATGGCAGCCTGGAGCACGGAGCAGAGCTGCCAGGACAGCACAGAATGAGGGGGGCTTAGCCCTGGGGCCCCCCACTCGCCTGGCAGCACTGCCCACCCACCCCCATGCACCCCCAAGCCCTGGCACGAGGGGCACCACATGGCCCTGACTCAGAGCACTGAGCCCTGACTGACTCACAGCATCTCCAGGGCATCACACCAGGGCCACTGCAGCCACTCCTCAGCACTGCACCCCGGGGTGCCATCGGGAGAGGGGACAATGAAGGGCTGGCAGCCAGGGCCAGGGCACGTGGGCTGTGTCAGAGTGGCTGCTGCCCATGGGGAAAGCATCCTGGGGTAAAGCGTCCCCAAAGCACCGGGCACTAGACCCCAGCAACAGCAACTCACCTTCTACTGCTCCTGGATCACCTCCTGCGGGGAGACAGATGGACAGAGGGATGGATGGAGGGATGGACAGCAGGCCCCAGCCCCGTGCTCAGCAGCAGCCACTGTGTGCCAGCGGCTCCAGGCTGGCAGAGGGGCTGTGACAAGGGCCAGGAAAGGCCACGGAGAGTGTGGCAGCTCAGATTCCGAGCGTGGCACATCCAGCTCCCCGCTGACTCGTTGGCACAAATGTCTCAGCAGGGGCGGAGTGCCACCACGGAGGAGGAGGAGCAGGGACAGCCGTCCCCAAAGCCGGTGGCTGCCTGAGTGTGCGAGCATGGCACGGAGCGCACGGCACGGCACGGCATGGCACGGCACGGCCAGCCGCGGACCTGCACACGGGCACGGCAACAAGGTCCCCATTGAGCACGGCCGGCCGGGGAGCCGGGCTGGCGCTGCCGGGGAGCCGGGCTGGAGCTGCCCCCGCTCCGGGCTGGCGCTGGGCTGGCCCTGGGCTGGCGCTGCCCCCGCTCCGGGCTGGCGCTGCCCCCGCTCCGGGCTGGCCCTGGGCTGGCGCTGCCCCCGCTCCGGGCTGGGCGGCTCCGGGCGCGGCCCCGCAGGCGTGGCAGCAGCTCAGCTCCCGGGGCCCAGCGGCACAAACGGCCAGGCCAGCGTCTCGGAGCGGAATCGGGGATGGGCACAACCGGGGAGGAGCAGGGACGGTGAAAACGGGGCTGAGGAGATGGGGCAAGCCAAGATTCCTGCACCAACACCAGCACCCTGAGCCCCTTCCTTCAAGGCTGTGCTTGGCCCAGCACCTCCAGCAAACCTCACATGCCCAGCGCACGGAGGAGAGCTTAGTGATGGTGCAGGCACCAGCCCAGGATCCTACAGCACCCTACAGCTCCTGGCCTCTCATCTGGCACACATACATTGCCCTGACACCCACAGGTCCCCATGGCCCAGGACAGCGAACAGCAGCGTGCCCCCGGTGCTGCACAAGGGACTCCTGTCCCTTTCCTGCACACCAGCGGCTCCCGAGTTCTCTTGGGCTTGCCTGGTGCAGGGCCCAGAGAGCCCCCAACCCGCGGTCCCAAACCCCCGCCAGCAGCCCCAACCCGCAGGACGCCAGCAGCAGCAGGGGACAGCCACGGCCCAGGGGAATGGGGTTTGGGACAGGGCTTGTCCGGCCCTGCACAGCCCGAGGGAGTGCACACTGCTCCTGCCCGCATCCCGGCCGCACCGGTGCCGGGGGTTCCTGGGCCCCGACCTGCCGGGCACCGCCACAGCGCAGCGTGGGCACACGCAGCCCCCGCGTGCCCGGGACATCCCGACCGCATCCCCCCGGGTGTCACACGCGGCACGGACACGCTCCTCACCTCCGCCTCGGGGCTCGCATCCTGCCCCGCCGGGCTCCGCCGCACCGGGCCGGTCACCGGGGACGCCGGGCCGGGCCAGCCCCCGGCCAGCACCGGGCCGGGCCTCCGGGTCCCCGCAGGCGCTGCCGAGCCGGCCCAGCGTGCGCCGGGGAGGCGGCTCTGCGGCACCGGCCGGCTCCGCCCGCTTCTGCTTCCCCTCCTCCTCCTCCCTGCCTCCATCCTTCATCTTTCCCTGCCTCCCAGCATCCTTCCCTCCCTCCCTCCTTCTGACCCCGCATCCTTCCTTCCCTCCCTCCATCCCTCCCCCTGACCCCGCATCTTTCCTTCCCCTCTCCCTGATCCGTCTGTCCATCCACCCTTAATCTCTCCAGCCGCCCCCGCCCAGGCACCATCCTGTCCCGGCTGACACATCCACCCCCCCGCCCCAATTCCCCACTCCACCCAGTCCCTCTGGACTGAGCCCCAACCCTTCCTCACACCCCCAGAAACAATCCATGATCCCTTCCTCTCCCCTCTCAATCCTTCTTCCAACTTCACAGTCTCCCCAGCTAGTCAGGATCCCCCATGGCACCCTCAAACATCAATCCTGACACCCTAATTACCTGCCCAGTCATCCTTGGATGCCTCCATCCCAACGTGACATCCTCAATTCCCTTTGCTACCCAGAACCCCATGAGTCCCAGGTGCTGTTCCAGTCCCTCAACACCCTCACTTGCTTTCTAATTGTCCATGACTTCCCAGTCCTCTACTGTCACATTCCTTGAACACCCACCATCCCAGCCAAACACCCCCAAACTCCCCCACCCCTTTCCTCTTCGTTGCCACTCCCCATCCCAGCTCCAATAACCCCACTCCCCTTTGACACCTACAACTCCTTTACCTGCTGGACACCCCAATCTCAGGTTTTCTGTGGTTGAAATGGCTCCCAAGGTATTAAAGAGTCTTTTTCCCCAGCCCCGTGACCAAAGAAGAAGTCAGGATTCCTTGGCTCTGGTTCTCAAGGTTGTTTATTTTCTCTTATCTGTCACATTCCTTCTCTGACCTGCTGAGATCTGTCCAGCAGGTTGGGTTGTGGCACAGTCCCTGCCCTTGGGGTGGTGTTAACTTTTTATACTAAGAACTACCTGTGCTTTATTTACAATAATTTTCCAATACCCATCACCTATGTTAGACAGTCTGTCTCTACTCCAAACCAATCAAACAGTGTCACCACAGTGTCATCACAGCAGAAGATGAAGGACAAGAAGGAGAAGAAGGACAGGACACGCCCAGATTCCTCCATCTTGCCCCTTGAACCCCCATTCTAAATCCCCAAAATTCTACTTTTTCACCCTGTGACAAATTAACTATCATTCTACTCAAACTCTTGTGGCTTGTAAATCTTCACACAAAGTTGGTAATTGTTTCCATGGACTAAAATCAAAGTCACAGCTGTTTTTGACTCTGTGCCAAGGTCTCTGAGCCCCCTGCCAGGGTCTGGAATCACCCAGGGCAGCCAGAGGAATGTCCTGGGTTCCAACACCCCAATACCAGCACTGCCCCTGACTGCTCCCCCAGCCCCATTCTCTCTGCAGGGACCCTCCCCCTAATCCCCTACTCCTTGGCCCCATTCTCCTTTTCCTGCACTGCCACAGCCCTTCAACCAGCTGTCACCATGGCCACCCACCTACCACCAAGCAGAGTCTGTCCTTGTGTGGAATGATGACCAAGGAGCCAGGTGGGGGCTCAGGGCTCCTCTCCATACCCTCTGTGTTACCTGTGTGGATGGAGATCCACAGTGCTGGTGGCAAGAAAGAAGGAGGAGGTCCTGTGGTGATGGGGTGATTCTGCTTTGGCTCTGACAAATGGATCAAAGTCATATGACCAGAAATTTGGAGGACACGGTGGCCAACAAAAAGTAATTTTTGTGTGATTAAGGGCCATTTAAATATTAACACACATTCCTTGCATATGCTAATAAGATAATGGTACCTGGTACCACCTCCATAGCTCCATACTCTCCACTTAGGTTGTGCTCTGCATAACGTAGGACTAGGGGAGAAATTTGGTCTGGATATAAAGAGGGTAGGAATTTTACCTGATTAAGAGGAAGACCCAAAAATACTCGGGAGACAGAAAGGACTACTCTCCTCTCCCTCCTCCCTAGCGGGGACACCTTAGTGGTAAGTTTCTGCATACAATTGTTATTATCACCACACAACATTATTGTTACTGTTAAACCTCTATTGCAGCTGGTGCCTTTATCACCAGCAATTCTGTATCTGTATTTCTCCGGCTTCCATATACTGCAGTATATGGAATCTGTGATTAGGAAGTATATGAATCTGTGATTAGGAAGGTTTTTATGGAATGCGACCAAACCTTTGGTGTTGAATTAATAAACTGCACTATTTGTGAAGCTGCACTCATGGAATTTCCTACTGAACACAACCTATAGTGCCAAATTGGTTATACTCAGAAATTCAGCTCAGCTGTCCCCAGCCCTCTGATCTGTGAAGAGCAGCTGGAACACATTGCGTTTATTTTCTGACAAATTTCTTACTCTCAACGCAACACCTGGTACAAATGGGGTCAGCAGAGGGGTGCTATGGCCCCCTACCCCCCCCCCCTTTATCCCCATTGTGACTCATCAGCCACCACAACCCAAGTCCCTCGGCACCCATCCTGCTGGCCCTGCCACCTTTGGGTCCCGTCCGTCCTTCGGGTCCCCTCCGGCCGGCTCTCTTGGTGGCCAGGGGCTGGGGGGACATGCCTGCTGGCACAGCCACCCCTCCAGCACTGCCAGCGTCCCCGCAGGCCCGCGGCGAGGCCCGGGTGCCGTGGGGCTGTGCCTCTGGCCACGATCCCCAGGAGAGGGCACCAGCCGGCCGGGAAAAGCCGCAAATGCGCTGGCGCAGGCAGCGATGGTTCGGCCACGCGTGTCCCCCGCACCAATGTGCCACAGGCGGGGGAGAGGAGCCACCGATAGCCTGGGCGAGCCCGGGCGGTGCCGGCACGGGGAGCAGGGCGCCAGGAAGGCAGGTCCTGGTGTGTCCTGCGGGCACATGGAGCAAGGTCCTAATGGCTAAAACAGAGACCGGCGCCAGCGCCCGGCTGTGCCGAGGGCTGCGGGGCCGTGTCCCAGCCGCAGCGGGTCCCGCAGGGCGGGGGTCCCCAGCCCACGCCACCCGGGAGGCCGTGGCGAGGCTGCCCTGTGGCGGTGCCCGGGTCACAGTTCCCTGCCGAGGGGCCGTCCCGGGATCGCTGCAGGTTTCACCAGCCGCTGCCCTTGACCGCATCTCTCACCCCGCGCCGGCCGCCCTGGACTTTCCCCGCTCTGGCGTCACGGATGTTCCCGGCCGTGGCTGCAGGGCAGCACCGGCCCTGGGTGGTGCCAGGCTGTGCGCAGCTCCAGGCTCTACAAAGCGCTGGGCTCTCCCACCTCGGCGGCGCTGCCTGCGGCGAGGACACTCATCCAACTCTGGCCACCTCCTGTCTGCTGGGACAGGTCCGTCACTTGGGCTCTGCTTGGTTTGACAGCCTCCGGGGCCACCAGGTCGCACACAGGGCAGCAGAGGGGCACGCAGAGCCTGGGGACGGGCCCACTCCCATTAGGACCTGGCTTGGCAGCGCTGGGTGGGTTCTGCCCACTTCCCATTCGTGGAAAGTGTTGGAAAGCACGACCAGCCCCTGCTCT